ATTCACCTCCATCATTATCTTACAACGTTCATCTTCCCACTCACTTTCTCTATTTTCCATTAGTCCCATATTATTGCAACCTTCTCCAACATTAGGATTCACTATCTGACATTTTGCAAATTCACATTTCTCTCTCTTCTTTCTCTTTCTATAAATACCTTCTGTATCTACCTCAATTATCATTAAAGACCAGTAGGAGATTTTTCCCTTCACTTCAGATCACAAAAAAACTATGTTTTACTATAATAGCAACTTTGGCCTGTGATATATCCACTGCAATATAGCAACACTGTGATACTGTAATATAGCAACACTGCATACTGCATTTAGAGACTACAACTGCAATAGTGATAGCGACATAGCAAAATAGTGACACTTCAACCTGCAATATATCACCTGCAACATAATGTTAGTCTTACTGCGACTTTTGCATTAGGCTGACTGCAATTTCATTAATACTGTGATACTGTGTACCCTACATTTCTCCTATAGCATTTCCTCACAGATAGTTTCCTTTCCCTTGCAATTTACCTAATTTTATCTGAGACTTTAGTCATCTTAACATGTCTCTAGCTCCACATCTCTGACTTTTTGCAACTTTGTTGCATTTGTTGCATGACTTCACATTTTCATTGCAAGTCCTTGTTTGTTTACAAATAGCATCTCTCTAGGCTCTGGTTGAGGTTCCAAGACCCACTTGCATTATTTTACCATTGCATCACTCTTCCCTCTCTCACAAATCTCTTTTAGTTGAGTTTAGATGTTTGTGTCAGGTGTGCACTCATCAATGTGGAACATTCTTCATAGACAAAGACAAATTGCCACAAATTTGTGATACATTTGAAGGAACAAAATCAACAACTACTTTTATCTCTTAGCCACTAGACCACTTGTTAACAAGTCCTGAACTGTGTAAAAGTATAATCATACACAAACCTAACAAGTAAAGAAAAATAGCATAGGTCAGCCTATCAGAAGAACCTCATTTTCCCTTAAAAGAACACTTAAATAACTTAAATGGACTTATAGTCCTTATTTAAGAATATACGAACAAAAAGAGTCTAAGGCATATTGCCTAAATGTTTGAAATTTGACTTATTGAGACTTATTTGAATACTTATAGACTTAAATAAGAGTTACCAGACACAAAAGTCTAAATAAGTCTCTAAGAAAAAGTTGAATTTTCCTGATGCAGTATCATAAACTCAGCACTGACAGTACATGGTCACGGTGAATGAGATCCATGCCTTATCACTAATGTGATAATATGTGTGTGATACATGACATGCATATTATATATATATGATCAAGACTTGCCTACTCCTCCTCAGCAGCTACAAATATACCTGTAATGTGTCTGCATGCAAGATATACCCTATATATGCCCTTTGCATGTGAGCACAGACAGAAGGTCCTGAGAAAAGAACTAAAGAAAGACCTTTAAAAAAATTGAACCTGACCTGAATCGAACGGATGACCTTGTGGAATTTCCTATGTGTGACCAAGATTCACATCTCAATCTGTGCTGTACCTATTATAGAGAATGTATGACTGCGCTGGTGTACTCACACAATGTCTAAATGTGAGGCAGTTTCACCAAAGTTTCACTTGTTACCAGCTTCATATGAGTCCAATATTTGCTTTCTGAGATTCTCTTTTGTAACAAGTCTCACATCTCTCTCAAACATTATTCAAAACTGTATCAGTATCTCAACTATGCTTGGAGCAAATTGCATTTTATTGATTTTGTAGAATGCCAGGATGATGCTACATCTTCGCATTGGAACTTTCTTAACCTTGCAAATCTACCGGGCAGATTTACCACTGTCAAACACAGTCACACCTGATGGCCACCAATGTAGGAAGACAATTTTCTGTGCCTTCTATTTCCCAACACACTCATTGTTGCCCTTGTGAGTATCGAACACCCCCTGCTCGATGCTCTCAGTCTGAAGCAGACATCTTGCATCAGAAAAAGTAGAAGCCTCTACTCTTAGCGATTTTCTGGGTATTGTCTTTTGTCACATGGCTTGTAGAAGAGTATATTGATTTTACAAATCCAGATATGTTGTATTATTTGAGAAGCTTGCAGTTGATATGTCATACACTCCTGAGTCCAATGAGTTCCTTGTCGAACTAATTCAACTTTGCAGTGGGTTAATCAGCCTGTTGTTTGTCAGGGCAAACCATGTAACTCAGCCATGCAGACATTTTCGATTCCTACAACTCAGATGTGGCTATTGTCCACAACTGAACAAGTCTGCATTTAAAAGTTGCAAGTCTTCTGATAAACTATGAAGATGAGAAATAGTTGCCCTCCTGCAGCATGCCAGAATAGTAAGCACTGTCACAGCTTGTAAAATGAAAGATGCAGGGGACATGCATAAAACCCTCCATTGTTTATATATTACTATAGACAATGTAAATGCTGATACCTATATCAACTAGAGCAGTGCAGTTATCACCCTCAGTATAAATAGCATTGAGCATGTTTGCACAGAGATGTGATCTTAATCACATGAATGCCACACAGAAAGAGATGGATCTTTCATAGGCAACAACTTGCCACGATACGTGATAGGTTTTGAGGGAATGGAATCAACAACCACTTTCATCTCTCAGCTACTACACCGCTTGACCAAGTCCTGAACTGTTTGAAAGTAGAATTGGATGCAAACCTAACATGTAGAGAAAAACAGCATAGCCTCATAGGTCAATTGCATGCCACATCATGTCAACTGATGTGATAATACACATGCAATGTGTGACATGCATGTTGTGTATATGGTCGAGACTTGCCCATTCCTCCTCAGCCTCTACAAGTATACCTGCAATGTCTCTGCATACAAGCAAATGACCTTCCTGTGATAGCACAGACAAAAGGGACTGATGATAGAAGTAAGCAAAGGCCTTAAAGGGGCAAAAAGAAGTGAGGAATTAGACCCGACCTAGATTGAACGGATGACCTTGTGGAATTTCCTGTTATGTGGCTTACATAATCTTACATGCAGGGGAAGGCAAACAGTTCGGTGTGCAAGCTGGGGCATGGACCATTTTACTAGGATTTTAGGGTGATAACGTAAATTCTGTCGATTAAACAAACTTATATAAATATGAACGATATCGGAACATTGGTTGGCTCGAGGGTGTCTCAGCTGAAGTGGCCATTCTCATTGCACGTGAGCTAGGCATCCAGGATGCAGACATCCTGATTCAGAGTGATAACAAGGGCGTCATCAGCACCTTTGAGAAAGGCCGCTCTAACAATACAGAAATGAATCTCTGCATCTGTCGCTCCGAAAAAGTCTTCCGTATCACCAGCCTTTCAGCATCATTCATATATGTCAACATTAAAGACAATCTCACTGACCCCATATCACGTGGAATTCATCTCGCAGACTCTCTTCATTTACCTCTCTCCATCTCACTCCCTCCTTCCATTACTCCCTTTTTCTCTCCTCGATGACTCTTTCCTCATAGCTTACCTGCTGCACGATGTTGACATCAAGGCAGAGGCAACAGCATTATTCTCACAGATCCATGGTAATGTCCAGCATGCCACCACTCTTCCACCACCAGGTGGATGTGTTCATGTTCCATGTCACCCGGCTCCTCAGAATCACATTACTCCCTCTGCACATCACCCCATAGTTCTTGCCAGTGATCATCTCCTTTTCTGGACCATGCCCCACTCACACTCCTTTCAACAATCTCTTGATCGACTGCTCCCATCCACTGCTGTGCTCAAGCTCTTCCAGGTGATGCTCCAATCACTCAACAAATCAACTTGCAGCAATTATGGAGTGGGCCTCCTATGCTTCACTCAATATTGCGACCAACATCATGTCCTCAAGCCTTAATGCATACCTGCCTCTGAATCTCTCCTTGCAGCATCCATTGTCAGCACAATCTCAGACCACACCCTCTCCAATTGGCTCATGAGCCTTCACTTTTGGCACACCATCAACGGTGCAGTATGGCACAGACATGACATGCTGTGTCACATTCGATGCAGTGTTACAAAACTGGTTCCACCTGATGTAAAATGGGCCAAATGCTCTCCAATCACCATTGAAGCAATGATGATCCTCAAAGAGGGCCTTGACCTCTCAAATGCTTTCAATGCAGCTGTCTGGGCTATTGTCAGCATTGCTTTCTGGTGCTGCTGTTGGTAGGTTCCTCTTCTTTTATACTCTCATCCTCTCCTCCTCTCTCCTCTCTCTCACTCCTCTCCACAATGGCCAAACTCATACTCACCTCCCTTGCTCAGTCTAGGGAAACTGGTTATCTTGAGCATCAACCTCTTTGATCCACTGAAGCATATCTCGTGCTCTGTGCTCCCCATTGCATTCAGCCATCTGGTCAATGGCACCGAGTTCACCACCTTTCACATCTCATGAACTAAGACGACATTGCAGGAGAGTGCCGATATCTTGATTATGGTGTGCATTCATACCACATGCCCCCTTGCAACATTTCACCACCACCTCTCTTGCAACATCGACATTCCCACCTCTGCTCCCCTCTTCACATTCGAGACTGTGGCTGGTGGCTGGTCTCCTATGACCAAGCCCTGATTCATGTAGCACTGCAACACTGTCTGGGTCTCCGCTGGCTTTCTGGACATGCCAGGTGTAACTATACCCGATTACCACATGTGATTCGTGTAGTGTACTGTTTGTCCCACCTTCCTATTCTGTACACTACCCTTCATGTTGAGTTCCCTTCGTTGCCGTTTCTTACTTCTTACCATCACAGCAACGAAGGTACATCTCTCGTTAACACTCATATGTACTTACTTCTTACCATCACAGCAATGAAGACATCGTTTGTGCCTGTTCTGTTCTAGTCTGATCTGAGTGAAGCTGGTCGACGCGCTTACACTTTTTTTTGAACATCTCACATATGTTCCCTCCCTCCCAAGAAACCAACTGACTGAACCTTCCTCAGCCAAACTGTCTCCCCCCCGTAACCCCTCGCCTGCACAGGAACCCCATGGAATGCGCTCACGCTCCCGCCTGTCGCACGCTCCCCCTCGCACACCCGAAGATGCTCCCCCATGTGTAATTGAAACCATATTTCCTCACTGCCTGTCCCCCCTCACCCCTCTATCCAAACTCACGGAGTCTATCCCTAACCAGCTGGCTAACGCGCTTGCTGACAATCACACCACTCTGTCATCCCCAATGTCTGCCTCTTTGGGCCCAAAGCCCAAACCATCCCCTCACTCTACCTCACCCCCATTGCCAGCCCATGCTTCCCGCACACACTTGCCAACCAGCTCATCATCCGGCTCCTCCTCCAATGCATACGACCCTGCATACAGCCACTTCCCAACCACAATGGACTGCACTTGCCCCACAATTGCGACAGTTCTCCACCCATCTCTCAAGCAAGCCCCAATTCTCACCCCCAGTAAGCTCACTCCAGCGATCCTCCTCAAATGGGAGGCCGGCTGTCTTCAGTATTTCAAGAAGAAGAACATCGCCAATACCGACCATGTCACCAAAGTGACCGGTAGCTTGCAAGATGAACTGATCCAAGACTGGTACCTCAGCAATGCAGATGAGATCGAGGCAATGAGATGGCCCAATTTTCTCGCGACCATGCACTCCCGTTGGCTTGAGAAGAACTGGGAGGATAAGATGCTCACTGAACTCATCCGCATGCGCCAACGCGACGATGACTGCTTCGAACACTGGGTCGTCAACCTCCAGAAGCAGAATGCCCTTCTCCGCAGAAGTTCCCTCCACATGGAAGATGACAGTCTTCACACACAGATCACTGCCAATGCATGCAAAGAGGTTTGCATCACATGCAACAAGCTCGCTCTCAAGAACATCTGCAACTTTAAAGAGTGAAAGGACGCCATTATCGCCTTCGACAATGACCGTCTTACTGACCACGCTCGCTGCATGAAGGAGATTGAACATTCCCTTGGCGCAAAGAAACCCTCTTCACTGCCATTGTCCTCGAGCAGTGGACAATACCATGCCAAGCCTCCCACCTCTGCCTCCTCCTTGTCTGTCGGACCTACTGCTGGCCTACCCCCGCTCACTGATGTCTAATGCGCCCTTCTTCGCGAACATCAAGGTTACTTCAAATGCCGCCATTTCTACGTCAAATGCAAGATGCACAACTGCAAGAAAGGTCCTCCACCTGCCGAGGGTTATCACCCCCTCACCACCACAAATGCCAGTGCCACTTCCGCACACCGCCACACGTTGACCAAGAAAACGGTCGCCTCTATCGCTGACTCCGATGACATCAACCCAACCATCAATGTCATCGCTGTGTGCACGCGAGCTCACCCTTGGCAAGCACCAGTGGCATCTTAAGCTCGGGTAGTGACTATGATAAGTGCGTGCTCGCTGATCTAACTGTCCCACATGTCATCTGGACCAGATTTGTACTCTCCTCGCACGTTCCCCCTAGCCCTGTCACGATGCTAATTGACTGTGGTTCACCTTCAGTTCTTATTAGAGATGACCTTGCCTCCACACTACACCTCCACCATTTCAAATTGCGCAAGCTGTTCCCTCTTGGAGATGCGTGGGGTGCAGGCGAACAAGTATCGCATGAATGGGTTAAATTACGTGTCTCTTCAGCTGATTCCTCCTGGACCTCTATCACTTGTCAAGCAATCATTGTGCCCTCATTATGTGTACCTGTACTTCTCGGTAACCTGTTCCTTAAATTCAATCACCTCATAATCGACCTCGAACATCCCTCCATCATTGATAAGCGCACCAACTTCGACTTGTTACACCCACCCTCCATCTCTCCCCCATCCGTTCTTCTTCCACCCCGTGAACGTCGCAATGCCACAGCCGAAGATTCCGAACTAATCGCCCATCATCAGCTCGCCCTACACCGTGACATTATGTGTGACCTTCTCCTCAATACTCCACCTGTTCCCCCAATCACATCCTCCTCCATCTCTGTTATTGCCTCCATCTGTGAATGTGTTGAAGATCTTGCGTTCCTCGCCACATTAACACATGAGAATGCGGATATGAAATCCCGCTTTGCAGACCTTTTTCCTCTCGACATTCCGAATCTCGAGGAATTACCAACCAATGTCTACCACCATTTCCGTTTGAAAGATCCAAACCTCATTATCACTCGATGCCAATATGATTGCCCAAAGAAATATCGTGAAGCATGGAAAATGCTTCTACAGCAACATTTGGACGCAGGCCGTATGCGGCCCTCATCCTCCCCGTATGCTTCCCCTTCTTTCCTCATTCCAAAGGCCGATCCCACGGCTTTGCCATGTTGGGTCAATGATTATCGCGTGCTGAATGCTAACATCATTCCTGATGTTTACCCTTTACCGAGCATACAGGAAATTTTGTCCGATTGTGGCAAAGGTACAATTTGGGGTAAACTCAATATGACTAATTCCTTTTTCCAGACCCACATACACCCAGACGATATCCCTTACACTGCAGTTACCACTCCTTTCAGTTTGTGTGAATGGACAGTGATGCCTCAAGGGTGCCGCAACGCCCCAGTGAGCCATCAAAGTCGCATATTCAAAGCACTGCGTCCCTACATCGGCTCCATTTGTCATGTATACCTCGATGACATTATTATCTGGTCATCCTTGCTGGACGAACATTGATGAAATGTCGAGACCATTCTTACTGCCCTGCACGAGAACCATCTTTATTGCTCTCCTAAGAAAACTGACCTTTTTTGTATCGATTTACACTTCCTCGGACACCGGATCTCACACGCCGACCGGATCTCACACGCCGACCGGATCTCACATGCCGACCGGATCTCACACGCCGACCGGATCTCACACGCCGACCGGATCTCACACGCCGACCGGATCTCACACGCCGACCGGATCTCACACGCCGACCGGATCTCACACGCCGACCGGATCTCACACGCCGACCGGATCTCACACGCCGACCGGATCTCACACGCCGACCGGATCTCACACGCCGACCGGATCTCACACGCCGACCGGATCTCACACGCCGGCATCGAGGCAGATGACTCCAAAGTGGAGAAGATTCTTAACTGGCCAATTCCTTCTTCCGCTTCTGACGTTTGATCCTTCCTCAGCCTTGTAAAATACATCTCTAGTTTTCTCCCCTCACTCGCCTCACTATCCCACATCCTTAACCCGTTGACTACGAAAGATGCAGACCGTGACTTCCTCTGGACACCTGAACACCAGTCCACATTTGAGTCCATCAAACAGCTCATCATCAGCTGAGAGTGCCTAACGATCATCGACCACCAGAACATGGGCGACAATCACATTTTTGTGACCACTGATGCTAGCAATTGATGCACCGACGCTGTCCTTTCTTATGGCCCCTCTCCGAAATCTGCCCAACCTGTTGCCTTCGAATCAGCCCAGCTCAGTGGTGCGGAGCTCAACTACCCCATCCATGAAAAGGAGCTTCTCGCTATTGTACGCGCCCTCAAGAAATGGTGTGTCGACCTTCTCGGGGTCCCCTTTACTGTTTATACTGACCATCATACATTAGAGAATTTCGGCCACCAGAAGAACCTCTCGCATCACCAGGCATGCTGGCAAGAGTTCCTTGGCCAATACGACTTCTCGATCATCTACCTACGGGGTGAAGACAACACTGCTGCTAATGCACTCTCTCGTCTTCCACCGCCCAACTTGTCTATCAACCTCTCTGCCCACCCTGCCATCGCACTTGTACGCTGTGCAATGCACTCTCTGTGATCACTCCGTGCTCCCCCGATGGCATCCTTATCACACTGTCTGTTACAAAGCTCCTCTCCGAGGAACGCACGGACGACTTCCACCCCTACCTTTACCAATCACGTGACAATGACATTACAGTACCTAGACTGACCATGTGACAATGATGTCACTGATCATATGACCATGATGTCATCATGGTCATCGCCCTTATCTATCTGGCACGGATCTACCTAATCATCTGACGATGTGCGTCTTGTGCGCAAGGCTTGGATCCTCTTCCTATCACACATGCGACAAAGGCATGTTTGCCTCACCTTTGCCTTACCCTTACGATATAGATACCGAACCTCATGAGCATGGCCCTAGACCCTGATACATGCGCTAGACGCACGACGACCTCGCTGCTGCCTTGTCTTTGCAGCACGACCTTATCCCCATATGAACAGATTGTCTCTCATGCAGAGTCATGACTGACTCAGCATTCTCACGACCGTGGGACAGGTACACGAACCCTGTGCCCTTATATTGATACTGATGGACCAATTGTAGTTCTAGTATTACAGGTAGACAGACGCCTGTACTTGTATATAAGACTGACAGGACAAGCTGGAGTCCCCATCTTGTCCTGGTTACACATCAACCAGTTTTACCATCTACATCTGTGCGACGAATCGACCTTGGTCCACAGACAGCGGCCAAGCATTCATAAGACAGCTCCACTGGGCTGACCTCTGGTCATCACTATGACTGGAGGTCGGACCCCTCACGATTGACTTGAGCCCTTGCGAAGGTCTAGTCACTGACGACGATGAACTGGTGTCGTGCGTTACTTGGGGCAGGAACAATCACTTATTGGCTATTAAATACTAAACAACTAAATAAAACCAGTTGTAGAGAGGAGTGTGCTGATGAATTGGTGCTCCAAATTATACTGGATGTAGCGGTAGTTATCGTTCCTCAGCCAGAGGCTCAGTTGAGTTCGTTCAAAAATAACTATATTACAACTAATATTCTACCTTACAGTGTACTTGCTTGTGCTAGTTTTCTTATACTAGCTTCAATTGCTTGTTCAGATTGTAGTCAAATCTATTCTTCAAGAGGTTGTTAGTAAAACCTGATAGTATTTCTCTTACCTTGTCTGAATATTAAATCTTGCTCTAGTTTCCTTGTCACTAGAGGATTGCTCAAGTTACTTCACACAAAAGTATACAGTCAAATTCTAGGCTTTGCCTGAATCTATTACTATGTAACTAAGTCTTAGTAAGACTATTACAAGCTTGACTATGCTGCAGTGTAAGCTGAAGTGGAGTTTTGGGGTGTGTGATCAGTCTGAGTGTTTTATGGGGTGTCTGTCTGACTTGGTTCCTCTGGGTGAGAGGTGAAAACTCCAGCTTATATACTGCTGCTACATTGATCACTAAGCATGATTATACGTATTACTAATCAAATCTTGTGTATTACTAAGCTAACATTCAATATTACTAAGCTAAATCTGAATATTACTAAGCCAAAAGCTCAGAATCTTCCGGAATGTTACAGAATCTTCTGGCAGTATGGTGACTAAGCAATATCTGAGTTACTAAGCAAAAGTGCATAAGAACTCTAAGTACTATAAATATGGCTGTCCTTCTGCTAGTAAATTCATGCTGTCAGTGCTCTGACTTGTGCATAATTTCTGTAGGCATCATCGCTGTAGTAACTAAGGTTGTTACTGTCACTGAGTGTACATCTGTTGTCATGGAAATATGATCTTGAGGTAAGTACATTCATATACTCGAGTCAAGCTGAAATTGCACAGAAAGTGCCTGTCCATGTATCAATCACTTTTGGTGCATGACACTGGATGTACGGTGGCATGACTGGCCCCCGTGACACTGTCATGTCACCGTCTCGCACCTCTGTGTGGCCTCTGACCCACATTGGCTCTCGCAAATCCATGACGGATACGTCACTGATAAATGGTGTACCTGTCTAATCCTCGATTTATCCAGTTCCACCTCACCGGACAACGCTTACCGCCTCCTTCGCGATGGATCCCTCAATGACCGACACTCTGCTAGTATCACCGTTCGCCATAGTTTGCTGTATGTCAGCGAGCGCCTCATTATTCCACGTGTGCCTGAACTCCGTGAAGGCCTTTTCTGTCTGACTCATGACTCCTTAGGTCATTTCAGATTCGACAAATCTTACGCCAACCTTTGCTCCGCTTATTACTGGCCCCACATGCGGAAAGAACTTGAAGAGCTCTACGTCCCCGCCTGCGAAGATTGCGAGCACAACAAGTCGTCAACACACAAGCCTGTTGGTCCTCTCCATTCCCTTCCCATCCCCGACCAACGTGGCGACAGCATCGCTATCGACTTCATTGGACCCCTGCCCGAAGATGAGGGTTTTAACTGCATCGTCACTATGACCGACCGCCTAGGCTCTGATGTTCGAATTGTCCCCACTCATACCGACATTTTCGCTGAAGACTTCACTGCCCTTTTCTTCGAACGTTGGTACTGTGAGAATGGCCTCCCCCTCGATATCATTTTCGATCATGACCACCTTTTTATCTCACAATTTTGGCAAGCCTTACACAAGCTGTCCGGCATCAAGCTCAAGATGTCCACGTCCTACCATCCCGAAACCGATGGCTCTAGTGAACATTCCAACAAGACCGTTATCCAAATGCTTCGCTACCATGTCGCTTATAACCAGATGGGATGGGTACATGCCTTACCTCTCATCCGCTTCCAGATTGTTAACTCTGAGAACGCCTCAACTGGTTTTACTCCTTTCCAACTCAATCATGGACGCGCCATGCGAGTAATCCCCCCTATCCTTGCCTCTGACATTGCTGAGTCCACCGTCGCCCACGGTCTCGACACCACACGTGCTGCAGAACTGCTCAACTGCATGGAACTCGATGCCCTCGAAGTGCAAGACAATCTCTTCCTCGCGAAATCTAACCAAGCACTCTCCGTGAACGCTTATCGGTCTGACGAAATTGTCTATGCTGTAGGCGATCATGTCTGACTCTCCACATTTCACCGTCGCTGCAGCTACATGCAACGTGGCGACAATCATGTCGCTAAATTCATGGTTCGATACAATGGCCCTTACACTGTCACACGCACCTTTCCTGCCGCTTCTAACTATGTCCTTGAATTACCCCCCCACATGGACCAACTGCCTTCCTATCATGCCTCCCTACTGCATCCCTACTGCCCTAATGATGCCTCCCTCTTCCCCTCTCGTGAACATCCTCGACCTGGTCCCATTGTCATGCCCGACGGTGAAGAGGAATGACTTGTCGACAAAATTCTTGACCGATGTCGCTGTGGATGCGGTTTCCGCTACCTCATACACTGGTCTGGTTATGGTTCAGATGCTGACACTTGGCTCCCAGGTTCCAAAGTTGCTGACCTCGAAGCCCTCGATGTATTTTTATAGGAACATGGCCTACATAACTAAGAAGTCAAATCGTCTGCCAATGTCTCGGACGTTCAACATGCTCTGCTCAAAGTCCCCTCCCTTCCCGAACGTCACTCTCAGCCTCGCTCTCGCCACTCGCTCTCCCCTCTTGCTTTCCTCTCCCTCGCCCCATACTCATTTCTTCAGGACCCGTAGGAGTGTAACTGTACCTGATTACCACACGTGATTAGTGTAGTGTACTGTTTGTCCCACCTTCCTATTCTGTACACTACCCTTCATGTTGAGTTCCCTTTGTTGCTGTTCCTTACTTCTTACCATCACAGCAACGAAGGTACATCTCTCGTTAACACTCATACGTACTTACTTCTTACCATCACGGCAACAAAGACATTGTTTGTGCCTGTTCTGTTCTAGTCTGATCTGAGTGAAGCCGGTCGACGCCCGGCTTACACCAGGCCATGCCTTCCACATTGGGGGTGTCATGGAATTACTCCTGCAGGGTGTTAACTCGGACGTGGTCATGATGCAAGACTGTTGGAAGTCGCAGGTGTTCCTGGAGTACTAGTGTCGAATTGAGTCTATCCTCCCTCTTTTTATTTCCAATGCATCACATTCCTCTCGTGCATTGCATATAAGCTCTGCCATAGACACTTTTTCTCGACATCACCATCTCGCTCTGTGTGCTCCTACCTAATTCCCACTCCCCTCATCTTCATGCACACTTATCTTTCTATCGTAGAATATTCCTAACCATGTAGCTGACTCTCTTTACCATTCTCATGCTCCTCTCCACGGAGTTATTACTCCCTCACTTGCTCCATTGTGTGAGTTGAGTCTCTGGTCACTCGATGTAGTGCACCGCACTCTGTCATAGGTATGATCTCATCTCCCCAGCTGACCTGCCATGGTCTGGCCATGAGATCCACTTGCCAGGCTCTGAAGGTTCTGCAAGCTGATCTTGTCAGCATTCCCCATTTGGAAATTTGTGCCTCCAAGTTTTGCTCCTTTATAAAGTCCCGCAGAACCTTCCCTCCGCATGTCAAAATTTGTATGCAACATTGCATGGCACATACTTATTTCAACTTTCTCTCCCTCGGACAATTTTATTTACTCTAGAATAAAATTGTTCTTCTCATAGCCCTTCCACAGTCAGTGTGTTACATACAAAGCTGAATGCTCCACTGGTGTCTGCGAGCTTGCAAGTACGATGCCAGTTAAGCATCAGTTTTGTAAGTGCGACATCTACCAGAAGGTGAGCAACATGTGTTTCATCATTTGGGTCCATGTGCACTCCCCTAAGTAAGTCCCTGAAGGCATGTCATTGTGCACGAAAAGTAATATTCTGGTGAAAAAACTCATTATAATGCCCGATTAGCATGTAATTACTTCGGAGTAAGCACTTTATAACTTCGCATTTTCATTGCAAGGCCTTGTTTGTTTGCAGGTAGTATCCCTTTAGGCTCTGGTCAAGGTTCTGGGACCCACTCACATCATTTTATTAAAAAGAAGTGAGAGGTTGAACCCGACCCGGATTGAACGGATGACCTTGTGGAATTTCCCGTTACATGTATTACGTAATCGTCTGGAATCACACGCGCTACCGCTGCGCCACGGGTCCTCGAAGCGGTAAGGAGAAGAATCATATAGAAAGTGCAGCATTTTATGCAGAATTGAGTCCGGAACGTCCCCAGGAGGTGGAATAGTCATTTACGCGCTTTTTTGCGAGAAGAGCATGTAAATCAGTCTGGAATGTACCGTGGAGTTTAACTTGATGATGGGGAGATCCATTGGTGTGCTGAGAAACTTATTTGAGGAGAGAGAAGGGAGAAGGGAGAGATGTTGCAGCGGTTGAGGAAGCCATGCGATCGGGAAGGGAGTGCAGAGGCTGACACATACCACCGACTACCGCAGTACCATCTGTCAGTTTCTCCGTTTGTTCCACTAGAATACACTCCATCAAAGGCGCAGCATCAAGCTCGTTTGATTTACCATAATGGCCTTGAGGAGCTTAGGATACAAGGGAAAATCCTAGTCGATCATATACCTGGTGCGAATTCAACAATGATGCAACGTGTTTATCCTTCGTAAGAAACGGCCAACATCACGGCGATGAAAGTGGTATATTTCTCGTGCGATATCGCAGGGGTATGTAAAGACTAGAAGCGGTAATTAATCAGCCCGTAGCGTTTCCGTTCCTCCGCTGCGGCGCGGATGGCGACTGAGGAAGACCGGGCGAGCTCGGCATGGTATCGCCATGGATGATGTCGTGGATCGCCGCCTCTAGAGCATCAACCCTGCTAGACATCTGCATCACTGGATGACAGTTAGTGGGCAGAACCTCGAGACGTATGAAGAAGGGTACATACTGCGGTCCAATATCTGGCTCGACATGTCGTCAAACTTGGTATCCAACTCTTCAAGGAGAGTCTCCACCTGATGGCGCAGCATATTTTGATGCAGTGAATCAGTATCCAAACATGCCGTTGGTTATTAAATAAACGCACGAATGCAGTCAGCTCGTGAGGGCTGGAAATGTCCGATGGGTTCGGGGGGGCCTTCGCGACAGGAGTGGGTGCGGCGGTCGAACTGGCCCCCGCGCTGGTTCCTGGTCTTGAAGGAGTGGCTGGGTTCACCTTCAGAGGTAGCGCGGGGGACGGGGACGACGGCATAATTCGGATAAATAGCGGTGCGGCAAGTCGAACCACTGGGGCTGTAGCTTAGAGATCTTACGTCACTGACAATCACGAGGTGGACTTGAATAGCTGCAGCGACAACAGTTCAGATAAATGTTGTAGGCACAGTGAACTTACTCGCAGGAGATGGTGGTGGATTGAAAGGTGTCAAGAATTTCGGATCGTGAGATCAATCGGCAGTCACGGCGCACGTGCTTAGTACTGGACTTCCACAACGTTGACCCTTCCCGACCTCCTGACATGCCCATCTGCACGAGCTGCACACACCCCACGCCTTACTTATACACTGTCTATCAATCCGCCTACAACCTGCGGTTAGAGCAATGCGCAAGTCGCTCTCAAGCTGCCATGTTCCCTCGAAGAATGACCCTTCATGCCGTGGCAGACTGCTTGCCACGCATTTGCAGACCCATACGTCGAACATGACACCCTGACACTGTTACTTGACTTGATTCTGCTGAAGAGGGACGTGTACCGGCATTTGTTGTTCAATCGCGGTTTGGGAGCACGGAAGGTAGGACAAGGCGGGCGCGCGGACGCCGGTGCTGAGACGAAGGAGGGGTATGAAGAGGAGCTGCGACACATTAATGATTGGGGGAGAGAGAAGGTACGCGTGTGCCTTGTAGCATCCTTAATAAACCTTCTGTTCACGTGTCGGTAGACGAGGCGGTGGTTGATCGTAAAGCTCGGCCTCGCGTTGATTTCGGTCGACGCATGTCAGTATTTCTTGCTCTTCGGATGTCGGAGTATTCGTTACTGACTATATCCCAGTCATCAGGTGGACTCACTTGAGTGCGCACTGCTTTGGATTCGTGAGTCTCCGATGATCTTAAGCTTCAATGCAGGTGCCAGTAACCCGTTCGTTGGACGAGGTCCTGACGGCTCTGAGGTCGACCTTGCGAACTGGAACCGAACCGCCGTCGAAGGCTTCCTCCGAATATTCGTCGGCTGCCTCGTTGGTATGTACATCTTCATGAATTTCGTACTGCATAGTACATTCATCACTGATCTTTCGCAGAAACTGTCGCATTTCACGTCGGCATCGTTATCGGATGCTTCACAGTCCTCAATTCCCTACACTGGGCACGCACTCTCAAGCTCCTGCGATTTCGTACCGACCCCCAAATGTCCGGTATCCGGCAGGAGTTCAGGTATGCCAACCGTCTTACGAATTGCCCGACGTTCTCCGACCTGACGACCGCCAGATACTCGCACGTGCCACTCACTCTGCTCTATTCCTCTTTGACGAAGCTGTTGCTGTTGTTCTTGCTCTCCATATGGCGCCCAACGGCACCATCGCCAGCCAATCACGCGCAAGCGCTGCATCCCAACGCGAAGACGTTCACACATCCCGTCGTGGTGCGCGCACTCGAGATACTCGACGAGGACAAGCTCGACCGTGAATGGGTCGTGCGCAATGTGCTCGGCGGCATGTCTGCCGGGTTCGGGCTGCGCGGTACGTTACGTCTGTACCCCTTGGCTGTATAATCGCTGATATTGTTTTCCCACGGGCAGTTGTGCTCGATTGCCCGCCGGTTTTCACAACTCTGATCATATTGGGTGGCTGGGTCGTAAAGACTGCCATGGCGAATCTGGTCAAAGAATGGGTCGGGGCGGGACTAGGCGGTGACGAGACGGCTGGGGAGATGTGGTTAGCATACAGCATACCATAACTCCCCTGGAAGATCAGTCTCTGGCGTGCGGTCATCACTATAAAACATTGCAAGAAGAGCAAGAGTAACGCAAGTAAGACGTTTTGCAAGGACTATTAGATGTTCGAATGGTGACGAAGCAGATGCAGACGCGTCACAGGATGAATGGGAAGATGGCTTTCCTATTGGGGGGATATTGCTTGCCGAACTCTTTCTTGTATGCCCTGTGCTTTTTGAGAGCCCACTTCGCCATGGTATACCCAGACACGAAGACGAAGAGCCACGCTGCATAGACAGGTCAGTGTCATATCGCACGACGGGCTCGCGAGATCCAAACGGGGATGCAGAGAAAGGATAAAAAATAATCATAGTACTCACCTGCATAACTGCCGGTCATGCCGGCAATGACGGACCATGCCAACGTCTCGAAGAAGTAATTTGGGCATGACACCAAGGCGAACCCGTACCCATACGGGATCGCGCGCACCTTCGACCCGGGTGGCCTAAGGTTGCGGAGCGTGATGTGAGTATGCAGGTTGGAGAGCTCGGCAAACTGATGTAAACATCAGTGAAAGCGCATATAGCCTTACAAGCCGATGCAAACTCACGAGCCAGAGCGCAGTGCCAATCCAGAGATAGTTAGGATTATTGCGAATGCTCCCGAGGATGTGTGGGGATGCGGCGGAGTAAGTGGGGCTGTAGAGACTGTACGCCAGGAGCGCGCCGCTCAATATCCAGTAATGTGCCGAGCTTCACACACCAACACGCCTTCAGTCAAAAAAGCGGTGTATATGCGAATGAACGACTAACTTCCGGATGATGTTGGAGGCCGGCATGGTCCCATGGGAGAACCGGTGAACAAAGAACGTCTCGAGTTCACGCTTGAAAAAGTGCAAGAGCACGAAGGCGTACACATATCTGGCCTTCCAATAAGCCACGTAAATATAAAATAAGTACGTTCTACGCACTTTTGTAGTATACTATGCGTGACAGGTCCACCATAGAAGATGTTCGGGAAGTGGTAGATCAAGGGGTGGATAATGAGGGGTCCAAGCTGTGAATCAACGTCAGCGATGCAACCACTTTAAGTTCTACAACATTACAGACATATTCCACCATAAATACAGTCCGCCATGAGGCTTGAGGACCCAAGTCCTTCACCGTCACCTTGTCGCCGTCCACAATCCCCGCAGTCATGAGGGTGAGCTCATCGGCGAGTGCCTTGTTGTCATCTTTCAAGGCCAGCTTTTGACGCGCCGGGTAAAACTGAAAACGATGCCGCACGCTCAACAGACCTGTTGTCCTACACGAACGTCGCCGAGACGTACCTTAGGGTACTTAGCCGCGATAGCAGCCTTCACGTCGGCAATCGTAGCCTCCTCCACGCCTTTGTCTAGCGTGATGATGATGGGCAATCCCCGGGCGAGGGGAACGCGGCCTACTGCAGATATGGTTAGTGCTACCATTGTGCACGGTGGTCGTGGCCAACTTCCGTCCCAGGGCGCCAATATGTCTCGTCAGTCACATGTCTCGCGTAAACGCGTAAACGTCTTTTGGATTGTTTGTTTCATTACGCTCCAACCGCACAACTGAGTTGGCTGAGAAGGAAGGTGGAGAAAAATAGATCACGATTTGTTGGTCCACCACGAGCTCTATTTCTCCTGAAATTTATCTGGAACATGGGTAGAAACAGACCGATTTGCACGGTTTGCAATCGGTTCAGTACAACCTTCATTCACTTCCGAACACAGGAAAACGTAGAAAAGTGTTGTAACAATACACGGGGCCTGAGAAGTACCGCTTGGCAACTAGTCCAATCCTGGGGAGCTGCTCGGCGGCAGGGGGGAAAGTACCCGTCGGGCAGGCGCTGAACTAGATGCGCTGCCGCCGAGCATAGCAGAGAGCATGTCTGCCATGGGATTCGCTGGCTGTGTCCGTGGTGGAGGGATAGCGAAGTAGAGCTCCGCTAGGTCGATTAAGGTCTGTAGGAAATGAAGAGGCAATTAGTCAAAGTCTGCAGAGATCTCCAAGGATAGACTGTGCAGAGAATGCCGAACGGAAACGCTATCTACATGAATCTCCAGTACCAAGAATTGGAGCGTGTACAATATCACAACGCGGCAGCGCGGCGCAAGATGGACACAGCCGTAAAATCACAAGTTAGCCGGAAACTGACCTTCCTCACTCCCCTGACAGCCAGCAGTCCACTTTTACTCTGATACGTCCCGCACAGCCGCACCCAGGCCTCCCGCATCGCTTTGTTCTGATCCCCTTGTGCTCTTTGGCAAGTTCGTACAGCCAATTGCGAAAAGTTCATGACGGAATCTGTCGTATACACGATATCGTCTATAGTGCCCTCCTTGCTCACAGAGATAGGTCTCGGCTGCAGCGAGGAAAGAAGTGACGGCTTAATTGTCGTAATTTGCGATACGAATTCGGTGATGAACGTGCGTGCTGCAAGGATGTTCCCATTTTGCAGATAACTATATGCGCGTGAAACATAAGCATACACCAGCTCAATCTATGTAGAGAGAGTAACTGACGGTATTATTCCGTGTAGAGCAAATGCTCCGGGTGTCGCGCCTGTTGTTGCTGAAGCCCACTCAGCAAACATATGAGCAAGGAGTCGCGCGCTGTCTCGCTTCCCTGCAGCTAGAAGATGTGGCTCCGCAGCATCAAATGCACCCTCTGCGGACGTGAAACATTAGCGCCCAAACTATTCGAGAGACAGAGGTGTGCAACCTTTGTACAGCAGCTCGCCGACATAGTGATGCAAGTCAGGATCGCCGGCGGGATATAGGCCATGCTTGGCTGACCATCTTTGACCGATTGTAAATACAAATGCGGAACTGGACATGCGTACAGCAGCTCACTCACGCAACAGCCTTGTCGATCGTCGTCTTTCGCCATGCACCCTCGGAACCCGTGAGCGCAATCAACTGTGTCAAGCGTCCTGTTGACGCACATAAGTTTGGTCATCTATACTGACTCAACTTAGCATCACAAACGGACGTACCCCGGCTCTCCTCATTGACCTCCTCGCCATTGCTATCATACACCTCCAGCAGGAAGCTTGCCAAATCAGTGCCGCTGCCCTGCTGGCCCACCTTCAACAGCTCTCTCGCGGACTGAAAGAGGACGTCTATGGTGGTATCATATTGCCCTGACTTGGAATACCGCGAGGCGAATGTGCGTGCTTTCTGATGCGCCTCGTATGGTTGTCCCGCAGCGATTAGCGGCAGGATTGCGTTGAGCGCTCTTGATGATGAGGCAGCGGATGCAGGTGCCATGTTCGTCCGATTCCTGAATTCTGATCTCGAGTGGAATTCAAGCAGAATTAACCAGAAGAGCAAAGTACTAAGTTTACGCAGGTACGCGTCCGACTCGGTCACGGTAGATCTGTAACAGCGGAATTCGTGACGTCAACACGTGTCTCGCACTCAACTCTGTCACGATTAGAAGTCACGCCACGCGGCGGCCCGGGCCTTCCTCCGCCAGATTGACAGTCCTGTCACGCTGGTCACGCGCAGAATTACAGTCCATTTACGGTCTCTCCTGCCTAATCCGTCCACGCGCGTCGCGCGAGCGCGAGTCCCCGGCCAGCCTCGCTGAGTGGATGAAAAAATGCGAGAGAACATGCGCATGCCGCACGCGAAGGCTGGTGAACCGCGATGCAGTAGATAAGGCTCCGGCAGGGCAGTGTGAGTGTAGAGAAATATATATACGCAGTAAACTAGGTACAGAATAAATTAATGGGATCATGAACTAAACATATGGGCGGCACCACTGGCAGGAGGTAGCGCTGGGGCTTGATGGGGACTCGGAGCTCGCCGAGGGGACGTAAATTTGAGGACTGTAAATCTGTCGGTCAGCCGCGCGTTCGTGGGGGGCCGCGGCGCGGTTCCCCGCGAGATTCAGCCCCCACTCCAGCTTGCTTCGGGTCGCCAGATTTACAGTCCTGACGGGCGCGTTTACAGTCCAGCGGGGCGCTTGTGGGGCCTCCCCCTTTGGGCGACGCCAGGGCACCTGTCTGTTCTCCCTGACCCTCCCTACTGAACGCGCCCCTCCTTCCTGGCCCTCCCTGGCCCGGAAAAAGGGCGGATATATTTGATGTGCGCACCGCGCGCCCTCCCGCCGCGGTTTTCGCCTGCTCCTCCCGCGCCGCTCCCTCTCACGCCCCCCTCGCGCCCCGCCCTTCGTGTCGCGGCCTCCGGTTCACGGGGTCCTTCTCGGCGCCGTTCGGCAGGTTCGGCTCGCGCGTGACGCTTCGAGGCTTAGACGCCGGTGGACTGTCAATTTGGCGGTAATCAGCCTTTCTTCTTGAATGAAGTTCGTCTACTCTTGTCGCTGCAGATATCATGATGGCGCTGACATTGGGGAAGGGAAGACAAGGTCCTGGCGAAGCGGGAAAGCACCCTCTGGTTGTGGAGGTAGTCCTCCCACCAATTCGCAAGCGGCGTCGTATGCAAGCTCAGCAGCCTGCCATCAAACACCCAAGTTCACCGGGATTGATGGACGTTCCTCTTGATATCTTGTTCGAGGCTAGTGGAAACATCGTAGGGACTGCACTACTGAATAACCATGTCATTTTACAGATATTCTGCCTTCTATTCCCGGAAGATCTGTTGAATTTGATTCTCACCAATAAACCCTTCAGGGATGTCCTCATAGATCGCAGCATGGACACAGTCTGGAAAGAAGTTCGCAAAGGCTACGAGAACCTGGCTGCTTGTCCACCGTACTTGCGTGAACATCACTATACCGACCTGATCTTTGGGCACCATTGTCAGAAATGTGGTGCAACTGGTCCTGAGGTCAGACCCATTTTGGAGTTCAGCGCTCGCTATTGTGGAAGTTGTAAGCTTAATACGACTCCGCTATGATTCAGTGCAGTATGTCGCCCTGTGTGTACCACTTCAAAGACGAGGTATGTCCTGATTACATGTATGAACATGGGATTCAACTTTTGCCGAAGAGCCTGTCAGAACCTACCACGTTCCTGAAGTCAAACGTATGAAGAAGCTGTGGCAGCAAATGCGGACTCCGGCTGAGCAGGAAGCGCTGACCTCAGCCCGGACCGCTTTCATTGACCAGCACCTGGATGTAAGTTCCAACTTGAGCTTCGTTTTGATTCCCTCCGATTCATATGTACGCGCCAGTATGTCGCCGTGTGCTAGATGTTCATCACAGAGCGGGAGATCATATATTACGCGCAACATCAACGGCTGAAGAATGATAGGGTTGAGACAATCTGCCAACGTCTTTCTCTCCTTGGTTTTGGTGGTGAGATAGCATACGTGGGACCCCTTATGAATGCAATACGTCCTTTCCCGCCGGTGGACGTGGCTGAAATATTTAGCGATGCAGGTATGCTCCTTTCGCCGTGCACTTTAATCTTCACTCATGATCAACGAATGGATAAAGATTAGGACGAAATGAAGCCCAAGCTCGTTGCATTCATGACCAAACGGCAAGAACGTAGACTCAAGTGGGAGCGCATCGGAACAGTGAAAAGCAGACTCGCACTGCTGAGTGCCTCGCTGGAGAAAGCGGGAACATCACTCAAAGCAAATGATGCATTCCCTCACGCAGTCGATCTCACTTCATTTATTGAGATTCGCACCATCGTCGAGCTGCCTAGCTCCATACATATCACAGACGAAGCATTCGATCAAATCCTACCTGACCTCATTTCGCGCTGGCAAATAGATGTCATGGCACGCTTAAAGACCAAGTTTACGGATATCGTATCGATATCTGGCTGCCCGGAGCCCCTGGAGTTCTTGAACTTTGCTAAAACGGCATTTGAATGCTCGTCATGCCGACGCATGCTGTTCTGGCCCATGGTGGCATCACACTATCGCCTGCCCAAGAACGCCGAAAACGGAGACCGATACGCCAATCTTCCTTCGTTGTCTCATTCCTTTATTCCTTCTGTTGACACACCTGTCTTCGATGCCGCCGTGCAGGGCGAGTTTGGCAACCGAAAGCAACGGACGCGTGCACCAATTCGCCCTTGCAGTGAACAAGCCGTGTATGTTATCGAGGCATGTGAGATGGATGCGGGCACGGCTACCATAGCCCAGATGGATGAGCTGGATGCCAGGGTATCGTGCAGACTCTGCAGCGTGCCGGGAGAATCGAAGCTCGTGATGACCTGGCGTGCAGCCGTAGGTGTTGTCCTCGCTTTAACGACCTCATCCTATTATGACCGATTCTATGCAGATTTCCCATTCCTTGACCGCGCATCACTTCCCCCCCGCTATCTCAGAATCTGTGGGACCGAGTTACCGCTACAACAGAAGATAGAGTGAAGATCCTGGAAAAGGCGCGCAAGAAGAAGTCGCTCGCTGAGTACGACAATACCAATTTTGCACGTTGTACCCTCTGCACGTACGGAAGTGACATTAGGGACTTAGGGCGGGTCCGCAGAGCCCGTGTCCAAGCCCATCTCTCTCGTGTGTTGAGTATTCGTCTTGCATAGCAAGTCGCATGTTGCTGACCCGCTTACGGTAGTCATCGCACCAAAGACCCGAATGCGATCCAAATGGAGAGAGACGCACCGCTGTTCGTACCGCTTCCCGTACATTTGTACAACGACGGGATGGTTCTGGTTGTCGACGCAGACCCCCAGTTATCGGCCCTGTTCAGAGATCAACGTGCTTGTTACGTTACAGGCCACGATTGATCTTCCTCGAATATGGCATTGTTTAGTTGCAGTTATGCCAGTGCGGCGCATTTCGTACAAGTTCATATCTCGGGCACCTCAGCTTCTGCGTATGTAGGAATATGTGCTGTTCAGCAGTTCACTTCAGGTATTGACAGTCAAGTTTTTTAATGTATTAACCGGATAGTATGTTACTAAGTTGCTCCGAAAACCCCTGCGCAGAACGAGTTTTGGTGAGACTAGCCGTTGCGTATCAGTAACAGGTCAATGCGACTGCCGTTCATAATGAATACACCTTATACTACTGTGTCCTTGGCACAGACATAGCACAACTGTCGAAGAGATTGACCTGGGATCAAGTTACTTGAGTTCAATCCAAACGTTGAATGGGCAAGCAAGCTCCCAACGCCTCATTTTCTTTTATTTTCCTTTTATTTCCACGCAACTCTGATGTCGCCGTCAAGCGATATGCTTGAGAACGACTACCCACCACTCCCATCCCCACGCATTGTCCAGATGGAAAAGCTACTGAATATCAAGAGTTGTAGGGACACATTTGAAATTTACAACATAGAATGTAACAGCTACAACGTCCGCGTACGAACTCCAAAGAGATGCAGTCTATGTATACAGATGTAGATGAAGCGAAGATCGTGCGAGTCGTCTGCCAGGGATAACGCCCACACGTCGGTTTTGTCTTGCAAGAACAGAGTCATCAGGGCACAAGAAAGACTGATAAAACTGAACGCGCTTACATGAGTCGCTCAGGAGTGGATAATTTATTGCGATTCGTCGTGCTTCCATGGATGGCGGGGCAGGGGCAGACTCACGAGGAAGAGCAGACATGCCAACAGTATCAGGATCCCGTAGACTGCAAATCCTCCTAGCCAGTTGCGTTCTAGCGAGACTGCAAACAGCGACGTAGCCGACGCAGGACCGATGGTGCGCACGATGGAGGCAACAAGCTGCCCGATCCCATTCGTCGCACCAAGTGAACGTTTATTTGGGGCGGATGACGTCACGAACATGAAGACACAGCCTAGCGAGTTTCTCAGTATGCCAACACCATCGAGTCTCGCTGAAAGTCCATTACTTACCGTAGGTCATGTCCATGACCACGGATATCGCCAGCTGGAGAGCAACCACACACCAGATAAGGGGCGTCGTGCCCCGCGTTCTGGCCAGGAGGTTGATTACAGGGAAGATCGCAAAAATTGGCACGAAAGATGCCATGCCTGTCATCAGCACACGTTTTGGACCCCACCGATGTACAACCCTGGAAAAGAAGAGTGCCTGGAAGCTTCCATTCATCAGGCCAAAGGCACCAAGGATCAAGCCAATGGCGGCCGGGTTAAGACCAAGACCGCCATATTCTATGGGCGTGGAGAAGAATAACGGCTGAATTGCACGATATGCGATATCGAGGAGAGCCAGACAGCCATAATTTGCCACGGACAGAAGGACGGGCCGCACCATCAATGACCGCAGTGTCGCCGGTTTGGTGAAGGCCTCCAGCTGAACACAGTCCGTATCTTCCCTAGACACCGAAGCCCCAGTATTCTTCTGGGAAGGCGTATGGACAGTCTGACGGACCAATCATGTCAAACCATTGAGCTCAAACAACAATATACGATGTGCACAAACCTCTTTCAAGAAGATCACCGCGATAATAAAGATAAACGTAGTAAAAGCAGCCGAAGTGGCGCAAGGTAAGAAATAGGGATACTTGATCCAAAAGGGGCCAGAGAAGACACCTGGCCAGCGATCATGAGGCTTCGCCAGCGTTCCTCCAATGAATGGGCTGCAGAAAATTTCAGCATGAAGACTTCCGTCAGTGTCATAGGGAAGACCAACCCTACAGTTGCTCCGACAGACCATACTACTGGCATCAGAGAAAAGCCTTGGGCCATGTTGGTAGAATCCGTCAGTTCTGTAAGAATAGTAAGTAACATTACGGCCGGATGAGAAGATATTAAGCCTACCTCCCATCATGCTCTTGATGACACCGACGTTGCCATTGAGCATGCCTACTAAACATCGACTTCGGTCGAGTAAGATATCGGTCAGAACATGGATAACCGTGTAAATGGATAGAGACACACCTGACGACGAGGGTCCAGTATGTTTTGGAAAGGCCAAAACATATCATAGAGAGACAGAGTCCGCCAGTCCCTGTCAGAAGGACTGGTTTGCGGCCAATGTGGTCTGAAACTTGCGACCACTGGAGCACGAACATCGCCTCGGTAGCGAAAAATATGGACTCCTATCCCGCCATTTGTAGGGAAGCAAGAAAATGCTTGAAAAGACTCACAATTAACCCTGCGTAATATCCAACCTTCTTCTCATCGCCACCCGTTATATCGAGCTCGCTGACGAGCTACGGGTACAACATTCGTCAGATTCGATTAACCGTTATCGACGCAAATGGCTCACCTGGTTGATGAATGGATATATACATTGAGACGTTATGGGTTCCGCGAGTTGCAGCAACAAAAGAATGAAGATCTGCAACTTGGGCAGCGGCGTCACCGCTTGCTCAGGAACCTTTCCCTCCGCTCGCGACTGAGAGAGCAACGCAGTCTCCTCGTCCGGCTCCTGTCCATCATCCCTCGCAGGATGCATTGTCAGTTTAACGGCTAGGAAGAAAAAGCTGACAGGAGAGAGGATAGCTGGTGATAAAACTGGCGTCGCGCTTTATCATGGTTATCCACAGAGCTGAGAATTCGAAGATTCTTCGCGCAATCGACTCATCCGGAGTGGCGCTCCAGTGGCCCGGCTCCGTATCTGCTTCCGGCGTTGACGATCTCAAACACGTCTTCTAACAGTCATGATGGAGGTAAGAATCCCGTCAATATACGTATGCAGAGGACTGGCTATGCGGCTGATCATGATGTGGTTATGGCCAGTAGAAGGAACTGTCGCAGTCCACGGTAAGCTTGCATCTTCTACCGGAGACATGCCAAAATATAGCGCCTTCGCCCGGATAGTTTACAGCCTCAGGCGAGCCATTGACTCCATGCGCACTAATATTACCCGGATGCTGACAGCCGCTGTCCATCGATTTCCCTCGATATCGCAACTTGTCCCAACGGTCATGATGCGCTACTTCTGCCAGGATAGCGTTCGACATTTTCGAGATGGACAATGCACCGAAGGCGTCAGACTTTCAGAGCCAGCTCAATTCGCCGACGGTGAGTAACATGCTTTCCCGATTACACCCAACTCTGTTTGACGCAATCATCGCCGGCAATTCACCCTATCTCGGAGCGTCATGTTCAACACTGTCTAGTACCAACTTGCGGCATTTGAGATGGGAGAAGATTGTCTCTTACGTGCAAACGACGTTGACTCATGAGCTGGCACCTCCGAAGCGCTTCGACACCTTCCCGACTCCAAGATGTTGCATACTCATCTGCCAGTCTTGCCGGTGCCCACCAGTCACACTTCGTCTCTTATTCTATACTCCCCCCGATGTCGATGATTTTGCAGGTATTTGGAGCTGGGCGCGGTTGTTCGTCGGCATTTATTCATGGTCGTAGATCACAGGTCACGCTGCAGGATGGTAGCGCTGGTCGTCTGGCAAAGGGCACTCTCAAAATTTGGCCTGATTGGTCTAGTGGACAATGTCCGTACATGGACAAAGCTCAGTAGTCAAGCTATCGCAAGTAAAGAGCTCCGCTATTCAAGGGTGCAGACATTTTTTTCGATCCTGACTAGTGCATTGTGTTCGCAATCAATACGGTAGGAACGGGAGACTATCACTGCAGAAGGTGATCCCGTGATATCATCTGGTTCTTCATGCCTCCGGAATTACCTCAACGACTTCACGGCCCATCGATCGACTGAAGCGGTTTTCGCGGCTGGACGCCTCCATTCTACTTCATGAGTTCCGAACGATGGTGCCTCTTATCCAAGTAACTCTGCGCTGCTGCGCCAGTCAGGCGCGTCCACTAACAGGCAGCCTTAGGAAAGTAAGTCAGCATTCTGTGTATGATTGTGGGTTTTCACAAGGCCAAGTTTTGACGAAGCTTGCAGATACAGATGACACCCCGGTGATTGACCTTCAAGCATGCTGGAACTTTCAGTGGGTTCTCCCACTGGAATGAAAGTGAGCTCCTTCCTAGTTCACGGATCATTTGGAATTATTTCACTTTCAATCATAGCGCATGCATGAAGACCATATGTCATAGGTATATATCGCAAGACGTGGAACCGCACACTCAAGGAAACAGGTTCGCCTGCAATGGTCCGCACTGGTGGTAGCTGCCACTATCTACTTTCACTTGGGGCCCAGTGCCTCAGTTCCTGCGAGAGAGCAAATATCTGAGTCCCCCACGAAGGCCCTTGCCTTCTTTCTTCGTGGGGCTGTCATGCGTCGAATCGCGGAAGCTGTACTTGTACGGGACGCCCTCCCCTGCGGACTCCCTGGCCAGACCCATGCGCAGCTCCGCTAAGCCGCTGGCCGACCACCCCGTGTGCATGTCTAACGTCGAGAAACGAGGAGGCTGCGGCGCTGTCAATGTACGCAAGGCGTCTGGCGTAGGCCGTGGGAGATCGAGCGACCGCGACACTCTATCGTCTACGGCCGGAAGAGGGGGTCCGTGCCCGGTAAACTTTGGCGCTTCGCATATTCTGGGCGGAGACATGTTGTTGCGAATCGCGGTGTACAGCGGCCGACGCGGATGACCGAGAGGGACGTCCATTTCTGTGTGGCGCGGCTGCGACGCACTCGATAGTGCATCCACCTTCCCCGAGGGGACAGGGAAGCGCATACTTCTCCCTTGTCTGTGAGGTGCTGTGGATTCGGAGATTGTAGCACGTCTGCGCAGAGAACCGGAAGATCTCTGGTGTAAGACAAGTCTTCCAGGTTTGTGTCGTAGCGTCCGATGCGACGGAGTCGACGACGTCGGCGGGCTTGGAGGAATGTGAACGACCTCAATTGATGCATCGCCGTCCTCGAGTTCAGCAGAAGGCATTGGAGACGTCGCAGGTGACACAGGATCCTTCTGCAGTTGCATGAGGTGCAGTGCAACTGACTGAAGTCCTTCGTCCTGAAAGAGGACAGAGTAGATGAGAAACGGAGAGGCTAAATCACTTGTAACCATACCACAGAGGCCTGCGCCACAACATCTGTCGCCGAATATATCGCAGCGTGACGGTGCCTTTTGCGGCGTTCCCCAGGACCTGTAACCAATTTCGATGTGCATGGTGCAGTAAACCGGCTTTCGCGCAGAGCTGCACAAGAATGCCTCTCTATCCTTTTCAGCTGTGCCTTCTGCGCGTTACTGAGCAAAGATGGGGAGCTGACGCGTCTGCGTACTCCGCGATAGAGTGGTTCTTCACAAGCACACAAGCACCATGGACAAATGATACCAAATGCGTTTGCGAAGCGACATTCCTGGCACTCGAAGAGCGGGCGGTTCTCAAGTCTGAGTCTGAAGCAGGGCAGCGAGTCCCATTCCCGTAACTTTAACAAAAGCAATTCAGGATCTATCAGCATGCGCCTTCGAAATGGGGAATGAAGTGCTCACCCGTCTGGTTTTTCGATGTTCTCTCCACAGTACACGAGGAGAACACGTCTCGATTTGAGAATGGGCGTACATCTAGGCAATCGTGAATCGTGGGGGTCGTATCAGCAGCGTTATGGGTTCGTCAAAGGTCGTAAAGAGGCGTAGGCGCATATACGCCTAGGGGTGGCGCGACACGACTGACCGCTCTTATATGTACGTACGTGCAAAGTAAGGAAGAAGGAAACAAGCCGCGATTGCAACGCCGACCAACGCTTTTAACTAAAGTGAAACGCGGTCGCAAACGAGGCCTCGGGCAGACGCAGAATGGCAGAGATCCAAGGGTGAGATTACACCCCACATGTGCCAGACCGTACGGCTGCACCGAGGCAGCCCGCAGTCCGTGACATTGCATAGAACTTTAAGCCATGCAGCAATGTATAGTAGACAATGAGATTAATATCAACCCTAGGCCTGTCTGCAGGCGTGCTCGCAGCTCCGCAGCGAAAGATGTCACACGGCCACAACGTTCTCGATCGCAGGTGCAAACGAATTTGCGAAACTGCGCGATCGTCGCTTTGACAGTCGCTACTAGAGTCAAGCTAGTTGTCTAGCTAACAGTTGTTATGATTGAACAATACGACCCGGATATTTCCTTTTCAGCCCTGCAATAATAGAGGAGACAGAGCAAAGCTTTAGCCTAGCGCGCAAGAAACTCATATGCATCCATATCCATCTTGCATGACTGAGGCAGCTCAACGAATAAAATAATTGTATTTCCAACGGAAGCGATCCAAGAACCACGCACTTGGTCCCCCCATTCATTTGGACCACACAGTGATTCAAACGTTCATGGAAACTCCCACAAGCGTACTTGCACGAACCGTCCATGTAAAACCTCATGCTGGAGATCGAAGCGCCCCAATCGTCATCCTGAGACCAGCCTAAGTGTAGCCATTCAATTCAGGAGCATCGAGAGACAGAGGAACACGACTTATCGTATTGCGCAGATGCCTCGGGGTGGATTGGTAGACCAATCAGCTCTTACCATGACTGTAGACAAAGAACAACAGTGCGAAGGGTACGAATGCGGTACCACAGAATTAATATGGGTCCATGAACCCTTCTCGAAGCGATGAAACTGAAGTGCCACAAGCGGATCGCGCTCCAGTTGGACGAGATATACGAGATGACCGGCTTCTGAAGATTACCGTTCAGAAAAACATCCGGTAAAACAATACTTGCCAATGAAACCAAAATGACATCTGACTGTAAGAGCTCACCGAAGAAACCATTTCTGGTGAGGACAAAAGGTGATGCGATTTATATTATATGCAAAATGCCCATGTGCGAACGACGAGAGATGCCACACAACGAGACAGGATGGGACGCACAAGACACGAAAGCAGCAAGAAGAGTCAACAGAGCATGCAAGAAGAGTCAATGCAATAAAACACTGGAAAGCAATTGTAAGCTGGGGCCGGGAGTAAGGAAAAACAGCAGAAACACTGACAGCACCAGCCCACACCCTTCTAAACGAAGGCAGCTATCGCCCCTCGCTCTTCGTCCATCTTCCATACACCATCGACGCAAATGCTCACATGCACGTGCCCACAACCCGCCACAGGGCACACCCACGAATGCTCAGCCTCAATAGCAGGCTTATGTGCCCGACGAGCCCTGCCCTTGCCTTTCCCCTTCGCGTGCGCGGGAGTTGCAGGGTGCTGACGACGACGTGGAAGTATACGCGCCAATCGTCCCGGTGGATGACGAGCTGATTCCGAAGCAGCGCCAGTAGTACCGACTTTCAACGACGCTGGTGGGCGACGCGATCGCAAGCGCGAGCGTATTGAATTTTCCGCAACTTCGAGCTCGGGCACCGCCGGCATCGACGATAGGTCCGATATCCCGGTAGCTTTGCCTTTACCCTTCCTATCCTGAACCAACGGTTCCATCGGCGCAGCATCTTCGGGTTCCGCTTTGGCCTTGCCTTTACTCTCTACCTCCTCCCCGACGAGTTCTTGGGTGGCAGGGTGCATCAGCTCCTCGATGCATTTGCCATCCACAATGTGGCCACACCGCAATACCCATATCCGTCCCATCTTTCTCTGGTCCTCGGTTAACGCACCGCGAACGAGTGGGTCAAGACACTGGGCGCAGACGAGTGTTGTCTCGACAGCAGTCGTGCTTGAGCTCGTGCTTGCACTGCCTGTGGTTGCACCTGAACTGGATACTGCTTCGTCATCGTCAAGAACAATCACTGTCGGTGAAGATGCACCAGATGAGGACAGCATCTCGGCAGGCGCAAAGTCAAACGTAAATCCAGGCATTGGCTTGTCGGGGTGCGTGTAGGTAGGCTTGTAATACTTGGGTTCGTCAAGACCACCGGTGCGCCCACTACGCAATGGGTAGTCTGCTCCGGCCCAGTCGAAGAATCCATCGTCTATACTCTGCACAGGCAGAAAGTCATCGTAAGGTATAATTGTGTTGTCTGCCCATGGCGCACGCGTCCGCCGAGCCCGGCCCTGTGACGGGCTTCGAGGAGGCTCCTCCTGTGATCCTGTGGCGGTGAATTGACGGAAGATGTCCAAAAAGGAGAAACGGCTTGCCCGTTCCGGCATAGCTCTCCGTCGCTCCTCCTGACTATTCGCCTCGGCGACAGCATCTCGGTTCAAAGCAATGAGCGCCCCGCCGAGGCCCATGACGGGTTGGTGGTGCGAACGTGCAGCAGCAGGTGGAGCGTGAACGGGAGGTGTATGGTGTCGATGAGGGAGATGGTCAAAGAGGGATTCAAAAGGCAAGGGCTCAGGATTTGCAGCAATAACTGGAGGAAGTCCACCATGGTGCCGCCTGCTCAGGTGAGCCGGGAAGGAACCTTGGCCAGCGAGGTGCCGTGGGACAGGAGGTACAGGCGGACGAGATGATCGTTGTGCAGGGGGTGGTGGTGGGGAAACAAGGCGACTGCGGCCAGCTGGAGTGGCAAGAATTTTTGAGCAGAACCATGGTGTGACACATAGGGTCTGGCGTACCTGTAGGCGCCATGCTAGAGGATAACTGATCATCGTCACTGTCGACTACTATAATTTCGAACTGATTTGGGATGCTACGGCTAGAACCCCGGGATATTCGTCGTCGCTGTGAGCGTCTGAAACCGGAAAACGATACCTCCTGACCCTCGTGAGTATCGATACGCGGTAATAGTGAGAAGGAGGCGATGTCGCCATCATCCAATAAATCGACATCGATGATTTCTGGTGATCGCGGACGACGTTGAGGAATAACAGACACAGAATCAACTGCGGCCATGGTTGGTAGAAAGTCTGGCTGTCGTCGTGCTCGCCGCTGTGGCCGTCGTGGTCGACAGACAAGGTTGGACCCAGGCGCGGAGGCTGACATTCTCACACACCACGTGATGGAAGCCAAACAGAGCACCACAACATGCGCGTATAAAATTTGCTCTCTGCCCATGAACACGCCCTTCATCCTCTTTTGATATGCCTTGTCTACGATGTAGTAGGGATGGTAAAACGTGAGTGGCTTATTCTCGCCACATCTTAAGGATGACTTTATTCTCTTCCCCGTCTTACACGACCATGCCGAGGAAAAGAGCGGTCTGTTCGCAACAGACCCGCGTTCTACGGGGCGCACAGTGTACTTGCCAGTGCCATTTCGCCTGAACCTATATCTTATGTCTTGTCTGTTGTAACATTCACTGACAACTGTTCTCAGGTGGTCCGCATTGTCATGAGGAAAAATTGGTGAGTTTTTTGTTTCATTTCCGCGTTGGAGGTCGCTGCCTTCTGGACGATGAATGTTCCGTACGTTCGCAGTTTTCACCCTAGCCCCCTTCCTTGCTGGAAGTACTCCCCCAATGCTGAACGTCTACATTCCCCCTCCATACCGTGTGGAACCCACTATCATGCGGTCGAGTGTGGGCCGCCCGTGTGGCGCGCTGGGCGCAAGGTGGGTGGTCGGGGCGGTGAGGGTCGCAAGTACCTTCCTTTGGATGTCTGATCTCTTACTTCTGCTTTATCGATGTGAATCTTTACTCATGGTCTTTATCCCAGTGTAACGTTGGACTCCAAGTATGTGTAGCTCGACGAACGTACTGTAGTATGTAGTGAATTATGTAGTGAATTTATTCTCGTTGAGAATGTGTTCTCATTGGCAATGCTGCAATTGATTTGATGCAGACGTATCGGCGCGCTTGATGGTCATGCGTCAGTTTGAGCGGCACCCAGAGTATGTATGACTCAGGAACCGTCCGACGGATTCCGCGCGGAGGCAGTACGTACTTCTTGAAGTACCGGCTGAAGGCGCGGTGTACCTCGGCACTAGCACATGGCGGTTACCTGCGGAATGGCAATGGAACCATCCAGTGGCGGTGCCGCAGCGGTGACATACGTGGGGACTCAGTACTCAAGGCTTTTACCGGAGTTTCTGCTGTGCCGCCTTGCGTCCATTGGGCACTGGCCTACAACACCGCTCCCTGTCAGCCACACTAGGTGCTAGCGCCGAGCCAAGTACAAATTGACTGAGGCATCGAGACGGTGGCCTGTAAACAAGCCGAAAATCTGGCATTGGTTGAACCTCACATTTACCGGTACTACACATCATGCCTCGAACTGCATCACCGTCAATCGTCACCTACCGTTTGCACAAAAAGATGGTGTACGTTTCACCAGCGGAAAGCTATGAGGTTTGTCTTATTTCAGGGTACTTTTCCGTATAAATCCTTACAAGGACATGCAGGAAGCCGTAGATTTTGCAAAGGCTGTCTTCGCAGACGAGCTTAGCGGCATAGATCGCACCCGCGTCGTATTCTCCATCAACGTTGCAGTGCAGCACACCCCTCGTACTGTCCAAATTGGACCGATGGCATGGAACGCAGTGATTTCAACACTCGTGGAGTACGAAATCATCGACGTCTCAGTACAGTCAAGTGTGTGCCACGTCGGATACACAGACGACACGCCTCCTCCTTACGTGGACACGCACCCAAAACATTCCTGGTCGCTATCACCCCTTCCCCCTTGTCGCCCTCATACTCCGATATCACCGGCTCGAAGTCCAAGTCCTGGCAAGGGGACACGGAATTGGTTCGAGAGGCATTTTCAACCCTTACCCTTCCAAGTATAACACGGTGGAGACAATATCGGACTCATTTACTTGTAGCATATAGCACACATCTGTAATCCACATGCATCGACTTTAGTATTACCCAACCAATGGACAGCCTGAGCTTCATATCTCGTATTGCACTCCCAGCCCTTCCCAGGTCGTTGCTGTGAATTCTCAACTCCGAAGTGCGCTTCGTGCATCTTAGCGCGCCGACGACAAGTTCCGTTTTCCCCTCGCCAGTACGCAGCGTTGAGCGCAAATCAGATATCATCCAATCATCACTGCCAAGTTGAATGAGACTAGTATTTGGAAAATATCATGGCGAGCCGCTCAGGTTGCTAGTGTTGTGAGACTCAAAAAACTTTAAATGAGTGCAGGAGCGCTCCGAGCTTCAGATGTACTCCGATCGTGATTTACTTCGTCCACGTTCGGTATGTTGACATAACTATCTGCAGATGCTTCCGAGTGAGTGCTGATGACCGTGATACGCATCCAGTATTTGCTATACGTTGTCCTTACAGCCTTTGCAGTCTTGTCAGCTGCCAGGTTATTTCTGCGATCGTTCAACGGACTCCGAAGCGTGCACAGCCACTGGCACCCAGCGCGGTTCAGCAGTTTCAATCATTCTACTATGGCGCTATCGCTAGAATCGAAGCTCAAGGTACGCACTTATCAGGACCACATGTCACAACATCTCTAGTACTTGCATGAGGTATTCATCGTATCCCTCAGCTCCGCGACGGAAATGAGATACCTATCATTGGGTTTGGTGAGTGAGGCAGTTATCATTGCCACGACTTAGGAAGACTCGCACCCACTCACACCTGCAACATAGGAACCTATGAAATAGAAGGACGGGAAGCCTACACTACCGTCAAGTGGGCTTTGGAGGTAAGCCGAAGCTATACAGATTGCAGAGATTGAGGCACTGACCTCGCTTAGGCCGGATACCGCCATATCGTACGTGTCATCACTGCTTCAACTCGAATACAAACTGCTATGCGAGCGCTTTGCAGGACTCGGCTGAGTGGTACGCCAATGAGCGCCAATGTGGACGCGCCATCCAGGACTTCTGCAAGGAGACCGGCGTTTCGCGCAGCGACGTTTACTACACGACGAAGCTGCGCTCCAACTCGGGGTACGCCGCCGCTAAAGCGGCGATTCAGAAGTCGCTGGATACGTGTGGCCTGGGATATATTGATTTGTTCTTGCTGCACTCCCCGATTGGCGGGCCTGAGATGCGGCGCGAAAGTTGGCGCGCTGCACTCGATGCCAAAGCTGAGGGAAATGTTCGGAGTATCGGCGTGAGCAATTACGGCGTGCGTCATCTGCAGGAGATGATACGGTCGGGTGTGGAACTCCCGGCGATCAACCAGGTCAGTCCTTTCATCCTGACTCGAACTGTGCTCAAACTTTTGGTTGAAGGTTGACCTTCATCCGTTCATGACCCGCACGGACATCGTTGAAATCTGCAAGGAGCACAATATAGCCCTAGAGGTGCGGATGTTGTCTATTTTGTCTGCCCGATATTTGAACCGTTATGCAGGCTTGGGCCCCGCTTGTCCGTGGACTCCGCTTCAACCATCCTTCCATCAAAACGTTGGCTCAGAAGTACAACAAGGAGCCTGCTCAGATTCTCTTACGCTACTCCTTGCAGAAGGTAGAATTCATCTACCGCCTCGCGAAGCTTTGTCATGACCGTCGATGTTGCCAATGCACAGAATTACATTGCTCTTCCGAAATCGGCGTCCAGGAGTCGTATCCAGTCGAATATTCAAATTTATGACTTCAATTTGACATCAGAAGAGATTGCTCATTTGGATAGCCTGGACGAAGGTACGCCTGTTCTCCATCGAGTTATCTTCGGGTTGCTACATGTATATTTCTCAGAACTGGTAACGGACTGGGATCCCACAAAATGTCCGTGAAGCAGCAGTATTGTGCAGTCGAGTCACGTGTAAGAGGTACATAATCAATTAAGTTGGCAGTTGCATTATACTTTGGTGAGATCTATTGTTTGACAGCTTAATGGCTGACGTTAACATCTACCTCTCCAGTGCTGATTACGGACCGAATGTGTGCGGACTTATCTTGAATAACATGTACGGACAATACAGCACGTCGACAAGGTACAATGAAATACTACATTAAGAATTGCAGAAAACACTGTTCAAACCCAAACTAAAAACCCTCCGACACGTACTCCTACTGGGCGTGGCTCTTCCAGATCTTCCCCGTCATAATGCGGAGGCATGTAGGCTCTTGGCCGTGGCCCTTCCGCGAACGCGGTCACAATCTCCACTGACTCCCTGAGTAACGGTTTCTTCTCAGAGGGGATAAACCCCACTGCTTGGAACGGCTCAATTACAACCATGTGCTGGAAAAAAGTATCAGTAATCAGAAACAGCATCGAACCGCAACGGCTTGCATCTAAATTGAAGTTGAGTATGTGGCACCGCGGCGATACTGCTTCGGGAATGTGGATCTCGCCGGCCAATGTTCTCCTGTTTGGCAGTTGCACCTCGTTTTCCGGCGGCCACCACACAGCTCGACCAATCGAGCGAGATCTGACTTCCTTCAGTGGTTGCTCCTCTGCAGATGTCTCCCGAAATCCCGGCATCGTGGTCCCAAAGGATGTGCGTTGGACAAGCCTAACCACTATGGCGTGGCGAGTGGCAAGTAGGTCCAATGCTTGCTGATCGGCACTCTCAATCGTGAGCATGAGAGGTATTGGGGTACCTCTAGTATAGCACAACTACAGATCACCGGATTGGCTGGCGCAAATAATACTGTTGCAATCAGGCACTTACTGGCCGTGCAAGCGATAACTGAAAAAAAATAAGGGTTAGAGATAAGGGATGCTACGTGTATAGACGGACTTACTGTACATGCCGCCTCTACCGCGATGGATTTGAAGATCTTGCCGCGAAGCTTCACTGGGGGAAGAGTCTTCCATCCCTCCGGATCACCGTCTGCTCCGACCAGAGGGAAATTCTCCCGATACGCAAGCTGACGCGTAATGGAAGGTGTAGTGGGACGCAGAAGAGGGTTGAACAATATGGGCACTACCAACCTGTCATCCCAAGCACACTACCATCTGCAATGCACTGCCGAGAAAAGGCAATGCTACTCACTTGCTATGGCTGCGAAGCCTTCCCCTCTCCACACGCACGGCTAGCTGATACTCCACGCGCACCCCACTTATACCGTCCGATAAGGAGGGTGGGAGACGAAAATTTTTCCGTGCGCTGTCCACGTCGATGTGGGAGACAATACTGACACCTTTTGGGAGCTTGAAGGAGAACGGCCATTCATAGCGCCCCTTCAGCTTACCAGACTGCTTCACAGTATTTGGCGCGTCTGCTAGCACTTCAGGGTCTTGGTCAACAGAGCACGACCACAATGTGCGCTTCATGTTCAGAAAATACGATGCGCTATGCGAGAAATAATTCAATTGGCCAGTCAACTGTTACGGGGGTCAGTATATTTCAAGGCTTATTGGACAACGTGGCAGCTTTTCCAACGGCTTAGTGCATCAAAACCCACCGTACATATGACAAAATGTACTGCAGAGCGTCTGCTACTATTCGCCATCACTGATAACACTATGAGACCGGAGAAAGGCACAAAACCACAACGCACCCCTCAGAAGCCGCAACACTGCATCTGGGAAGGCTCGCAAATAACATGACGACTCACTGCGATATGTACGGAGTCTATGATGTCCTCCTTCTCCAAGTTCAGCATCAAAGTGCCACCGACCAAACCTCCTTGGAAGAACATCGGTGTTTCGACATTGGTAGCAGCCCTGCTGACGACCGTCAACGACAGCCAATGCTCTCCGTCTTTCTTGGTAAGGTGGAATGAATGCTGTGTGTTTAATGGAGGTACATCCCAGCTTGTAGAAGGAGTCCTTGCATACGAAGGCAGTTCGAGGTCTATTGCAGCGGCATTTCCGGGGTAAGCAGGAGCATCCATACGATCGCTGTCTGAGAGGTGGTAGCTGCAGGAGATACTGCTGCGCCCATTGGGGATTGTCGTGATACGGCATATATCCTGGGTTCTCCCGGCTGTCATGCGGCTTACATACCGTGGACAACACTCGAAATCTCGCTGGCGGGGTTGCTCGCCAACGCTCAGTCATTCGACAACATTGGCGGTGATGTTTGTTGGATAAGTATAGCTGGAAGTCAAGCTGAAAATTCGCTGAGGTGGAGAACCAGAAACTTGGATCCGAAGAGCATTGAAGTTGGATGATCTGAGTTATATATTTACTTCTATGGATTACATAGGGGTTTATACGACATGAAATCAGTGCGAATATTCCCCATGGAGCTGACTTCGTCGACAGAAAGGCGGACGCCACCGCGCAGGGGTCCATGAACTCCGTTTCTCCTACTACCATGTTGTACACGAAATCACATCTCAAGTCTTCGCCACGAAAGTTCATTCAAGGAAATAATTTTTCTTCGTCATATCGGAGGAAGAGTCACTATAAGACACTCTCGGTTCCCCACAACGCGACCAAGAACCAGATCAAGGCAGGTCTAGACTTCTGGAGATTCATACATACGCGTAATTGACAATTTTCCAGTCGAGTTACTACAAGGTAAGACTGGCTTAATGCAAGCTGTGACTCACTGTCTGATGAACCTAGATGATCTCTAGCTAAGCAAGCTATGGCATCCTGACCTCACGAAAGATCCAAGGGCGAAGGAGAAATTCCAAGCGGTCAGTGAGGCGTATAATGTGCTGGGAGATGATAGGAAGCGGTTTGTCACCTAGTTGTCTAATTGCTGCGATGTGCGAAATGCTAACCTTCGCCCACCAGGAGAGCGTACGACAGAACTATCGTCGCTGCAGCATCAATACGAAACCCTTCAAACTCATTCAATGACGCAGCATACACTATGCACCCCTCGTACGAACGACGGCGAGGAGCTACTCATGCGTGGGAGTACTCACGCCGGCCACGATCAGGGCAGCACTATACGCCTCCACCGGGACATGCACAACAGGCCCACGGCCATGCTCAACATCCATATGCCCGGCATTCCGACCCGTTCTCATCTCCCAATGTACAACGTGCGACAGGAAAGAAAACGACGCGTCCGGTGCACGAGGGTCCGACTGAGGCCGACCGAATTAGCGGCGAATCAACTTTCTGGAGAGTTGTGCAGGTAGTAGGCATAGTGATGTTGGTCGCCACGATTGGCGGTGGTGTCAGTGCGAATGCAAATTGAGACAGTTTGACGTTCCTAGACATTTTTTGTATCGACTAGGTCACTCATAGGCTTATTTCGTGTATTTCATTCGCGGAGTTACATATGTTCGCCTTCGTATTTCAATGATACCTTCCTGACATAAGTCACTAGTCGCCGTCAAACATACAAGTACATACAAGTATTGGTACAGCTTCACGTTAATTTCTCGCGTAGGCAGCCGTGCTATGATCGCTTGCCACATCGTTCAACTACATAGGCCTTAGCCCTCTTCTGCTCCTGTCCGCCGACACCTTCCATGTCTTCTGGTGACTGGCCATCCAAATTCTCCTGTTGCCCCAAACATGCTGGTCAGTAATCGCGAGCAAACACCATTCTGCGACTTACACGTTCACGATCTGCGCCTGCTTCGATAAGCAGACAGGCTGCCTCTGCGTAAGCGGACTCCATGGCGAGATGGAGGGGCGTGTTTCCTGGCAGGTATGCAGTCAGGGTTCCATCAGTAGGCAACTGGGTGCTAGGCCGACACACCGACGCGGTCAGCTGTGTTCAGCCGAGTCTTCGGAGAACCCTCAGGAGGATGTAGTAGAATATTAATGAATCCCGTGGATCCCGTTGTAGCAGCCCTGTGTCTGCATGACAATGTCAGAAGCCAGTCGGTAACTGGAAGGGTTTAGTAACCTACAACGGCGTTTGATTGGCTCTGTCCCTTGCATTGATCTGACAAGTAGTGACTAATGGGAGTGAGGGCACCTCGAACTTCCACGTACATCTGCTCCTCTGGAAATCAACAGTTTGCCTATCTGGTGCATGCTTGAGATGGCATATGTGATGAAACAAGTGAATACACTTACATCGACGCGTGATTTCGAGGCGGCGTAATGCCTGCTTCAAATCAGACATTCATATGGCTGTAGAAAGAAAGATAAGCCTACAGCGGAGTCTGGCCTTTGTCATTCGTTCGTTTCACGTCCACTCCAGCTCCTAGTAATTCTCTGACAATGTCTTCGTAACCTGCGCTGGCTAAGCAAAGGTTCATGTGTAAAGCCTTAATGCGAATCTTAGTGCTTTGATCTTACCTGCAATGTGAAGAGGCGTCCAGCCTAGGCTGTCGCCACGATCCACTTCAGCTTTCTGGTTAAGGAGATACTGGACGATTTCCACTGATCCGGATGAGGCAGCCCAATGCAGAGGGGTTCTTCCATCCTGGCAAACGTATTCGATGCGTTCCTATGCCGCCAGATATTTTGGAGGATACGTACGGCGTCCACGGAATTTACTAGCTTCGGGTCTTGACTGATGAGCGAGCGAAGGAGCCCGACTTGTCCTGTGCCGGAAGAAAAATTATTACAGAAATTGCGCGATGAAGGTGGATTTACTGTTTTGTGCTGCCGTATGTGCCAAAAAGTTAGACATTGAAACGGATGCTCTCGTTAAAGTTCCGGATACGGTGGTGGACGCGTAAACGCCACTTGGCGCGCTGACGCGTTGCACGCCGTGGGAAACTAGCCACAAAGCTTCCACAAATGGACGTAACTTAACTTCCAGACCTTGATTATATCTTGCGGTAGGTCGTGAGCGTGAGCGTTGCTCTATCTAATTTTCGTCATTTATCAAAGCCAGGCAAATTTAGACTTGACGTGGCCCTTCGATCCAAGAGTTTTGCCTACGACATAACAAGGAACATATTTAAGATCACTTCAACTCCATCAGCCTGAGGTTTATGGTAAAGAGTCATCATGCGTGCCCTCTTTCTCCATTTTCAATCATTCTTGCAGGATTACTAGGTTCTAGGATGCCGTCTGTGCAACCGCAGCCCAATTTGGACACCCCGAGCGACGAAGATGAAGGCTCTCACATCCTGTTGACCTTCTTGCAGTCACAATCACAGAATACTCTGAGCAGGCTTTACCAGAGGCCCTCGTCATGCCTTTCGATTTTTCGGTAATTATCAAGAATGGGAGGTTCATATAAGTTTGTTAATTGTCCATGGCCACAGCCTTCTCAGGCCATTAGAAAGGCAACTTATCACGAATTTGCTATGGTTGGAGTCCGCGATACCGGTTTCCACTATGGGTGCATGGGTCACACGTGACGGCCGCAAGTATGCCACCTCGTCAGAGATTCGTATATGCACCGACCTTTTTTCGTATCAGAGCTTATAACCTCTGTTTAACGACTTTGGCGCACTTAAACATTCTACCCACCTCGACGGTCAAGCTTGCTTTGAACTCCACTTTGAAATCAAGCTTGCGCCAGGCAATAACAGGCGGGTGAGTCGAGAACTCCACTACAGTCCGAGTGGCGAACAATTCATCTTTCCCAGAGGTTCGAGCGGAAGTTTTGGGGTGCCGGCAGAGCACGACCAGCAGCATTCTCCTCCGAGCGTTGATGATCTTGATGCTTATGCGCTAGAACGATGGGAGGTTTGCTGAAGATTCACAGTCCATAGATAGTCCTTCGCTAATTGATCCTTAGACCATTCTGCACTACATGGTGTCTTCTGGCACTGGTCAGTACCCTGCGAAACCATCACAAGATGTATTGTTTCTTCTGCAAAGAAGTGGACTCATGGCAAAGGCAAAGTAGGACGCTTTTACTCGGTGCATCAGAGCCTCGGATTACTGAGATCGATACACACCAGCGGTGCATTACAAATTACCTCCTCGGGATTTCAGTTTCTTCTTCACCCTCCTCATGCACAGCTTTGGGAGCTTCTATTGCAGTATCTCCACATGGCCGAGGTTCCGATCTTCATTTACCTGCGCTTGTCCCTTCATTTGACTAAGGTTGATACAGGAACGACACATGGATCTCGTAGAAATTTTGAGTTTCTTGCTCATGCTCTCGACGATGGAGCTGGGAAGGGTATGATCATTCTCATTTACCTGTTCAAAACTCACCTAGAAGATGAATATCTCAGGAGTACTCGATCGAGAACCTCAGCGTAACTCAGATGGCGATGCTTAGCGACCTTCGCGATTATGGGCTGATATGGCAGCGCAACGTTAGTAGGCCATCTCCAGCTCTGAGTGAGAACTTTGACATCATGGATCGCTGAATAATAATCTCTGAAGGCAACTTCCAAACGATTCTGCCCTTCGCGTCTGGCAACAACGTTGACGTCATCATCACCACCCCTTCCAACTTCTAGCGGCGCCGGCACGGCATCTAACACCCAAGGATTCATTGTTCTAGAAACGAACTACCGTTTATATGCTTACACGGGTACACTTTGCGTCATACTCCCGTTTAGCCTGAGTGACGTACCCTTGTTTAGACAACCCGCTGCAAATTGCGGTACTGAACCTCTTCGTCACCTTGAAGTCTCGCTTCCCAAACCTCGTCATCGGCGCAATCACCCGTGAGAGCGTTAAGAAAGCTCTTGCTAATGGGATAACTGCGGATCAGGTCAGTCCTACTGGCATACTCATGTGCATTGCGCTCACCCAATGAAAGATCATAAGTTACCTCACAACGCATGCGCATCCACAGATGCGAAAGAATGTGTGTGCGGGATTGTAGCATGTGCTCGATGATGGTATCCTGAACTGTCTTCTAGAACCCGCTGTTACCGGTGACGGTTCAAGATCAGATACGCCTCTGGGAGCTAGAGAAGAACAGGGTGAACTCGGAAGAAGGTTACTCGTCTTTACTATCGCGAACACGTCACCAGGACACGATGACTGATGTTCTGACTCGGCAGGTTATCTGTATACTGCATTCGCTTCCCAGGCCGACTACGAATATGTGCTCAACTACGCAAAACAGCTGGACGTAGTGTTATGGGAGAGTCCGGCCCGTCGATGTTTTTTCGGGAGCCTCAACGGCCATGCCAACATCAGAGGTTTCATCGAACGGAGGACAGCTGGCAACGCTTGAGCCGTGTGAAACATTCTCCGCTAGCTTGGCTTTAAGTTTGCGTGCTTTTCGGATAGGAAGGAGGGTATATTCCGGCACGAGTCCCAGTCAGGAACATCGGGATGGAGTTGTATCATTCCAAGCTCAATCGCAAGTACGCTATACATGTCTATCAATCCACTGGTCAGCGAGCTCTGCACCCTGTAAGTAGTGATGCTTCTAGAGATCGTCCAAACTGTCCAGTATATGTTCCGGTTCTACTGCTACACCTGGCACTGTGATATATGGAGGGTATATGTTCTGGGAGTCTGCTGGAAGGTGGTCGAAACAGAGAGATATACGTCATCCTCGTGCGTAGTAGTCTAGTCCGAGGAGTTAGCAGTGTGAGTCTCAAGTCTCAATTCGATAACGATACTACGGAGCTATTCAGTGCCTGTATGGGTATCCCAGGGGCCGTACTTGTGGACTTCGAGGTGATGGCAAATCTGTTGCAGATGCCTGGCGCTCCGTCGAGAACGTCGAGGCAGCGGCCTGAGGCAATTGACAGTACTGAGAAGAAGCGGAGTCCTGCATCCATGCCCACGCAGGAGACGACACCCTGGCTCGCGTCTGGTCGCATCCTCGTGTGGAAGACCCAGGGTAGCTGGAGGTTAGAGGCGACATCGGCGACGCAGAGGTGTATGTTTGCCCAGAGAACGTAGCGGTCCCTGGCGGCCATGCAGACACTCCAACGCGGTGCGCGCCGGCTCCAGCATTTGAAGCGCCTTGATCGAATGTACGGTCGAATCGAGCAGGCTGTTGATTGGGCCAGATACGCCCAGGTATCGAGCTAGGGTCCGTCTGCACGGCATTTTGCCTTGCTTCGTAGACTGCGGCAGGGTCGGGAAATGGAGTTACGCCGCTTGCGGATGGCCAGGGCGAAGACCGTCTCTGCTCTAGCGGCGAACTATCGACGCTGAGGGGGGAGTACGCCGTGTCTGTGGGAGATGGGGATGCAGACTGCCGAACATCCGCAGGAAGCGCTAGTGACAAGGACGGATAGGACGGCTCATATTTCCTGCTTGGAGATTGATGGAACGCGTTGGAGGATTGGGCAGGTATGTGTGAGAATTGAGCAGGACTAATCGGGGAGAAACGTGGTGCGGGTTCGCCCGTCGCCCTCCTTGAAGGCGAAGATGGGACAGCTGAGCGCTGATTATCAATCCTATCTCCATCATTTCTAACAATCGATGGGAAGTATCTAGTGAGTATGCTTCCATGTATGAGGACGAGTCTCACACGTACATATGGTTCAGCTTACTGCCACGTTGCGATTCATACTTCAGCGGATACCGAAAACTAGAGGACTTAAGGAGTTCCGCTGGGATTTCAACAGACCGAAGGTCTGTCCGACTGGACGGACGCTGAAGCCTGCCTGAACGAACATCCTCTTGGGTGTAGTACGATATGAGGTGGTGGTCTGACCCGTCAATTTTGACAGTAATTGTCTTGTCGTCATGAAGGTAAGAACTATGCACGATAACAGACATATGCACGTATTCTCACCTTTTTTATTAGGCCATATCGCTTAAGCATGACGCCTCCTTCCGTAGAGTGGTCCTCCTGCGATGCTTCAGAGTGCGTTGCAGCTTCGTGGTGGGTACGAGTGTCCGCTCGATCTGCGAGCTCTCGATAGATCTGCGATCGACGAGGGAATTGTCAGCAGCGGCCCACAGATCGGCACACCCGCCCAGCGCAACTGAGCCATTCGTCCAGAAGTAGCAAACCTGCACACCACGTCAGAATCATACACTCACAAGAAAATTTCCAGCAATACGGGACTGCGACCATGTAAGTCCCTCAGTCCATCGCTTGATTCCACTTTCCTCGACACTGAAGACGAAAACAGCACCGCTCTTAATCATTGATCTTCGTTCCAGTTCGTTCAGTCGGCGTGTGACTCGTGGTAAGATTCCCCGCCGAGCCGCCTAGATTCAGGCGCAGGAGTAAAGTCAGCATGCATGCGGCGAAATGAACAGGATGTAGTTAATCGAGCGGAAGATGAGAAAATGAAATACAGGCCGTCACATACCTCTATTAGACAGAGGGCGTCCTCCGTGGTATCCACGTAGCCATGAAAGGGTGGGACACCAGCCGTAACCGCGGTGACAGTAGGGCGTAACGGCATAAGTCTGAGGGACAGTGTTCCAGTCTGCCGCAGAGCTCGACAATCCAAGTTGGAGGGGAAAACTGGGTAGACAGATCCCAGATTTATGTCCGTCTCCCCGTTAAGACGCACTGCTCTTGTAGGAACTCCGTGCGCGAGAAGCCATCGCAGGAATGCAACAACACTGAACTTACCCGGTGAGTGCGTTCATATTCGCAGAAGAGCAGCAACTGGCCGGCCCGGGAATAAGGTTCCTAGTGCGGTAATAGGGATGCTTTCGCAGACATTGGAACTCCGTGCATGTCAACGACGTCCGCTCTGCTGATCTCTTACGACTCCGCGGCATCACCTCCGTGGGGGGTCCGATTAGAAAAGTGCGCTGTGCCTTACTCGCGTCACAACTTAGGCAAGCGGGTTTCCTACGACACGAGACTTGGCCACGATCGCTGAGGCTGACGATTAGGCAGTCTTCCAAATTTTCACCAGCGAACTGCTATATCTGGCGTGGTGAGCACCAGCGGCGAGGACGACGAAGGTCTCCAGAAGTAGTGGATATTTATTCGCTTCTGCTCCTTGATACCGCCCCAACGGTTCGTGATTGCGGATGCCACGCTGCTGCCGCATGTTATCGCGGCCACTATAGAGCGGGAACGAGTTCGAAAGCCCAACAACTGGCACCGGGCAGTGACGAAGCCTAGGTTGCTCGTTTTCCAGACCCTTTGAATGCGCACCTGATGCATTGAAGTTCCACTTCGTACCTTGTAAACCGGATCTTCGCAATTAGTTCGCTCCACAATGGTGCAGAAGACCGACTATCATGATAGAAGCTGTAAGCTAGGCAATTATATATGCTCGCTCACGAAGCTAGCCACAGCAGAGCGTGTGTAGAATACTTACGCGTGTATAGCTGAGGCGTTACCTGGTCAGTCTCAGAATGCAGAGTTAACATGTCATGGTTTTCTCGGCCTGTCTATAGATCAGCTGGCTTAGCAATGCGATGACAACATAAATCCACTGGCCTTTGTTCTCTCACGACGGCCGCAGCGACGTCAATGGAGTATTCAACCGCTTCCCATCGAGTGGGTCACGGAGAAATTGACCCCGACCAAGAATATTCAGACTCAGCGAAGCGTTTAAGTCTGACTGATCTGAAGGTAAACGCTTACAGGTCGCCAACTTCTTTTCAGAAAGTTTGACCCAAGTTCAATCTCCATGGCTTTTGGAGAACAACGTAGCATAGTCATATACTGGCCACTTGAATTCTCAAAGAGTCATACTTCACCATTTATCCCTCATAAGTGATCCTGCCATCCAGTCTGGGATAAACGCTAACCAAACCTTTTCTCTTCGCAATTCAGGAAATGAACTCACTCCACAAGCATTTCTTGTATCCCCCTCTCGCAGGAACAATCATACGCTGAAGTCACTGATCCGGATTCAATTGTTTGCCTGCAATGCATGGTACACGCGGTAAGGTACGTAACACTACTGATCGATGGTACTGCCGCAACGTCCGGAACACAACTTGAGCGCTGCGACTCGAGTTTGTCCCATAGGAAGGAGATAGGAACATCGATGCGGCGCGTTTCACAACATGTCATATCCCGGATGAAAGCCAGCGCTGCACTTGCAGGGATAGATCGCCACGAGCAGATGACCATCTCGACCGCGCCGCAATGAGGCACCCATTGGCACTTCACCTACACGATACCTGATGGTATCAGAATTTTTACGACATAATACTGTTCGCGATGCAGAGCTGACAGAAGTATCCAGTATGCCGTCGACATGGGCAATTTATCGGAATAGAAATCAAGAAGCAGTTTGAATTCCGAAGACTGGTATATGCCGTTCTTCGAGTCGTCACTCGGAGTAGTGGATGACTACACCGGAATTTCTTCGCAATGTGCTGTATCTCTCCATGGGACGCTCGATATATCGTCTTACAGGCTACGGACTGACGATTCTCAGCATATCCAAGTACATAATTCGGATAATCGCCGGAATCGAGAAAAGCAAAGAAAATCAAGCTATTGATAACGTAGACTTGGATTCGTAGGGGACGGGAGATGGCAAGATAAGGATGCCCTTCTTCCCACCGTAACCGCACAAGTATATGCGGTTTCCCGACATGCATATGCGGGAATCAAAGAAGCAAGCCTTCGCAGCGTCCATGACGTTTGCCCGGCGTAGTCAACTTCTCCAGTAGCATTCAGCCATCGATGGTGTTTTCGACAGACGGCTGAGAACAAAGCAGCTGCTCAACTGATTGCATGGCGAGCGAAGAGAACTCGACCACATCTATGACAGTGCATGACAGTTCATTCAGGGGCATAAGTGGTAAATGCAAAGCGGGATTGCCTATGGTATGACCGAGCTCACCAAGATAAATGAACGAACTTCAGGTCATAGCCCAAACCAGCTCGCGCGTGTTGACATTCGGCAGAGCGATTGCACCTATTCGCTCATGCAACTTATCAGACAAGAAGAATATGCTCAGCGCACTTGTACAAAGACCTTCCAAGCACCACCACACAGCAACATCCTCAGGCCGGACGCAAGCTGCGAGTGATCACAATTAATAATTGCCACGAACATGATGTCAATTTTTACAATCCGTACCTCTGGTGTAGCTCACGCTCTCGAGGCCGCGGGAAGGCGCATACAAACCAGCACGAATCGCATGGTGCTCAACATCACCACGTCGGGCTTGACTGTGGCTTGAAATTGCAACTGGCCTACCGTTCGCGGTAGCAATTCGCACTCAAGAGCTGTGCTTCGCGGGAGAAGACGTCGAGAAGGTGATCGGCAGGATCGGATGTCCAGCAGTATCAACCAGACAGCCACTTTTGCTCTGACAACTTGCATCGAGTTTGCCCAGCCATTCCCTGAAGGATGTAAGGTTTCCGAATTGAACGTTAGGATCGTCCCCAAAACGTTGCACGGAGAGTGCACCTACTATTGCACAGCCAACACCGTTCACGTCAAGGAATGCCGCGCTGAAGACACAGATCAAGCAAGTGAGCACGGAAGAACAGAAGGCGAAGGTCAAGCCTAACGCCACATCGGAACGCACAATCTCCGGCGGAAATCATGCGCCTGCAAGGTGCGATCATCACTACTTCCATATGATAGGAGTGGTATACCACTCACGTTTACGCGAGCACGCTCTCAGAGAGCGGAGAACAATGTCGTCCTGTTTTAATATGACCTGACGCACCGTGTGAGCGCAACCGAGAAGTAGCGGCCTACTGTCGATAGCATGCTGTATAGAACCTGGGTGTCCTGGACCGGAGATGATTTTGCCTGCAAACAGTGACAGCAGTCAACAACCATGGGATGGCATTGGAAGGAAGAGACGCTGGCTGGAGTCAACAAGCGCCGCGGCTCTAAGTCTGACCGGGTGCACAGCAGCCTACTTATTTCAAATCATGGAACGCCTAGAAAACAGCATGCTCCACTGTGGAAGATTCGTGGGAGAACAGGGAACTGAGCTATGCGGACGGCTCTACATCTTTCAGTTGCCATTTGACGGGACACAACAGACCTATCGACAATCGGTAAGAGCGGCAGATGTGTCAAAGAGCAACTGCAGCGAGGAAGCATTGCAAAGGGTTACTAGATGACGAGACTGAGCCGAAATCTACCTCGACATTTTCGTCGACCACACGACGGGATAATCAAAGGATGACATTATCACACCGCGCGAATCTGGGGATTGGGCGAATATTCCTGAGACAAAACAGTCGAAATTGACCATCATACCAAAGAGTGAAGCCTGCACAAAAGTACCGGCGCGATATACCCTGCAAGCTTTCCATAGGTACGCCATGAGGCGAACCTACTGCAAATGAAAGTGGAAGTTTCAGCAATGGAAACCTGAGGATTCTCCCGTGTGATACGCACCTTCTAATCAACGTTCCTGCTGCGGCCTAGTAGCGCCAATCCGGTCATTCCCTTGGATCGTTCTGGTCACTGCGGACGAGGCAGCATACCCAGGATGCGATAAGAAACTAGAACATCATGCATCCATCGGTAATCCATCAGCTGACATTGGGCAACTCAGTCTAGCCCTGTCACTCTTCGCGTCATGGACCAGCTGCCTATAGGATGGTGTAGGATGTCGTATGGGAGCCAAGGCTTCGTAGGTGCCAGCAGGCAGTGCGGGGACTAGAAAAAGACGTAAGAGTCGATAAGGGTTTGCGGGAATCTTCTTCAGACTTCCAGTGTCGAGAACGATGTGAAAATAAGTATGATTCAAACGGCCCAGTGGTGGTGTTGCGATAATACCACAACACCGAGATTACTGCCGGGATTTAGGAACAGGTAGAATTATTGCATTCTACAAAACAGAAATTGAGTCGCTGGGTAGAGTAGCAGCACCCGGCTCTTGATCGCAAGGCCGTGCAACTACAGATATATGAGGTTAGCTACAAGAGACCAAGCACCTGTTAGCATAAAAGCCGAAAGCAGCGGAAAACGAGCACCTCAGCCATCCGCCGATAATATAGGAGTCTTCAATGCACATGTCCGCGCTCGGTGTCCCGCATGGGTGAGAGCATCGAGGGTGGCTAGTGGACAGAGTCGACTGCTTTAAATCGTGCATGTAAAGACGGTCAGTTCGCCGTTTGCCGTTCGCCGAGAGCAATCTCTTCCAAGGTACAGAAGTGCAGTGCATAAACACATGACAGTCGCATACGTACCTATGGAACCTGCTTGCATTCTCAAGAATTAAAGCAAAGATAATTGCAGAGGTAGACGTCGGATGATCAAGACCAACATAGAACGTAATGAGCAGAGGACATGGTTGACGAGAAGAAACGAACCAACGAAGCTGGTCGCAACCATGCGAATAGTTTTGAGCGAGAAAGTACTGACGGCCAGAGCTCAGGATAGCACCGAGACTACTCGTCGAGTAGAGTACGCTCTCGCTAAAGATACCGTCACAGGTCGCAGCACAACAGCGTCTTGGAACGTTGCGCATCAGGACAGATCGCTTTGGTACCGGAGGAATAAATAATTGTTGTTGAGATGAAGAGACAGTCGCGCGCAGCTCTGCTGGATGCATCGCTGGACTCCTTCCACCCCTGTGAGTGCATGGTAAGTATCGTGCGGCTACAACAGGTGGCCTGGATGAACTCGTACCGGTCGTGGGCGGGTCAGGACCTGCGAGACATGCATCACAGACAGGGCGCTCGTTTCGTTGTTTGAAATATACAGAGTGAAATTTGTTGCGTTATGCCCACTCCCTGCGCACTGGAATAGGGTGTTTCACCATGAAAGATGCAGCAGACACAAATCTCTTTGTTGGTGCCCTTGGCGAAGGAGCCAACGCGTACACAAGTACCAATGGTGATGGGTCCGTGTGTGCGGGAAAACAACCGACCATGGTGGGTTAACAGCCGGGCGAGTGCGTTGGCATCGTATCCCATTGGATTTCCGTGAGCGGTCTGCCCAAGGCAAGGCATCAACAGGCCACCTTTTGTGACATCAGAGGAACGGGGAAGTGGGACGTAGAGTCAGCCTAGACATTTCAGGATTGGGTTCGGCAAATCTGCTGTAGAACGAAGTGGTTTATGCGCCACGTGGAAAGCAAGGAGCCAAAAAAGCAGTGGAGATGGAGACATAGTGAAGGAAATGGTTGCACAAAAAGCTCAACATCAGTTCGGACTCCGGAGAGCCTTGAGTTGGACGGCATAATAAGCGAACCACGCAGGTTGCGGACATGGTGACAGCGTCTATCATGCATTGTTGTCCCGTCAACGAAGGTTTGTTTCGGAAGGTGCTCTCGAGGCTGTGCATGAGGAACTGGACGATTAGTCTCCCAAAGGCAGTGACTGGGTAGCTACTCTCAAGTTCGTACCTCTGGATATCCTATGGTTATTGCGCGACAAATAATAAGGGCTGGTCAGGCGTATTTTTGTCATTCCGCCAAACATATAGCCTTGTACGGTGCACGAGCTGTATCAGGTCTGTTTTTGGAAGTGAAGCCTTTTCGCCCACGTGAGTTTCAGTAACAGTGTGACTCACGCTCACCGCCTAACCGTGCGCTCTCCGGGCTCATCGGCGATTTCGTGGCGGCGCTCATTGTGGCGGGTTGCGTCGGCGACGCTGGACGCGTTGAGCGCGAAGTCGGGAATGGCAAATTTAAGGAAAATATTCTTTGTAGATACCTTTGGATCTTAGTACATAGTTGGAGTTGAGCATAAATTAAATATTCAGTTCATTAAAGTCCAAACCAAGGAATAGTCACAGCATGCCTCCTTTTAGGCTAGGTTCAGATGAGGCCGTTGTAGGAGTATAAAAAGAAGCATTTCACACCGATAAATGGACAAAGATTGATATTGCGCGGCGACGGGTAGGTGACCAGCATTGTGCTCAGCCACCACTAGGAAAGTCGGCCAAATTAATACTTACTGTGCATTTTCCCGAGGCTCTACAGGGCTTCACAAATGCTAAATTAAACTCTTGAAAGCTGGTGACAAAAACCGGAGCTCATCAGCAAAATTCATCACATGACCGTCGTCGGAGACGGTGGGCGCGATGACACCGACCCGACGCACAACAGCGAGAACGGGCGGGACGGCGGGCAGTCCGGTGAGCGCCAGGCTGCGCCGGTGAGAGCGGCGGAAGCACGTCACGGTGTTACCTAGGATCACGCCCGCAAATACTCTTCGCTTCCAAAAACAGACCTGATACAGCTCGTGCACCGTACCTTGGGAATGCTAAAATCATCTACGAAATCCGTGGAATAATATCAGTAATTGTACCAATTCGAAACGCCTCAGCGATATAAGCGTGGTAATCCTGGCGGAATATTTCCACCGATCATACGGACTACATGGTTTGGCAAAAGACCGTTTCACGTTTAAATTTCACTCACTGATCAGTGAGTAGATCGGGCCGCGGAGGATGAGCGGCTGATATAAGCGCCGAACATTTCCCTTGCGCAAGCTCGGCCGGAAGATCAGCACTGAACGTGCGCCGTGCGTGTAAGCGGCCTACCGCTAGGTTTATTTTCGTCTCAATATTGATTTCGAACGGGATTTCACGGATGACAGGCAGTCTGAGAAATTGGAGCTGAGCACTCATTGACGACTCCTCGGGTGGCAGAAGTATCTGGTATGCCACTGCCATCGCTTTCGATATCAGGTATGTCATCTCTGCATAGTCTTGATCTACCCACAATAGTATTGATTCAACTCGTAGATCTCAAAGGTAAGGCACTCCAGGCCAAGGATTACAGCACAGCTCGGATCTCTCGCCTCTCCAGTCCCGCTACCAAGAACCTGAGTTGGGACACCTCGAAGCCTCCTCCGCCCCCGCCTCCACTCAAGAAGCCGGAGAAGATCGTCCATGCGAATGCCCAACCTCCACCGCCGGCCCATCCGAGCTCCCGACCATCATCACTCGATATTACGAGACCCACTGTCACGGTACACGCAAGGACACCCAGCAATCTCAAGGAGTCCACCCCCGCTCCCTCTCCAGCCCGCGCTGTACCTGTGAGACCGCCACCTGTCTCCCGGCGGGAAACACGCCCGGACAGTGCGACCTCTCCCAGCTTGTCGCGATCGCAGTCAATTCAGAGCGACCGGCAGAGAGAGGTGGACAGGATCGACTGGACCAATCTATCCGCAGAGGACAAGCAGGTGTTCTTCAGCTGGCTGGATGAGTTCTTTGAGCGGTATCTTAACAGGCCTATACTGGCGAAGAACCCTCAAGACGCCGTCGAGAATGAGGAGGATCCACCTTCTGTGCAATCCATATCTGCAAGTGCGGCTCGGGCTCCTGCGCGCCCAGCGCCTCCAAGTGCATCTCCGGCCAATACACGACCGGTACGTACACATTCAGCTAAAGTTCTCTGCACCAGTTCCAATGTATTCCTCGATCGTTGGTCAAACCATCCTGAGAATCGGCCAGTATCTGAGCTCAGTTAGGGCTGGTAATAATGGGCTCACTCAAAGTGTTGATCAGTGACGTGGCTTCAGACTATAGAGAAGCGAATGGGGCAGGTCTAAAGGATCTTTTTCCTTTAATGTTAGAAGTACGGGGGATGACGTGCAAGTTGTTGCAGGAGCATGTGCTCCGGCCCTCAATTCGTACTCAATGGCAACTCACACGTCCTCCGTAGCCCGCGATTAGCATGTCTACTCGGCCTAAACAACCATCGCCCCAACCTTCCGCTTATGACGGTGCGGACATTTTCTAACGATGCACCATCTGATACTTAACATCTTCTAGGATCCAGCGATGCACTGACATCGTACCCTGCACCGACACTGACAGGCTGTGCGGCCCTCGATCTGGCCCAGTACTTCACGCCTTCCACACACTGGGACTCCTCGTGGTACACGAACACCAGCCCGATGCCCCCACCGTTGCAAGGGAATGGTGAGATCGCATTCACCGCGGCGTGGGAGATGCACGGCAGCTCCAAGACGCTCTACGCCGGCGTGATCTTCGCGGATCTGAGCATGTGCTGGTTCTCTGTGCAGTTCTCCACGAGCACACAGTCGGATCCGAACGACTCCCGCGGTGTGAGGCGCGGCGCGCAATACCTCCCGTGCCCTGCGGCGATGGACCATGCGGCACTCGTGGAGGCGCACGAGACATATGGAGAGACGGTCGCGGGGTTCGCGGAGAGCTTCGAGGGAACAGGCGAGTTCTGCGGACGTGGGGAGTGCTGGGACCTTGCGGACGGCGCGCTCAAATACTTTGACCAATTTGACTACGTCCCGAAGCCGGTGCCGAGCATCTCGCGCACGCACGGGCACCTGATGTTCGAGGGGAAGGTGGCGGACAAGGGGCGCGTGCAGGTGGGTCGCTGGCGGGGCGGTGACGATCGCGTGCGTAGGGGAGACATCGTTGAGTGGCGCAGTGCGCGGCTCGCGATGGGTCGCGGCGGTTCTGCGATTCTTGGGAACCCGGACCACACTGCCGTGATCGTGAGCGACGCGGTGCCTACGTGTGCCGTTGGCGATGGGATGAGTGTGACGCCTTCTGGTTTGGGGACGCTCGAGGTAGTGGAGCAGAGCGTGGGCAACCCCCCTGCGAGAGCACTCTACAATTTGGGAGGGCTCGAGGAGGGGGAGATTTGGATCTACAGACCGGTGGGTATGTTGGAGTACGTCGGTACTTTACTCGAGGCCAAATGTCCTGAGACTGTGTCTGCTCGGAGTGTATGAGCCGTTGTACTTATGTTGGAGAGTGACGTCTCGTACCAGTTGTGTGCCGCAGGGATATACAGTAGTTGAGAAATGTGTTTCATGCCGAGTGTAGCTGGTCTCCTCCGCCGTGCCGCGTTATCGTCGGGGCAAAATTAAGCGCGTGGATCACCTACTTTTTCATCCGCGTATGTATCGACAGTTGCTCTGGTGCTGACATCGTTTTGACGTATTGCTCTATAGAATAGTTAGTAGAGAAACCGTCAACTAGTAAGTCGTCGCAAGTATTGAAAAAATGTGTCGTTACTTCAGTTGGCGCGTCACACGCCATATAGCACTCCATGGAGCACTGCAATCTCCATAGAGGACGATATGGGATGTGACGTGGCTGTGGCTCAACTATGGGCTGTGGAAGGTCTTTCTTCAAAGGGCCTCGGGTAGGGTTGAACAGCCGAACAACGTAGTCTGAGCGGACTCTTCTCGATCCGCGGAAGATTCTCGTGCTTGTGCTTCTCGTAGAGGATGACTCTACTACGGTTGCGCTCAGCCGCACAGGCACGACCCTTCTTAGACGGAAGTTTGCAGTGACCTAGCGGGTCGTTCCGTTTCAGCTTCTTGCTAGGACTGGGGCAAACCCATCACTGCTCATTCTCCATATCAAAATGTTGCGCCAGCTTGTGGCGAACACGATCCTTCTTCCTGAAGGTGGCAGTACAGTCTTGATAGAGACATTCAACCTCCTAAATATGAAACAAATTAATACCAAAGTTGAGACAAAGCAACTGGATGGAATTTCATCCTCACCAACTTACTTGCAGACTTTGCTGTCCTGTCATTCTTGGATGAGCCATCAAAGCGGCCATCAGACATGGCTGTGCATTTCACTGAGCCACAGCGACCATCCGTAGGACAGCTATGGAAGTATCGGGTTACGAATTCTTCGAGGATCGGGATATTGTTCTCCGTAGAGTGAAGGGCAACCATGAAGAGCACATGGAAAAAACTCTCGAGCTCGTCGGCAACAGTAATTGGACCATCCGGATGGTTCAGCGAATGAACCGCCACGTACGCCTGAGTACCCTGCACACATGAATAATCATCTGAACAGCTGTCATACCATGCCAAAAAAGCTTGCATACCGTTACGCCTTGAATTCTGATGGCTTCCTTCATGCCGTTGAGTCCATCATGCACAGGTCTGGAGAGTTCCCAATCACACAACATTCCCCGCCGCTTAGCTATGCCCTGAAGTGCAGGCTTCTCGAAAATGAGAATATTCCCTGCACTGATGTCGCAATGCATCAACCCGGCCCTTTTGACTGCCTGCCTGTGCGCTAAACATCCATCATTAGGGTGAATGAGACCTCACACAAAACATCAGCAAACTCACTCTCCATGCAATCGGCTATGATCCTCACCAACTCCTGACCATCACGATGGTGACCCACTGGACAACATACCTCTTGTAGTCGAAGACTTCACTGTAGGGGGACCAGGACCGGGACGATGACCGAGACGATGACCGAGACGATGACCGAGACGATGACCGGGACGAGGACCTTGATGACGAGGGGATGAGGACCGGGACGAGCACTGATCGCCGTCCTCATTTGTTCACGAAATGTGTCGTGGTGCTCTGGCCTTGGTAAGCACAAACATCTCACTGCGTCTGAACCCTCTGCTTTCCATGGGATGGCACCAACCATATGCAGCGAAGCATTGATCTTCCCATTCGGAAGTACCACCTGCCCAGCAAGACACTCCGGTTTGTCGCTGCAATGTCTCTTCAGTGCATCCCCACGCGTATAAGGATGTTTACACGACGGGCACACCCACTGACAATGCTCGTGCGCCAGCCAATGCGTCACCATGTATCGCATCCGGTCTGCCTCGTGCTGTTTACCATCACTCCGCCACACCCAGTCGCAGTCGTGGTACAGGCAGTACCAGACCTGCACTGACCCATCCTGCAATCCATGATATCAGATTGGTGAACTTGGAGACTGGAAGAACATTGCTCACTATAGTCTCCTCTCTCAGGTGTTGCTCCTCCTCCGGGGTCGAGGTTGGTACAGCAGCCTTCTTCATCGTCCGCGCCCTCCTTGCGCGCCTGTGAGCTTGAGCGGATGTGGTACATCTTGGCGCAGTGCTCCCTGCCAGACGGGACGGCCCAGCGACAGGCCCGAGAGACTTCCAGTTCGGGATGAAGTCCTCGTCGTCGTCCTCCTGCTTACGTCGATGCTTCCTGGGCCGCGATGGGCCCGCTTCACTCTCCTCGGATGTTGACAACTCGTCATCTAGACTGGGTGATTCGAAGCTGGCTTCTCGCTTCCGCCTGGAACGAGAATGCCCTGCCCGTGGCTTGCGAGATTAGAAACGTTGATGTTAGTATAGGAGGTAGGTTAACCTAAAAAAGTGAAGGGCATACCTGAACTTGTGTGAAGGGCGGCAGCGGCGACAATAACGACATAGATGAAGACGGCGAATATGTTGCCCAGGATAAAGGGGATGATGACGGGGACGAGGGGGACGAGGACCGGGACAAGGATCATGACGATGACCGTGATGATGACAGGGTCGAGGACCAGGACCAGGACCGAGACGATGACCGAGACAATGATCGAGATGAAGACCGGGACGAGGACCGCGATGACGACGGAGAAGAGGACCGGGACGAGGACGGCGAGGATGATGAACATGGCGGCACTGACATTGTGGAGGACGCAGCGCCATCCTCAGTCATTTCATCCCATTCCGCACACAACTCCGAATGAATTCGCGCGACGCACGCGTCAATGTTCTCCGTCTCCTCGACATAAACTGCCGATTTCGGCATATCCACGTTCAACACCCCGGCCAACCAGTCCAACTGAAGAAATTGAGTACCCTGAATTCAAACCCCGATGACAAAGACGTACCCGTGGAAGTAGCGTACCGTCGTCGTCGTACTGGAGAGGGTTCAGTATCATGAAAGACATGCTTCACCAAATAGACGGAGAGCGGGAGTGAATGGCTGAGGAAATCGAATGCAATCACATGGAAGTTCCTGCGCTTTATCGACAGAGTGTCACAGTCTGGGGAATCCCATAATCATTAGTTTCCCCACGAACGTAATGAATGTTCAACGTACACAGATGAGGTGCATTCACGATACCTTTGGTGTTGTCTTTCTTTGTGACACCGTAAATAGCGAGGATCCTAATGCGAGAACACTGATAAATGAATGAGCGTCGCAAGAGATCGGTTAGGACATGGTCGTAGATACTGACCATACTAATATGCCGGGAACAAAACTTTGACGGTGAAGTAGGAAATGGGAGGCAGAAATCGTTCCAGAGACAGACGGTGTTTGAAGACGGGTTGAAAGAAGTCGTTCCCTCGCCCGCGTTAAATGTCAAGCTTCAAACAAAGAAACATAAAGCACCATTGTGAACCATATACGGAGACTCGAAACCATTGTGTGCATGTAGGCGTTCGAGTACAAAGAAACTGGGTGGAGAATGTAGACTAGTACTTTTCCGAGCACGTCGAATCACCGTCATCACAAGGGAAACAGCATTGGCGGCAGGACTGGAAGTGACTGTCACCACTCTTCATTGAATGCAAGTACGCGGGGGAAATGCTTAGCTCCAGATAAAGTGGTGAGGGAGGTGCGCTGATGGGTCGTTCCTGCGCTCAGTAATGATCGCTCCTCCGCGACAGTAAATAGGCCCTAAGTGAATGAATATGTCTGAGTGATAACCATCGTTGTACGAAAGACCGGTAAGTGGGAACAAAGATTTGGCGGCTGCTCGAAAAGCGGTATTGTGCTTCCATTCTTCCCTGATAAGCGAACGTTCGTCAAAGAAACACAGAATGGAGAGGCATGTGCGCAAAAAATCAACGCTCTGAAGCGCCTTGGCTGCTTGCTGCCGCAAAACTGACATGGAAACCACGCGGCAAAGATTCGACATTCATCTCTCCCACTAACAAATGGCTTAGTAGGCAGCCTTAAATATGCTACATGCACTCACCGTGGACGGTACATATGTTCTATAGGCGAGAATAGTGCACTAGCTGCAAAACAGGGTCGATGGATGCCGAATTATAAAGAGCACGTCAACGCGCCCATCCATTACAATGACGGAGTAACATTGACGAATTCGGGGTTGACGATGGTCCACCGCAAGATCTTTCAACTTGGTGATCTATGATAACGAAAATGTCCTCCTGCTCCTAACAAATATCTGGAAGACTCTCCACCAGGACATGAGGCAAGTACATGAGTGCTGCCTCAGACGGGTACGCCAGTCTGCAGCACGGAACAATGGAATTCTACAGCATGAACCAGTACCATGCTACACAGAGACGACTATCGTGCAAACTTTGCCATCTTGCCAACTGCAGATGTGATGGAAGATCACCTCTGCGGACCAGCTCGTCAACGACGCCTCGGTCATTAGGGAAAGAGTCATCCGAAACAAAAACCACGATGAAAAGTAGAAATGCCGGATGAAATCACTTTGAATGAAGATACACACACGACGCACTTACTGCGCATTAAATGGACAGTAGCAAGAAGAGACGCTCGTTTCGCGGCAGCTTCTGCATGCTATCTTTCAAATATCATTCCTTCGAATCTCAGACAGTGCGGCCGCAACCAGAGCTAGTGGGCGTGGGACATTCCACTGTTTTCACTGACCAGCGAGGTGGTGACAAGAGGAACACATCAAAGAAGAAAGGTAGGAACCGCACACTCACCATGCACAGAAATGTCGAGCTAATTTCTAGCGAACTTAGTCTTCGTCACATGTACACACATCTGCTCTGGTAAACGACGGTGATCGTAGTCCTGCGAGGTGTATATGTATTAGAGTATGCAGTTCAATCCATCAGCAGATGAAGGACAATGGGCAGAGTCTCATCGAGACAGAAGCACAACGAACAGGTGAACATTGAAGAAGGCACGAAACCACATGAACTGACGTATCCATGTAGCCTAGCGAGTTTCGCACTCACAGCTACCACCATCGAATTACGACATACACGTCCAACACAATTCACGCAGCATTGTATTGAACAGTGGACCAGGGATCAACGATACGTACTGCATGTTGAGGCGTGAACAGAATGTGCCCCGTGCAACTATGGTGGGGGAGAAATGCAAGGGCTCACCGTCCGACCATCACCAACAACACAGCCCACCACAGTAGATAACTCGGCTCGGAAGTGACACACCAATATGCGTTGAGGCTGGACATTTGAAACTTTTCGCAGATAATCTGACAATGTCTGAGGTTGGCTGTCCTTTGTTTAACGGAGCGGACCATGACAGACATCGTCGCACGCCACTCAGTCGCAGACACCGTGGTTGGAGGAAGAGTTGATAAACACACGTGATGCTACTGTGTCGCGCTCCCGTGACAACAAAGTGCAAACCTCAAACAAAACGCGTATCGCCAGGTCAAAAGAATTATAAAAAGCGACACAATGTCAACAGCGCTAGGATAAAATACAGCACAAATATATATCAGATAAGTTACATCCAACCTGCCCAGTCAGTACCAGTCAATCATGCGTATGTCTATGTTTGCATGTCATTGGCTTTTCGGGGTCGATGCCGTGTTCCCGCCGGAGCTCTAACAGCACTTCACGAAACGGGTCGTGGTGCTCTGGCCTTGGTAACCGCAAACATCTCACCGCATCCGAACCCTCTGCTTTCCATGGGATGGCACCAAACATATGCAGCGAAGCATCGATCTTCCCATTCGGAAGTACCACCTGCCCAACAAGACACTCCGGTTTGTCGCTGCAATGTCTCTTCAGCGCATCCCCACGCGTATAAGGATGTTTACACGATGGGCATATCCACTGACAACGCTCGTGCGCCAGCCAATGCGTCACCATGTGTCGCATCCGGTCTGCCTCGTGCTGTTTACCATCACTCCGCCACACCCAGTCGCAGTCGTGGTACAGGCAGTACCAGACCTGCACTGACCCATCCTGCAATCCATGATATCAGATTGGGGAACTTGGAGACTGGAAGAACATTCCTCACTATAGTCTCCTCTCTCAGGTCCTCATCCTCTTCCGGTGTCGAGGTCGGTACAGTAGCCTTCTTCATCGTCCGCGCCCTCCTGCGACCTCGAGTAGATGTGGTACGTCTTGGTGCAGTGCTCCCTGCCAGACGGGACGGCCCAGCGACAGGCCCGAGAGACTCCCAGTTCGGGATGAAGTCGTCGTCGTCATCCTCCTGCTTGCGTCGATACTTCCTGGGCCGCGATGGGCCCGCTTCACTCTCCTCGGATGTGGACGACTCGTCGTCTACACTGGGTGATTCGAAGCTGCTGGCTTCTCGCTTCCGCCTGGAACGAGAAGGCCCTGCCCGTGGCTTGCGAGAATAGAAACATCGAGGTTAGTATAGGAATTGGTTAACCAAAAGAAGTGATGGGCATACCTGATGTTGTCTCGACGGCGATGGCGAAGATGAACTTGATGAGCACGAGGACGACCGGGACGAGGACCTAGATGAAGACCGAGACGGGGACGGAGAGGATGACCGGGAAGACGACCAGAAAGACGACCGGGATGACGACCGAGACGACGACCGAGATGAGGAAGGAGACGAGGACACCGACGAGGACAGGGACCAGGACCGTGACGACGAGGGGGATGACGGCGAGGACAAGGACGACGATGAACAGGGCAGCGTTGACATTGTGGAGGACGCATCGCTGTCCTCAGTGGTTTCGTCCCATTCCGCACACAACTCCGAATGAATTCTCGCGACGCACGCGTCAATGTCCTCCGTCTCCTCGACATAAACTGCCGATTTCGGCATATCCACGTTCAACACCCCAGCCAACCAGTCGGGAAGACCCAACTGAAGAAAATGAGCACCTGAATTCAAACCCAGATGACAAAGACATACCCGTGGAAGTAGCGTACCGTCGTCGTCGTACTGCAGAGGGTTCAGTATCATGAAAGACATGCTTCACCGAATAGACGGAGAGCGGGAGTGAACGATTGAGGAAATGGAACGTGGAAAATCTGACGCCTTGCGCTGCACCGCGCTCGCATTTATATCAGCGTGGCCCACCCGTCGTGCCTTCCCATGCAACATGCGCTCGATTACCATTGTCCCGTCCCTTTCTTTGCCTCTGTCCAGGATGTGATGCGCCCACAATACGATACACGCACCGAGTAGATCAGGCCCCAGATCCGCCTAATCCGTTCAATTGGTAGGGCCCACCAGCGTGGTCACCGGGCGCCGCCGACATTCCGAGCTTCTAGCGGGACCGTCTGCCAATCCGCTCACGGATGCACCCTGGGAAAAGAACCTCCACCACCCGCGGCTTGTCCTCGCCACTCCGAGGCTTCGGCTGCCTAGTTCCGCCATTGTCCGCCCCGACAAACTGGCCTGGCGATCCTGCTCCACTGCGATATCCATTTCGTCACAGTGATTTCCATCAGCCCGGGGCTAACGAACACAAGAAGGACCATAATGGGCCATGAGAACTCCGTCGCTTGCGACGTTTGATCCACCCGAACCAGGGAAATCAACCCGTAGGACGTGCTCTGGATCAGACGAACGCACCACCTCGCTCCCCTTGGGGAACGCCAGAAAATAGTGTCGTGATGTTTGCCTACAGAAGCTGAAACCTACCCTCTTTTCGAGCCAGATGGCGGTGGGTATGAACGCCCGTAGTCGAGAGTCAGCAACATCGACGATGACCAGGATGTCGAGTAAGAGGTGCCAGAACTGTCATTGAACGAGATGCCATTCGAATTCGACGGCAGCCAAGAAGAGACCTGATAGCTCATAGGCATAAGGCTATAACGGGATCAGACATGCATCCGTACGCATTGGGGAAAAATCAGGTGGGAGAAGTCCCGTACCTCTTCGTCCATTGCAAGTGAACGCACTTCTCAGGTAAGACCCGCGGTGTGAGGGTGTCTGCAGTGCTCCAGGCGATATCAATCGTGTAACAGTTGGTCAGTGTGAATAGGCGACATCCGGTGTCACTGTAGCTTCGAAATGAATCGAACATTGCGGCACACGAATCGCGAGATTGAGAACGCACTCGTCTGAAATGGAACAAAATGCGATTTCGCCAGTGAATAACAGCTGAAATCACAGACCAAAGCTCTAAAGCAAGTCATCATCGGCACAAGTATGACGTTCGTAGTACATGTGCCGATGAGGATTTGCTTCCGACTCAGAAGGCAATATCCATACTACGCGGTCTTATCCGAGGACTATTGCCTTCGAAAAGAAGACGAATCCTGTACGAAGTCAAAGTGGACCAACTGGAAATGCGTACACCAAGTGCTGGCGAACCAAGTTCGTGACAGCTGGATGGACTGCGGAGGAATCGCCTCGTGATGCGACTCCATCATCCATTCCTCCAGTTTGCTGTTATCCTTCCGCAGAATGCTGAAGGAAAGCGAGTATCTCGAGACTGAACAACTTGGCACTACGGCTGTCGGCGTACATGATCATGTCATGATGGTCAAGCTCAGTGCGGTCGCGATCACGTGTCGCCATTCTTCCGCTCTGATGCACGCGTCCAGACTCGGAGACATATCATCAGAGAGAAAACAACTCGTAGCATTGAAAGCGAATAATATAAACAATAATAATATCGACAACGAGAAGAGGACAGAGAAGAGAACACGACTGCTGCGTCAATTTGGCGACCATGGCTCCACCCCGAGCTCCTCCCGTAACATGGTTAACTCTTGCTCCAAGGGGTCCCTGTGCTCAGGGAGTGGCGCACGCAACCTCCGTAAAGGCCCTTTCCTGTGCCACGGATGCTTAAACGCCATGCACGCATTGTAGTCGATGATTCCATCCACCCGTCGCGGTGCCTTCGCGTTGCACTGAGGGAATAGGTTGCAGTGTCGCCTCAGCCCATCTGGCCGCGACAGCAATTTCCTGCATGTGGGACAGTGCCACAGTTTGTTCTCTCCCTCGAAGTGCTCCGCCAACATGTGGCGCTCCCGAGACTTCACGGTCCCCTTCAGCTGACAGCTCTCCACCAAGCACACCACCGTGCGCTGGAGAAGGAACCGGTCAGCGCTGTTGGGTGTACGAGGTATCCGAATTGAATATGCACCTTCTCCCTTCCCACCTTCGTCCTCTGCGCTGTCTTATTCTTCACAAGACGCTGGCGCTTTCTCGGAGGTTGACTCCCCATTCGTCCTTCGCCGGAAGGGACTACGCTATGAATCTTCCTTCCAGTCTGGCGCTGTAAAGTCGCACAGATAGAAGAAACGTTAGAGCACGGAATAGGAGCATGAATAGATCAACCTACCTTCTTATGGTCTACGTACGCTTCCTCCGCGGCCACGTCAACGTACTCTTCATCATCTTTGTCCTCTTTGTCCTCCTCCCCCTCCTCCTCCTTTTCCCGTCCACTTTCCACTTCCACCTGCATATCCTCTTCTGGTTCCGGTTCCTCTTCCTCCTCCTCTTCCTCCTCTTCCTTCACCGGCACATGGTAGTCACCATGTTTGCCTACCTCGGCCTCCTTCTCCTCCTTGCCGTCCTCGTAGTCGTCGACCTTGTCCTCATGTTCGTCTTCGTCTTCGTCTTCGTCTTCGTCTTCGTCTTCGTCTTCGTCCTCGTCGTCATCATCCTCGTCGTCATCGTCATCATCCTCATCCTCGTCGTCATCATCCTCTTCTTCCTCGTTGTCGTCATCTTCATCGTCCTCTTCTTCCTCCTCCTCTCGCTGCCGTTTTCCCAGCACAGCTTCAACCGGCTCTTCAAATGTTGGCAAAGGGTCCGGATCATCGAAGACCTGCGTCAAAGTTTCAGTCCACCGCCCACAAAGTGTTCGCAAACATAATGCCTTACCTCCACTGGTTCAAAGACTACGTCCCCGTTCTCAAACCGTTCTATCAAGTCGATATACTCTGTCACTCCTCCGTACATCAAACCCAGAGCCTGTGAGTAGGCAAAGAAAGCGTCCATCGTGGGTATAGTTTGGGCGGTGTGAGTTGAAATATGGACGCCGAAGTTCGAAACTTCGCAAGTTCGCAGGGTAGAGCGTGTTGGGATGAGGGGCACCGCCGGCACTATTTATGTTTTCGGGAAGGATAAACGTTTCGCGGTGTCCAGCCGCGTGATGAGCATGATGCCGAGTATTCTATTGGATATCGCACAGATCAATGCATTCCGATGTTCCCGCCGAGAACGACTGAACACACCAAACGAACGTCCAAAAATGGCAACGCACCTCGCCCATTGTTCATGACGTGGCCACCAGGCCCGTTGCCGGCCATGTGAGAGAGCTCCTTCACAGTGACGATGAGGCTGGGGTAGGCATCCTACCCCTGGATTTTCTCCCCGCACAGGCTTCCGGCCATTGCCATTTGCAAAGCTTGTCCCAAGGGCGAAGTCCCGTATGTTCCGTTCGTGTGGTTCTCCGCCGCAGAGGTTTCGTTCAATTCCACAGGGTGTCGCGTGAGGCAGGGGGACCTGCACCCATTTCCAGATGTAACACTCACCACGGCAGAGATGCCCAGTACGTGCGTTATGATGAGCCTCAGTAGAGTCTTTGTTACCTTGAGAAGAGTCACTTTGAGAGGGCGCGGAACCAATGCATCGACGGGGAGAAATCTGGATGCTTACACCAGAAATGTCTCTCAATTACGCCGTGGCTGAAGCACTGGCTGTATCTGCCCTACAGGGTATCGTACCCTGGCGTAATACTGCTGTAACACCTTCGCCGGGTATATCCAGGGTATCCTTCTGGAACAGAACGAGAAGCCTGACATGTTGGAAATCAGGACACTGTCGTTTACGCCTCGTGAAAATCGCAGGAAGAAGACGTAGCCTTGGCTTTCTGACCTTCCAGCTAGTGAACACGATCCAGAAAGCACAACGAGCTGGCGACCTGATTCTCTGCTTCGTCTCACAAGCGCGTCATGTCTTCACTCCTGACAGCAGATAAAATGTAATTGCGTCTGTGAGACAAAGAACGTACCTGTGTATTCCAGCGGAAGATGGTAGGCAGTGATCTATGTAAAAATGCGTCACCGTCGACATTCCATGATGCTTAAACGGCTCTCCGTGGTAGTCAACTCCAAGAATATTACCTGAAGAGAAGGCGGAGGAACGGACGTGGCGCCGTAGTCCAGGGCGTGGGTCCTGATCATCACCAGCTTCCAAGTACGGAAAGCTACTAGAAATACGCAAACGACGGCATGAACAACTTGAAGAACTCGATGTCTATTCGCGCCGCTTCATCCAGATCATAGACAGATGGTTGTCGAGAGAAACAGAATCAGCGCCCAAAGGCAGAACTTCAAAAAGTAGCCTATCTACGTACACCAGGAGCGATCAGTCAAATCTGATCGGGGGGCCGCTGAGGGATCGCTGGCCAATTGAAACCGAAAGTGGGAATCTGCAGCAGGAGCTGAGCAAGTGGAGTCAAGAGGAATCGCCCGAAAGCTCAGATCCTGATCGGGAAGACTAACTCGCGAACCTTTAGCCATTAAATTTGATGTATGTTGATCTTAATAGCAACTTGGACGAAGTAAAATTTTAGTCAAAATATGGCCGCGGCTATGTCTAGTTGGTAGCGAGCTACGGGATGAAGGTCATAACGCAGACTGTTCAAACTCGACTTAGCTTATCAGCAAGGAATAGATCGGTACGATATCGATGGGGGCATCCCCGGAATCCTCCGTTAGCAGGCCATCTGAGGGTACAATATTTGCATGTCGTACTTCAGATGGCAATCGTACAGTAGTTTAGCGGAGGGGTTGTATTTTCGATGAGAACTTAGGAGGAAGAGTTCGGGGAGAGATTGGTGTGTAGTTTAGAGGTGTATAACTTGGAGGGCGGTTTAGGAGGAAGATTTCATGGTGTAGTGTAGACGGCGGTATTAAGTATAGTTTAGAGGACAGATCAACGGCACCTCTTCCGGCATACATGTTACAATGGACCTACGAAGGCGAGTTGTGATCGTCTGCTTTATTCCAGGTCTCCGATCGTCACTCGATCAGGACAGACCCCCGCGCAGAGGTGTCTCCACGTCAACATTGCACCTGAGGAACATCTCCAATGCCGATTCAAGGTCGCCAGCAGCCGTAAGATGTCCCGTACGGCTTCTCATCCATGGACGCTATTCTTCTGTGTCCAGTGCAGCTGAAGTCAGAGTGTGAGGTAATAATCAGGAGCATGGAAACAGACGCACATAGCACTCCATGAATGTCTATATTGTGTAGCCTTTAGCGGTCGGACGCCGAACATTAACAGGAATAGCAAACGCTGATGGCGGATAGAGAGGGTTAGGGGCCGGACCCGCACAATGAACGATATGCGGATGTGATGGTGGACTGACTGGTGCTGGAGAGCGAAGTTAGGAGTTCTACAGGCACCCGTTCCGGCATTTATAAATGCTGGGAGCCGTGGCTGTATGCTCCTTCATACTGAGGACATCTCAGTAAAGGGTGCGTTCTTGTCTGCACGCCTCACGGTCAACGTGCCTCGTGTCCGTGGCTGAAATCCGCGTCCGATGCCACCGCCATATCGAGCGTGGCCTGGTTACGGAACGAACCTGCACAGGGATGAAGGAACATCTCGACATCTGCAAGCCAGCGGTTGCTGGCACTGCGCAGTGAGCGAGGTACCTCGTGCTGTTGGAGGTTTGAGTGTCTTGAAAGAGGATATCTCAAACCCACAAAAGCAGCCCATCCTCCATGAACGGTGTATTCGCAGGCGTCGAATAAACTGGAGATGCTGAGCATTGGAATGTCTCCCAAATGACGCTGGATGCTAGGGGACCTCAGGTACAAACATTCGTATTAATTGCGGATCCAAAAGACAGGAAGCGACAGACCCTTACCACGCGTCGCGGTACAAGCTTTTGTCACATCCAATATCGTGGACACGCGGTCTCACAGCCGCTCGCAGGACTTCGACAACTTCACGGGCGTCGCGGTCTCTGTCTGTGCACGCTGGCTCAAATGGTGCAGTCAAGACCATTATCAATTATCATACTGCACGTGCTTGTGTCCGTACTTATCTGTGGGGCCCGAAGAAGACAAAACCGCAATTGGAGATTTGGAGCGACGCGCCAGGCAGGTGGTGCGATACAGTGTGCAACTCGACTGCCTCGACCACCTAGACAGAGACAGACATTTTTCTGCAAGACACTAGTACTGGAGAGTTCTGTGCATGTCGGCATAGATCGCGACGCAGCGAAACACCTGGAAAAGTAGAGAAATTGGCGTCGGCAAAGTCCGAAAGCTTTAGCCAGGGGCGAGCACGCTGGAGCCGCCTGATCGTTCTCATCATCGAGCACGCCTGCTCCTCGGATCCCTCCATTAACCATCGCTGGCGATATACACTCTTCATTTTGCTGGCTGGAAACGCCGTGACATCTTTCTCGCAGGACAGCACGTACACCTTTGAGGCGGGGCACTCGATGCCAACGGTTCCTTCCAGTCTGGCATGTGTCTCCCACCACTTCGGTATCGACGACGTCAGCGGACCCACACCAGACCCTGAGCTCGATGATGTCGTCTTAGTTCCCGCAGAGTCTGGAAACGCAGTGACGACAGTAAGCAACTGCTATCTGGCTACCGGCCCATCCTAACCTCATGGTGCAGACCTCGCCAGAACCGCCAGAACCTACCGTCAAGCCCCATATTTCTCTTGGGAACCTGACACTGCACTCACCTTCATCCATCATGGGCACCCCATTCGACCTCTCACCGCGCTTCGAGTATCCGTTCCCCCCCAATGTCGACCCCGCCGAGCACACCCTGCCCGCGACAATGCCCACGATGCCCACCTTCTCCTCCTCACTCGTGTCTTTCCCCGCATCTTTCCTCTCAGTGCCGTTACCGCAACTTCCGATGCCGAGCACGCGCGCAGATCGCAACCACTCCCATACGCATATGCGGATGCAGACACGAGACCCGCCGATGCCGCCGGGACTGGCTAAGAAGGGGCGTGCGCCGGCTTCCTCGATTACATCCTCTCGCACACAGCGCCCCCGTTGCGAGAGTACGCCTTCCGCTTTAGAATCCGTGCGTTCACCTGCGTCTGATCTGAGGAGTCAGACGCGGGTAGTAGAGGCTAAGAGGGCTTTGGATCGGACACTCAGAGACGAGACGATGGTCGGGGAGGAAGGGGAGCCCAAAGTCGGGATTGCTAGACATTTGAAAGCGGATCAGGGCCTCGCCGTGCAACAGATTATTCCAAACCCCGTCATCGGCCCAGTCATACCGGACACAATGATGGACATCGTTGACCATGCTGCTTTTCACGATATTGTCAAGACAGTCGAGGCCAGGGTGGAGCGTGTAGTCGACTTCCAGAAATCCACAGTCGATCATCGTGTCAGCGGCTTGGTGAAGCCGATTCTCAGGTCGATTGCACCCTCGGAGACCCTCCACCACCTCCAGGATACATTATCGGAATGTGGAGGTGCTGCTCCACCTTCCACCTCTGTCTCAGACCACGACACTCTCCTTGTCATGTCTGCGGCGGTCTCCGAAGCTGTTGTAGCCTCCGATGCCTCCTGCTCCCTGTCTCGCTCACCTTCTCCCATCACCCCCGTCGGTGCATATTAGTGCGAGGCGCCAGAAACCGTTGTTCCTTCCTTCTAGTTCAATGGTTAAAAACAATTTCCGAAGGTTCTTCATCCTTTTTTTCGCAACTTGCCCTTAAGGATAAATGCACCCCTTCTGCTCAGGAGCCTTATACACGTGATCTCCTGCACTTATTTGACCCTCACTTGTTTAGCATTTAACATGCTTCATTCCACTTTCATTTCACACACTACATTTCTCATTTTTTGTCCGGTGCGGCTGGACCCTCCCGACTTGTCTCCGTCGCCTTATTACGATCATGTATTCTCGCTCATGTATCGCTCTCACTCATGCTCATGTACGCACACTCTCGTTTGGCTCGCTTTCACATTCGTCGGTCGCTCTTTGTCCTTACTTTGTTCGCTGTGCACCTGGTCGGATCCGCATATACGGAGGGTTTTACTACGGGCTGGTGGCGTTGTTTGTTGTATACACACGCACATGATTGTCTAACTACGAATCGGTTGGCTCTTTGGAACTGTATTTTATATATTCGTCGAATGATTTCAGCGTGAAATGTACATCAGAGATAGGCTCGTTAACCGGCCTCTAGTATATAGGAAGAAAGAGTCGTTCCTCTATATAGAGGCTGGATCCTCGTATGAGGGGCTTCTGAGAGGTCCCCCGTGGGAACGGCGGAGTTTGACCATGCCGACGGCGCGGCCAAAATGCGTACAAAACTTGAGATGTGAAGGAGGCAATGTGACATACGACGCATACAAAAATTTTAGCATAGCTTCCAGGAAATGAGTGGCAATTTTTTCAGCACTTTTCGCCGGCTGAACTATTGTGCAATGCATTTATTTTCCTACTGCACAGAGGGAGCTCGGCGTTCACCCGAGCAGAAGCTCGCGTCATGATCATGTGCAAATCATGTGAGGGCAAGCTGCCGTTGCGCCGACGTCAATATTCAAACTCAACGTTTCCCATGGGGGACCTCTCAGAGGCCTCTCATACGAGGTTCGAGACTACATCAGAGAGCTAGATTGGCGTCGGCGTCCAGAGCATCGATTCCTTCTTTTTGTGTGCGGATCCATTCGATCATGAGGCATAATCAGTATCTTGACGTTTAACTTGCAACATGGCTCTCCACTGATTCACATTACCTTCACCTTAGAACCTTGTTTTTCGCGGGTGAGCGTATATACTGTTCTGAAATTACTACCAATTGTTGGTCAGGCATCCCGTCCAACTTTCCAGTGCCAGCTCTCATTGCGCGCCTACGTCGGTAGCATATAGACCGTTCATGTGCTGCATGCTTATAGTAGTTGAAGCCATACCGAAGACTACCTGGCTAAAATCGTAGTCCACACTTCTATGTGGTCTCATTTTTTATATTGATCGAGTACTTCCCTCTGCTTCCGCGGCGCCTCCCGATCAAGATTGGATCTTTCCCATTCACTCCTCCTCGTCTGTAGGTTCCGTTTCCACGGTTCGTCCTACAACGCTGGATCATGGAGATGAAGACCAGCGATTCCTCAGCGGCACTGGCCGTTGTGTCCGAGTTTCCGCCGATCAAATATCGGCGACCGAAATCGCCCGGCTGCTGGACCTCTTGGGCTGATTTTGTTTCGCTTGTCCACGGTCTGTCCATGTTGTGGGTGAAGCTGGGTGAATTGATGTTGAGTTCACGTCCATTCGGTTAACTGAGGGTTGCGTATAGTTTTCAGGAGTAATACAGGGCACTCGTGGGTCGCAGTTGAATTCGACGCTGGGGATGATCAGGTCCCGCGCCGATGTTCTGGATTATGGCGCCACGTCGGCTGCTTTGGGTGCTCTTCAGGTTAGGCCGATGTTGAATTTCACAACCATGACAGAGTTCCTAGAACGTAGTCTATGATACGATCTGCATGGATCGCTGCCTGTGATCCTCTGCTGGAATAGACAGGTGTGCTCTCTCCGACAACTGGCCGATGAACGTCTACGGGGCATGACAATGACGATGCAGTTCTGAATGTGCTGCTCCATTCCGAAGATCGCAACAACATGCATCAAGGTCAGTCAATATGCCATCGGTGCCGGCACGGAGACATTGACCCCTTAATATTAATTCCCTGTTTGCATCCGCAAAGGATGTATTTCTTGACTCAGAAGGCTCCAAAACCCTTCTAATGTGAGAGGATGCTGATACAGGTAGAGACTCATCTCCATAGCAAGTGACTCTTTGACATATGAGGATGATCTCACTGATATTCACAACGGACATCTATAGTGGGGAGGACCGCCATGGTCGGTGTTATACCTGACCAAAGCGCGAAACTTTTCACGGCCCTCGGGAAACACTCCACTGCGAGGTGATCAAAAAAAGCTCTGGGGCGGAGAAGTACCACCATACGGAACGTGAAGGACTTCACTCTCGAGACTGGCTCTTTGGATGACAAAACCCGAAACTTTGAAGCAGGGAAATGGGTGTAAGGTTCCCCTGCCTCACGCGACACCCTGTGGAATTGAACGAAACCTCTGCGGCGGAGAACCACACGAACGGAACATACGGGACTTCGCTCTTGGGACAAGCTTTGCAAATGGCAATGGCCGGAAGCCTGTGCGGGGAGAAAATCCAGGGGTAGGATGCCTACCCCAGCCTCATCGTCACTGTGAAGGAGCTCTCTCACATGGCCGGCGACGGGCCTGGTGGCCACGTCATGGACAATGGGCGAGGTGCGTTGCCATTTTTGGACGTTCGTTTGGTGTGTTCAGTCGTTCTCGGCGGGAACATCGGAATGCATTGATCTGTGCGATATCCAATAGAATACTCGGCATCATGCTCATCACGCGGCTGGACACCGCGAAACGTTTATCCTTCCCGAACACATAAATAGTGCCGGCGGTGCCCCTCATCCCAACACGCTCTAACTTGCGAACTTGCGCACTTTCGAACTTCGGCGTCCATACTTCAACTCACACCACTCAAACTATACCCACGATGGACGCTTTCTTTGCCTACTCGCAGGCTCTGGGGTTGATGTACGGAGGAGTGACAGAGTATATCGACTTGGTAGAACGGTTTGAGAACGGGGACGTGGTCTTTGAACCAGTGGAGGTAAGGCATTATGTTTGCGAACACTTTGTGGGCGTTGGACTGAATCTTTGACGCAGGTCTTCGATGATCCGGATCCTTTGCCAACATTTGAAGAGCCGGTTGAAGCTGTGCTGGGAAAACGGCAGCGAGAGGAGGAGGAAGAAGAGGACGATGAAGATGACGACAACGAGGAAGAAGAGGATGATGACGACGAGGATGACGATGATGAGGATGACGACGAGGATGATGACGACGAGGACGAAGACGAAGATGAACATGAGGACAAGGTCGACTACTCGGACTACGACGAGGTCGACGACTACGGGGACGGCAAGGAGGAGAAGGAGGCCGAGGTAGGCAAACATGGTGACTACCATGTGCCGGTGAAGGAAGAGGAGGAAGAGGAGGAGGAAGAGGAACTGGAACCAGAAGAGGATATGCAGGTGGAAGTGGAAAGTGGACGGGAAAAGGAGGAGGAGGGGGAGGAGGACAAAGAGGACAAAGATGACGAAGAGTACGTTGACGAGGCCGTGGAGGAAGAGTACCTGGACCATAAGAAGGTAGGTTGATCTATTCATGCTCCTATTCTGTGCTTTAACCTTTTTTCTATCTGTGCGACTTTACAGCGCCAGACTGGAAGGAAGATTCATAGCGTAGTCCCTTCCGGGGAAGGACGAATGCGGAGTCAACCTCCGAGAAAGCGCCAGCGTCTTGTGAAGAACAAGACAGCGCAGAGGACGAAGGTGGGAAGGGAGAAGGTGCATATTCAATTCGGATACCTCGTACACCCAACAGCGCTGACCGGTTCCTTCTCCAGCGCACGGTGGTGTGCTTGGTGGAGAACTGTCAGGTGAAAGGGACCGTGAAATCTCGGGAGCGCCACATGTTGGCGGAGCACTTCGAGGGGGAGAACAAACTGTGGCACTGTCCCACATGCAAGAAATTGCTGTCGCGGCCAGATGGGCTGAGGCGACACTGCAACCTGTTCCCTAAGTGCAACGCGAAGGCACCGCGACGGGTCGATGGAATCATCGACTATAATGCGTGCATGGCGTTTAAGCATCCGTGGCACAGGAAAGGGCCTTTACGGAGGTTGCGTGCGCCGCTCGCTGAGCACAGGGACCCCCTGGAGCAAGAGTTAACCATGTTGCGGGAGGAGCTCGGGGTGGAGCCATGGTCGCCAAATTGACGCAGCAGTCGTGTTCTCTTCCCTTTCTTCTTCTAGTTGTCGGTATTATTATTGTTTATGTTATTCGCTTTCAATGCTACGAGTTGTTTTCTCTCTGATGATATGTCTCCGAGTCTGGACGCGTGCATCAGAGCGGAAGAATAGCGACACGTGATCGCGACCGCACTGAGCTTTACCATCATGACATGATCATGTACACCGACAGCCGTAGTGCCAAGTTGTTCAGTCTCGAGATACTCGCTTTCCTTCAGCATTCTGCGGAAGGATAACAGCAAACTGGAGGAATGGATGATGGAGTCGCATCACGAGGCGATTCCTCCGCAGTCCATCGCTGTCACGAACTTGGTTCGCCAGCACTTGGTGTACGCATTTCCAGTTGGTCCACTTTGACTTCGTACAGGATTCGTCTTCTTTTCGAAGGCAATAGTCCTCGGATAAGACCGCGTAGTATGGATATTGCCTTCTGAGTCGGAAGCAAATCCTCATCGGCACATGTACTACGAACGTCATACTTGTGCCGATGATGACTTGCTTTAGAGCTTTGGTCTGTGATTTCAGCTGTTATTCACTGGCGAAATCGCATTTTGTTCCATTTCAGACGAGTGCGTTCTCAATCTCGCGATTCGTGTGCCGCAATGTTCGATTCATTTCGAAGCTACAGTGACACCGGATGTCGCCTATTCACACTGACCAACTGTTACACGATTGATATCGCCTGGAGCACTGCAGACACCCTCACACCGCGGGTCTTACCTGAGAAGTGCGTTCACTTGCAATGGACGAAGAGGTACGGGACTTCTCCCACCTGATTTTTCCCCAATGCGTACGGATGCATGTCTGATCCCGTTATAGCCTTATGCCTATGAGCTATCAGGTCTCTTCTTGGCTGCCGTCGAATTCGAATGGCATCTCGTTCAATGACAGTTCTGGCACCTCTTACTCGACATCCTGGTCATCGTCGATGTTGCTGACTCTCGACTACGGGCGTTCATACCCACCGCCATCTGGCTCGAAAAGAGGGTAGGTTTCAGCTTCTGTAGGCAAACATCACGACACTATTTTCTGGCGTTCCCCAAGGGGAGCGAGGTGGTGCGTTCGTCTGATCCAGAGCACGTCCTACGGGTTGATTTCCCTGGTTCGGGTGGATCAAACGTCGCAAGCGACGGAGTTCTCATGGCCCATTATGGTCCTTCTTGTGTTCGTTAGCCCCGGGCTGATGGAAACCACTGTGACGAAATGGATATCGCAGTGGAGCAGGATCGCCAGGCCAGTTTGTCGGGGCGGACAATGGCGGAACTAGGCAGCCGAAGCCTCGGAGTGGCGAGGACAAGCCGCGGGTGGTGGAGATTCTTTTCCCAGGGTGCATCCGTGAGCGGATTGGCAGACGGTCCCGCTAGAAGCTCGGAATGTCGGCGGCGCCCGGTGGCCATGCTGGTGGGCCCTACCAATTGAACGGATTAGGCGGATCTGGGGCCTGATCTACTCGGTGCGTGTATCGTATTGTGGGCGCATCACATCCTGGACAGAGGCAAAGAAAAGGACGGGACAATGGTGATCGAGCGCATGTTGCATGGGAAGGCACGACGGGTGGGCCACGCTGATATAAATGCGAGCGCGGTGCAGCGCAAGGCGTCAGATTTTCCGCGTTCCATTTCCTCAGTCGTTCACTCCCGCTCTCCGCCTATTTGGTGAAGCATGTCTTTCATGATACTGAACCCTCTGCAGTACGACGACGACGGCAGCCTGCTTCCACGGGTATGTCTTTGTCATCTGGGTTTGAATTCAGGGTGCTCATTTTCTTCAGTTGGGTCTTCCGGACTGGTTAGCTGGGGTGTTGAACGTGGATATGCCGAAATCGGCAGTTTATGTCGAGGAGACAGAGGACATTGACGCGTGCGTCGCGCGAATTCATTCGGAGTTGTGTGCGGAATGGGATGAAACGACTGAGGATGGCGATGCGTCATCCTCAATGTCAGTGCCGCCATGTTCATCATCCTCGTCGTCCTCGTCGTCCTCGTCGCGGTCCTCTTCTCCGTCGTCGTCACGGTTTTCGTCCCGGTCCTCGTCTCGATCGTCATCTTGGTCGTCGTCTCGGTTGTCGTCTCGGTCGTCTTCCTGGTCATCGTCCTGGTCATCGTCTCGGTCCCCGTCTCGGTCTTCATCTAGGTCCTCGTCCCGGTCGTCCTCGTGCTCATCAAGTTCATCTTCGCCATCGCCGTCGAGACAACATCAGGTATGCCCATCACTTCTTTTGGTTAACCAATTCCTATACTAACCTCGATGTTTCTATTCTCGCAAGCCACGGGCAGGGCCTTCTCGTTCCAGGCGGAAGCGAGAAGCCAGCAGCTTCGAATCACCCAGTGTAGACGACGAGTCGTCCACATCCGAGGAGAGCGAAGCGGGCCCATCGCGGCCCAGGAAGTATCGACGCAAGCAGGAGGATGACGACGACGACTTCATCCCGAACTGGGAGTCTCTCGGGCCTGTCGCTGGGCCTTCCCGTCTGGCAGGGAGCACTGCACCAAGATGTACCACATCTACTCGAGGTCGCAGGCGCGCAAGGAGGGCGCAGACGATGAAGAGGGCTGCTGTACCGACCTCGACACCGGAAGAGGATGAGGACCTGAGGGAGGAGACTATAGTGAGCAATGTTCTTCCAGTCTCCAAGTTCCCCAATCTGATATCATGGATTGCAGGGTGGGTCAGTGCAGGTCTGGTACTGCCTGTACCACGACTGCGACTGGGTGTGGCGGAGTGATGGTAAACAGCACGAGGCAGACCGGATGCGACACATGGTGACGCATTGGCTGGCGCACGAGCGTTGTCAGTGGATATGCCCATCGTGTAAACATCCTTATACGCGTGGGGATGCGCTGAAGAGACATTGCAGCGACAAACCGGAGTGTCTTGTTGGGCAGGTGGTACTACCGAATGGGAAGATCGATGCTTCGCTGCATATGGTTGGTGCCATCCCATGGAAAGCAGAGGGTTCGGACGCGGTGAGATGTTTGCGCTTACCAAGGCCAGAGCACCACGACCCGTTTCGTGAAGTGCTGTTGGAGCTGCGGCGGGAACACGGCATCGACCCCGAAAAGCCAGTGACATGCAAACATAGACATACGCATGATTGACTGGTACTGACTGGGCAGGTTGGATGTAACTTATCTGATATATATTTGTGCTGTATTTTATCCTAGCGCTGTTGACATTGTGTCGCTTTTTATAATTCTTTTGACTTGGCGACACGCGTTTTTGTTTGAGGTTTACGGTTGTCACGGGAGCGCGACACAGTAGCGTCACGTGTGTTTATCAACTCTTCCTCCAACCACGATGTCTGCATCTCAGCTACGGTGTCTGTGTTTATTATCGTCCTTGAACGCGCATCATCCATCCTCGGAAGAAGAACTCCTTTTATTCAACCTCCCGTTGGTGGAGTTATATTCTTTGGCGGGCCGGCGTCGGCAATGTTTTGATGATTCATAATGGTAGACAGTAGCGACCCCTCTCATGGGATGGAAGGCTGGTGTACACGACTTCATGGGAAGTTGGCGACCGCCTAGGAGATGAAGACTTGGTTCAATTGTACGCGGTATGAGTTTTGAATTTGTACAGTGCCGTTGGATGTGACCTTCCTTCGTTCCGTCAGTCATCGTGTCGCAATAGGTTGCGGTCGCTTACTACGCGGAACCCGGAAGATGATCTTAGAGGTTACTGGACTACATGGCCATGTGTTCCGTCACTTTGTTGGTAGAGCCCGCGGGAAGTTTGTTGGTAGATCCAGCTGCTACCCCCCTCCTCGACGTTGGAAATTGGTGCGCGCCCCCATATTAAGTGAATGTTCTACAGGTTCTGATCATCGCTTTGTTAGAGTGTATGTGTGTGTCCGTTGGCGAAGACTCCCCAGTCGCTCTCATTTTCATAGTACGATTCATGACGCGGTGAGCGAGGGGGGGTGTTTCATGTGCCGGATTACGTATGTGTTGTCTCTGTCCTTCTGCCATCAGGATCACCCTCAGTTATTATGCGATGGGTTGGGCGCGCCGCCAGGTATAGCTCAATTCCATCCATATAATGTGATGCTACCTTTGGTGACGATGGGGCGACAGGCAGTATTCATTTGCAAAGCTGGTACACCACAGGATCCATAAATATTTTTCTGACATCTTTGAAGCCTCTACGGTTTGCTTGTGAACAAGTGTGGCTCATTCGTTCATTCTAGTTGTGATCCCCATGGCTTGAATGAACATTTGGGCCAGTATCTTAGTATTGATGTTTGGTCTCCTACAGCCAAGTTGCAGCGCGTCCTTATACGCAGACAAATGTCTATACTTCAATCTTGATCACGATGTTGATGAATTGGCTACTTGTCCTCCTGCTTTGCTCGGTCACTTTCGCCCCTTCTGTTGCGACTTATGGCTATAGGAGCCTTGGCGACCCTGCTGGCCTAGCTATTCACTAACTATTGAAGGTGCATACACATGCTTATATTTCTTGTGACGTGCTGACGCTTAGTACCCAGATAGTTGAGTTGTAGTTCGAATCGTCTTGGCCATGAACTTTGCCACGTCGTATCTAATTTCTCACGGAATGGAGATAACGACTTTCAGTGCGTGGAGTAGAACATGGTTTGCGGACTGTGCTGCTGCAACGTGACACCTTTTCGTTGTCAATTTTACAGTACAAGTCTGTTCAAGGATTCAAACAAGAGCGCATCACGGCGAAGGTTTTAAGGTGAGCCGAGCCTGGATTGTTCTCATCGAGAACAGAGCCACCACACCGATGTTGACATCCCCCTACAGCCTGGACATCACTTTACTTGGCCCATCGGAGACCTCCTGATTTTTATGGATGTATGAGTTGTCCCGTATGTCTGCCACTTCCTAGTCCCATTATAGTCCTATTCTAAAGATGTTCTGTTATAACGTCGTTGGTGTACGACCGCAATAACGTCAGGTTAATCAGAATCAAGGAGATAGTACTTGGCAGCATACGTTGGAAGCTTGCTTTTTTTTTGCGGACGCTCGGCGTCTACTAACCACCTGTAGTCAACCATGAGTCGAACAGAGTATGATGCTGCTGACGACGCTCGGTGATCTAAGTATCCATTTTCCGACATTCTATGTGGTGAGTTTTCGGACGTGTTGAAAACGCACAGCAGCTCCTACGTGCTCACTCATTCTGAATCGGATGTAGATCCCAGTGATAGAGTCAATCTATTTTTTACGAACAATGAGAAGCATAGAGGCTGGCTCGATATGGTATGACTTGTTGTTATTGACACCGGTTGCGCGGAAACCGACTTTAATGAATCAATGTTGTCGCACAGACTGCCGGATTCGAAATACACAGGTCATGCCGAGCCGTCGGGTAGAATGGAAGCGAATGGCGCACAGAAGTCGGATGTGCTGTAGGTGGCGTGCTCTGAGGTGAATTTTTTTTGGTGACTGCCCAAGTGTTTTGGCCTTCACAACCCTGAAACGTGGTGAACCGCAGACACCGTGGGAGCTTGACAATGGGCAAAATCTGGTTCCTGGTCTTGCCGACATTTGTGCTTGGTGGGTGCATATTTGGTGCCGTACGAATGGGGTATCTTCAGCCACACCCCTCAGAACTGTCCGCACAGAGGCTCGACGAAGCCCAAAGGGAACACCGGAAATGGAAGCCAACAATGGAGATCATGGGCTGTTCTGTGCATCCGGACGGTTGCACTCACAGAAAGATTTCCCTCACATAAGTACGGCCCGTGACCTTGTGGAGGCCTCATTCTGCCACGCCCATTATCCTCAGCCACGTACCCACTTCTAGCGACTCTGAACATGTTGAAGTATCCGACTCCCAATACTGAATTCACACCAGTATGTTATCATTTTCCACGGCGAGCTAGGCTGTGTGCTCACCCAGCGGCGAGACTGACTACCAGGCGGCGTTCCGGGAAGAGTGCTTACATTTTCAAGACCCTCTTCCGACAGTCCCTTTTTTTATCGTGGACCCGTTCCTGGTCTGCAAGCATCAGCGTATCCACAGGGAAGTAGCTTACCGTGGAGGCGTCGGGAAGTACAACGCATCGTCCTCGATGTGGACACAGCTTGATGTGAGCCTCTCGCAGTTGCAGCTGTACAGAGATGATACAGAATGTCTGACGTTTTATCAGTCCCAAGAAGAGCCACCCCATCTCCCGCCGCAGAGACACTCTCGATTGGTAGAGGGTCTTCCTCCCATTCGCAGAAGTGCCCGCCTGCGACAGCTGCTTAACTACGCCGAAGAAGGCGTATCGGCCGCCCCTGAGCAACATGTGGCGGTCCATGCGCTTCGCAGGAAGCGGACGGAGGATGACGCGGACGATGTAGCTTATGTTCCACTGCGGACATCTGCACGATCTGCAGAGCCTTCTCGGCGAAATAAGCGCCGGCGTGTAGCGGCGCTCTCGGACGAATCTGATGGGGCTCCTTCCACTTCGAAGAGGAACTCCTTTTCAGAAGGAAAGAGGGCGCGTGCATTCTTCTCCTATCCTATTCGTCTATGAGTCTCACTTGATTTATTGCAGCAAGCGGGAGCAAAAAATATCCGCGTGTGGCGCTGTCCGTATCACGGATGCACAAAGGTGTGGTCTAGTGGCAATCCGAAGCACCGTGAGCGTGAACGTCGCAAGCATCTGGCGACGCATTGGGAGAAAGACGTGTCTTCGAAGTGGAAGTGTCCCGGATGCGATGCACACTTTACGCGGAGTTACACGTTAACCAAGCACTGTAACGTCTTTTCTCAATGTCTAGAGGCGGCACAATACCGTCTTTCGAACGGCAACATCAACACTAAGGAGTACATCGATGGCGCGGACCCGTGGGATTCGTTGGAGGGAGTGAAGTGCCTGTGCTTCCCACTACCAGAAGACAATGACAAGTTTGAAGCAGAGCTGGCCAGGTTGCTCCTAAAGCACAAACTTACCGGTGAGGAGATTTGCGTACACGGTCACGTCCACAGGTCTTGCCACTCTTAAGAGTTACTGTTTCGCCATCTGCATCGTGTATTGGCATCGACTTGCATTGTGTTGTTACTTATGTCTGTATTGACCTGCATCGTATCCTTATTTGTATCTACGTCGACCCGCATTGTATTGACGTGTCCCTGCGCTCTGTAAGGCGACTGCCCTTGAATATGAAAACTGAAGCAACGACAATATTAGGGGGAGTCAAAGTTGGCGATTTTGGGGCGATTCAGAGTTTCTCCGAAGACGGATTCTGACGACGATTTTGCATCCCAGAATCTACTCAAAATCAGAATCGGACGTGAATCGCGTCGAATCGTCGAATCGCCTCTGGAGGCGCTTCAACCTCAGAATCGCCGATTCTCGCACCTCGATTCTCCTCCCTCTGTATCTGCCACTACAAAATTTTGTAGTAGTAGATACAAAGGAACAAGAATCGAGGTGCAAGAATCGGCGATTCTGAGGTAGAAGCGCCTCCAGAGGCGATTCGACGATTCGACGTGATTCACGTCCGATTCTGATTCTGAGTCGATTCTGGATGCAAAATCGTCGTCAGAATCGGTGCTCGGAGAAACTCTGAATCGCCCCAGAATCGCCAACTTTGACTCCCCCTATTCTGATTGTTTGTACGCGTCGATCACGAGAGCGCGATGTATCACGTGCCGCAACATTCCACCAACCGTCAATGGATGCCTTCCCGTAGGATTTGGAGCACTTCTAAATCACAAAGCGGACTGCGAAACACCCCACTGTGTCGGAACAGCAGGATTTGTGAAACCGTAGCGTCGCAACATGATGATGATCAAACCAAGTTCTAGAGGGTCGGAGGACGAGCGGCAGCATGATGTAAGCAATATGCAGCACCAAATATAGGCAAAGATGGGCATTGCGAGTGTGCGGAGACCGAAATCATCGTTTAGAGAGACGTTTAGAATCTGGAAGGGGGGGTCGACCCCCCCTTCCAGATATAAGGTTTAGAAAGAGCTCACTCTGCTCTCACGGTATGCGGAGATCAATTTGCCGACGTGCCGGCCTGATTTAGAGACGAAATTTAGTTTAGAACGTTTCTAAAGCTAAATTCGTCTCTAAATCACTCCGGCACGTCGGCCAATTGATCTCCGACGAGCCTGTGAACAAAGTGAGACCTTTCTAAACCTTGTATCTGGAAGGGGGGGTCGACCCCCCCTTCCAGATTCTAAACGTCTCCCTAAACTATATTTTCGACCTCCGCACCCTCACAACCCCCATCATCGCCTATATTTGGTGTTATACATCACTTACATCATCTTGCCGTTCATCCTCCGACCGTCTAGAACTTGATTTAGTGATCATGGTCTCACGTCGTTATGGTCTCGCAAATCTTGCTGTTCCGACACAGTGGGGCATTTCGTAGTCCGCTTTATGATTTAGAAATGCTCTAAATCCTACGGGAAGGCATCCAATATTAAACCGCGAGGTCTCTCTATCCTGACATCTCCATTCAGTGTTGTTATCCCTTCTGCAGTACCAAAAATGCGGTATATGCAACGCAATGCTTTACTCTACTCTAGGCCTTCGGAGTCAGGTAGTTTATTGTGACGGTACGACATTGACGGTGAGCGAATACATATCCATATTCGTCGACGTTGCTGGTCGATTCTGCTGAAATGCCTGCAGGTCATTGTCATGAGTCACAGCCCCGATCTTGGGCTGCAGAAGCTCATCGGGAAGATGAGAAGCTCGTGGAGGATCGCGCTGTCAGCGAACACCCCGTAGCTACTAACAACCGTGTTTACTATCGACAACCAGCTGGCGATATGCCTGCGTACTAGTCGATTGAGACCTCTGCGCCATAATTACACGGTAGAGGTAAAAACGAACTGTCTTCTAAATTACACTGTAAAGTTCTCTTCCAAATCCCTCTGGAAATTTTGCCTCTAGACCACGCTGTTAAATCTTCCGTTAAAAATACCTTCTAGACTACACTGTAAACTGGTTATCTGAAATACGTAGAAATTGGACCGTGTTCACTGACAATGTCACATCGTTAACAAGTCGTTGCTACTCGAAAGGCCGCCAGGCGGCGGCGGAACTTGCTCGGAGGGTGGACAGTGCCACAAAACAAATAGCGCACAACAACTGTGTAAAAACGACACTTTCACTTTTGGGTCGAGAGAGCTTGCTCTCCGAGCAAGAATTGTGCCTGACTCGGCAATTTTTCGGCCTATTTCTGGCGTGGGTTAAGAGGACCCCCGACAATTGGGGAAGGTCCCTGAGCCAGTTACGGACAAATTTTGAACTTTCGAGAGCCCCATGGTATTTCACGGACAAATCAGGGGGTCGACCGCCGGATAGCCTGATCACCATTTCACGGACATCGGGGAGGCAGCGCCCAGGAGGCCTGATTCGGGGCCGGCGCTTGTGGAAGGCCGGCGGGGAAAGGCGGGCAAGGCCGGAGGAGGAGGCGGCGTAGCCACCGTCTCAAGCGCCCAAAATTACCTTTTTAGGGTTAGAAACTCACGCTAGTCCTGAGGAGAAACGCGGACCGCGGAGGTAAAAAAGTCCTCATTTTTCACGACATTTTGGGCCCAAAACGGCCTTTTCCCAACGGACTTTTTTTGCGCTCTCCAGATCAGGCCTATTCACCAATTGTCGGGGGTCCTGGGTTACAGCAAAGATCATATCAATATTAGGCCCATGGTCAAAAAATCGTGCACAGGCGGCCTTTGGGCGGTGTGCGAAAAAAAAGCTCCCGATAGGTGGGACCTTAACCGCCTACAGCCGGGCGCGAGCGGCCCAGGCGGCGTGACTTGGTGGCACCGCGCTGCACGGTGGCGCCACCACCCACCGGAATTTCCGGAGCGTTTGATTTCGCAGTCCGATCTGTGAACGGATTTTTTTGGAAGGGCCTATCGATATGATCTTTGCTGTAAGTCGTTCCGAGTCAGTTACATGGTGCTGCAGCGGCAATCGAGTCCAACAATCCTCCAGTTGTTTTCTCGGTTGTTCGATCACAATCTCTGTTTGCTGCATGGATCATGATGCAACCGCCGCGTCAGGCCGCAGCATATTGTGACCCCATCTGCAGTAGTGCACGGGGAAATAGGTCTGACAGTCTATTTGACCGGTAAATTACCCAGGCTCACTGCAACGCCTCTATTTTACCTATGTAAATTACTGTAAATTACACCTGGGCTACTTGATGCTAATTAGCCGGTAAAGTAGTGTAAATTACGGTGTAAAATAGCAAAAGGATGTTCACTGAGGCCACCTAAACATTGCTTTGCACTTTCTAGTGGGGGTTGATGTATCCTTGATGTATCCATGGCTTCTTCTATCTATCGCTGTAAACTATGATGTCTTCGAGGCATGCCTTCATGCACTTCCCCAATTTGGACAGGTGAGATTTGTCGCCTTATTTATCGTCATCAATTCTTTCTTGTACACCTCAGTTCTGTCTGCTTTCTGACTGTATTTATAGCCCATTCATGCACTCACGGCAACCCATACAGTGCCAGTCTATTTTACCCTATTTTACCCTGTGTCACAGGCCTGTTTGAAATTTACAGTAAATTAACTGTAATTTACGCCTGCTAATTAGCCTATGTAATTTACACCTACCTTTTTCCCCGCGCACTAATCTGCAGTGCATGTGTCGTATAACACGACCGATGAGCCATGGGTAGCTACAACTCATTACCTGACCGTTTATCCATGGCTGACCTTCGCGGACAGCGATCGACATTTATGATACCGTATCTATCTCGTGCGCGCCGTGGTCAGTAGGTTCAATTTCTTCTTCATTCTGCGACTCGGAGCTTCAGGGACCCAACCCAATCGCATACAACAGCGCGCTGGCAGTGCCGGTACTTGGATTTAAGACTCGGGAAATCGAGTCCTGCGTACCCGTGCATAGCCAGCTCGTACAGAAATGTTGGCGTGAGCACGATCCTCTCGATCGTGATCAGGATATTCTATCGATTAGCATCCGAATTGTTCCTGGTCTGCTGGATCGCCTTCTCCATTCCTGTCGTGGCAGAAGGTGCACGCACATGGCCCGTAGAACTTTTCTCAGCACTATTATGGTCTCGCGAGTACGTACCCCAGTACTCTCACCCGCCATTTGACCTATGCGGTACAGATAGTTTGAGTTGTATCTCCTACTCACTCACACCACCCTTCAGCTTAATGAACCTTAGCCTTACTTTTCTACAGAGCAGGTGGAAATAATGAGCGAAGCCAATTTTCCGTGCGTGACGCATGACGTGGAGTGTGTCCTCCGTTGTAATATCGGATATCTACGCTGTCGTACTTGCATACTGCGTATGTTCAGGTGTTGGATTCACCTTCTAAATCCCAAAGGCATGAACGGACGTGCGTATTTCTGTGCTTGATGCGACTCGTTCTGACGCTGGCCTCTGTTGAACTGCACTGGAGCTCAGTCTTTCTATTGACATTCGACTTCCCATGCCAGGCTTCTACTTCAATTCCTGGGTATGTATGTGTGTGGGCACCTCTGCTCAGGCTTCTCCTGGTTCAGAACAACAACCTTCTACGTCCTGGGTAGCCTCATGTTTCTGACATATCGGAGCTACTGCCGACTTGCATGCTTTAGTCAGTTCATCCGACATGACTGAGGGACTGCCATTAAGGCGTGAGAAAATCATAAGCTGCTTATTCTCAGTCATATACTGATCCCTTGGTCTCAGCTTTCCTATCTTTGATCTTCCTTTCAACCCGCTTTAGAACAGATTGATGCAGAGTGGGTTCACCCTCCGTACTTCATCAAAGTGTACAGGCGATTGAACAATTATGACAAACGGTGCGTAACGACGCTTGAACGCTTTGGTGCATATTGTTGCTTTACTACCGGTTGCACACAAACAAGCAGCAACGAACAAAGCGTTAACTTCCCGAATTGGACAGCTGCATCAAACCAAGCATTCGTGCTGAATGGACTGGGAATATGAGCGAACGAGGCCGGCCTGCTATCAATGGAAATCTTCAATATCTGTACACAGCCCCGGAAAGTTGCGAGCTCCGTGGGTCCTTGAAGAATGCCAATCATGGGCGCCAATCATATGCGATGTTTCTCGCTTTGGTGGATGCAAATTTGGGGCAGCTTCCTTCGATCTCCAACGTCGAAACCGTTTGGCCAGTTGTCGCGGAAGTTCAAAGCGCACACCGAGATGAAATTGCACATCGGCGCTAACGGTTTATCCAACATCCCGGGAAGGTACTGCACAAAGAACTTCCCCGACTTACATAAATATTAAGAACGAGCCACCAGATGCCCTCTTCGTTTCATTCAACATCCACCACTGCTCTCTTGCGCTTTACAGCATTTTCAAGCAATGCTCCCCTCCTATCACATCCACCACCAGAATGACAACGAGTATCTGCTAGTATGTCTTTCTTATGCAGGTATAGGCTATGAGCTCACTATCTCTAGGACTTCTTCGATGCGGAGGACTTGGCAGACCCATTCCACCCCCGACGATCCCTTGGGATAGATGACCCACCCTCTCAGGATCCATACCTAGATGTCGTCGCCCAGAATGACTCGTCGTCCTGGTCGGCGACGCAGACATTGTCTGACACAGGCCCCGCACCTCCAAGGGCGTCTGATACAAATATACCTCACCTCCTATCTTCACTTCCACCTAAGCCCATTCCAGGTCCTCCTCGCTTCGCGTACGCGCAGGTCAATATCGATCTTGCACCAACCCAGCCCTCTCCCCCTGGGCCAGTAGATGAGTCGACGACCCCGCAACAGCCAGTGGCGCGATCCTCACGGCCACCAAAGAGGCAGAGGGAGGATCAGCAGGCATTTGTTCCTCCACCACAATACACGCGCTCGCCGGAAGGACTCCCTCCTCCACCCAGGCGGAGAAGCACCCGCTCACGCGGACTTTCTCTACTGGACTACACTGAAGACGTGCCGCCCTCCCGGCAGCAGCCTGAGGCGGGGCCGTCGCGTCCAAGGAAACGAATAAAGACACAGGAGGACGAGGATCTCGATTATCGTTTAGCACGGGCACCTGCGCAGTCTGTTGCAGGCCCGTCTCGGGTCTCCAAGCGCAAGCGGACGGCAACCGCTTCGGACGAAGACGTCGAAGTTGAAGCGCCTGACTGCAGTGGCGCTTCAGAGTTGTTTATACCGGAAGCGCTCAGGGCGGGTCCGTCCCGCCAGAAGAAGAGGAAGGTCAGCCCGGAGGTGAACGATCTTGCCGTCACTCGTGCTGTTGTAGCGTCGTTGCCGCCGCCCGAGTCCGTGGCAGTCCCGTCTCGTCTGGGGCCCCAGACACGCAGCATGACCATGAGACATCTCAATCTCGCCGTCGCTCCCGTCGCGTCGTCGTCGAGAGCGCCACCCAAACTGAAGACGCGCACAGTCTCCGATAAGAAAGGGCTGAAGGAGCGAGGTACGAAGGGAAGACACAAGGTGGTGAGTGTATGGTTCCGCTATTTCTCCCTTCTCAAAGTGTAACCTATGCTTCTGCAGAAGGAGGAAACAAATGAGGACGACGATAAAGAGTACAACGACGGTGAAGAAGACAGTGACGATGAAGAAGATAACGACGATGGTAAGGGGAAGGAGAGGGTGTGGCGCTGTCTCTACCACGGGTGCAACAAGTCGTGGTCTAGCAAAAAGAAGCAACACGAGCGTGACCGCAACCGGCATATGGAGACTTGCCATTGGGAGCCGTTTGGGCGTCGGATGTGGACGTGCCCCCCATGCGGGAAGCGATGTACTCGAGGAGATGCGCTTACGAGGCATTGCAAACGTCTGAAGTGTCGGGAGAAGTTGAAGTCGCAAGATTACGAGGACCGGTTGCGTGCGAACGGCAACGTCGACACATCAAAGTGCTTCGACGGCAAAGAGCCGTGGGATACGAAGGAAGGGTTGAAGTGTTGGAGTCTTCCACGTCCGGAAGACAACGACGAAAATTTCCGGGAGGTGCTCATCAAGCTACGAGAAATCTACAAACTCACCGGTCGCGAGCCATGCATACATGGATACCACCCGACTTCTTAGGGTTGATATCGTCTGGATCGAATAGATATTGTTGTACTTGTATCAAGTTGTCTTGTCTCGACTTTCTGTGTTGATTCTGTCTGCTGGCGCGTATGATGCAATTCTGTTGACTCGTCACGGGACCGCGACACTCGTACCACGTGCTCACATGTTCTTAATGCAGGTGGATCCACTTGGGATCCACGACTGCAATTGCGGAGGAAGCCTCATGATGTGTAGGATGTCTTGGTTCCATAATCTCTTTACGCTATCTCTAGCTAAGTAGAAGTTTGTAGGCGATTATTTCTGAGCTCGGAAAAACTGGACAGTCAGTGACAGTCCTAAGTAATTTCGATGGTTTATCCATCACGCGCTCGAAACTCTAACATCGTCACGCCTTCATCTGGAATTCTTGGTGCTGTCACCCAGAGTTTCATTCCGCGAGGTAGCTGCAGCGTGAGCGACGGCGAGTACATTGATCAGCTCTTTCGTTTGATGCCATCACTGATATTCTAATGTTCAACGATGCAGAGTTTTGCTCGGCACGCCGGTGAGCGGGAACATATGTTCAGCGTGTGTTCCTTGTTGTATTCATATCCATCCTTGAAGATCAGTTGAATATATTGCCGTATTATTCTCTTCCCAACTTGCGGGGTTTTCATTGCACTCTATGCTTTCCATGGACGAATATTCCGGTTGAAGACATCCTTCAAATGCTGCTCCAGTTGATAACATTTGGATCGTCTTTTCGCCCGATTATGGATGCTATACTGGCCGCATGGTTGAGTGGGTAGTCCAGCGCCCTTTGAGATGGCTTTGAGATTTGCTTGAAATGTTTCAACCGTGTAACGTTACTGTAACCTGTGCGAAAACTGTCCTGAAGGAGCGTGAGAAAAAATAGCCGTTTATGTCTGGAGTTTGCACTCCGAATAAGCCCGACAGAAATAGCCTTATCGACGAAATCCCCAGCTTCATTCGCACCGCCACTTATCCCCTATCCGCCATTGACTTATCCTCTTCTCCTGCGCGGGAAATAGTTTCGAAATACGAACTTCGTGAGCCATTTCATTCAATTGTTGTTGTGTTGTCAGAGCGACGGAATGGTCTGAGTGCGGCGCTTGTTATTCTCCTTTTTCTATCTCCCTTTTTTATACCCATTTGCGTTCCTAAATTTGCGCCCCCATTCCATAATTCATGTCTTTTAGAGTGTGATGACGAACATTGACATGATGCATTGCAGCGCACAGACTGCAAAAGATGAGCGAGAACACAATCCACAGTCTGACTAGCACTTTGGCTACGCAGCCGCTGCTCCTCCCAGATCCCTCGTTGCAGCCAGGAAACACTCAAGGCGGGGGCGACCTTGCGCAGATTCCCCACCCAGCTCACAATCCAGTTGCTCCTCAAGTTCTCAATCCACCCGTCGTGGTCAACCCTGATGGTACCAACCCGGAGCAACCAGTCAAGCGTCGTCCTGGGCGGCCGAAAGGCAGCGGGAAGAAGCCAGTGGATCCGAATGCGGAGCCCAAGGTCAAGCGACCTGTAGGTCGCCCGAGAAAGGATGGCTTACCTGCGGGCTCGGTGGGCCCACGGCGTGCGAGCAGGCCACGCAAGCGTCCTCCTGGCACGTTTGCGAGCGGAGGGACAGCGCCTCCGGGCGGTTATCCCTACGGAGTGCGTTGCATATTCGTTTCGTTCTGAGTGATTCTGACGCTCGTCTCAGCCCGCGTTCCCGCATTTCGCTCCTAGTGACCCTGCACAGGCACAGTGGCGAACTTCGATCTCTGTGCCCCCCATGGGATCTATGTCTCGCGGCGGTCCTCCGTTGATCGCGTACCCCATCGACCCTACCTTGGACCGTGACAACTGGGCAGAACTGGCGCGGGCGAGGCCAGACGTGTTCTTGCAGGCATTAGTATCTGCCCTGACTGCGCCCAACCCTGTCTCCACCGCGGGGCCAAGCGTTGAGGAGGCCTTTAAGTCTCATCTTGTATCGCTAGCTGCGACGAGCAAAAATGCATCGCCGTCGATCCCCAGTTTGTACTTCACGTTGAAAACGTTCTGGTTGCCCTCCTCGCCGCCATACTTCTCGCTGACGGCGTCAACTTCCACGGCGCGCACACCGTCCGAGCACCGCTTCTTGTATTGGGACCCGCAGCCGCTCGTCTTCAACGGCATCGCATGTCCAGCGTGCAACACCCCGCTGCAGAACAATGGCCGCATCTCATCTGGGCCGATTAAGGTGTACGACCTTGGACAGCCGTTCTTCATCATCGGGTGTGAGTACGTCTGCAAGGGCCCGTGCGCTGGTGGGTCCCCCGACGGACGCAAATTCTCCAGCGTCGACGCGTCGATCCTCCGCGCTCTCCCGTCGAAGCTACTGGACGAGTTCCCTGCGCATCTACTACCTGGTAACCCTGACTTGGGAAGCGGTGCGGATGTGTGGACTTGGCACGGCTTGGGCGTGTCTCAACCGTTGTGGAACATGGTCCGTGCGAGCTTGCGCGTAGGCCTGCGGAAGGACGCTATCTTGGAGGTTGTGCGTGCGATCCAGTTCGGAGTGCCCGAGGAGGTGTATCAGCAGCAAGAAGAGGAGGAGGAAGGGCGAGCCGACGAGGAAGGCAGCCACGAGGAGGAGCAACAGGTTGATGGTGAGCTCGACTACGCCAAAGACGTAGGTTACTTCACTTCAGTAATCTTTACCCCGGCACGCGCTGATACGACATGCAGAAGGCTACTGAAGCTTACAATGAAGCATGGAACGCCAACAGTGGCGTCCCCGAGGCGCAGGCGATGGAGAACCAAGCGGGGCCCAGCAACGCCGTAGAGAGCTCGGGGTCCGCAGCGCCACAGGCCGCCCACGAGGACCCAGGCATCAGCCGCCCCGCGTCGTATCAGCAGTTCCCGCAAACACCACAGGCCCCTTACGCGATGGCCTTCCCGTACGCTGCGTACCCATACTTCCAACCGGGCCAGCATGCTGATGCCGGGCAGAACTCATTGAAGCGCGCGTTCTCGATCGTGGACGGGTCGCCAGACTCCTCGATGGGCGAGCCGATGCAGAAGCGCATCCGGCACTGCTGCAAGTGCGGCTCAAGCGATTGCAAGGGAAAGGGCGGGCGTGCGTTCTGCACGAATCCGTGCCAGGACTGCGGGAAGCTCGACTGCAAGGGGCGTAACAGCAAGCGTCCAGATAGGACGTGCGCTGATGCATGGCCGTGATTTTCAAACCGCATTAGGGCGAGAGTTTCTATTTTTTTTTCGACGGCGTCTCGTAAGTTATGTATGCCGTGTACAGTACTTGCGCGGAATCACAATGAATGTATTTATAGGTTTGGGCTTGTGTAGTTATTTTGCGTAGTTTAAATTGGGGGAGGGCAGGAATATAAGGAAAAAGGTGGATGTTGAATACAGTCACATCCTCGATTGGTGGTGGATGGAGGGTTTAGGTCGGCATCATTCGGTGTAAATTTCAGCATAGGTGAGTACAAAGAGTCCGCCATTTTCTGGACATCCTTTGCAGTGTCGAATGCAGAAGGTTCCAATAAGGCGTCCGGCTATTGAGAAAACAAAATCAGTGCAAATTCTTAAAACCAAAGCCCAGAAACCACTCACCGCAGACGTACAACGCGTCTTTTTCCTTCTAGCAGGTCTTGGGGGAAGGCATGGGCAGACGGGACGAAGCGCATAACTAGTGTCGCGGGAGAGGACGGATTGCCGGACAACTTGTCGTCAGACGAGGAAGAGCCTGTACATCTCCGGCGATGTTCTCTCGCTAGAATCCGTCCATGGTAACGGGGTACGTCCCATACTGGATGGCAGGTTGGGCTCATGGGGAGATGGAGGGGAATGCTGTTGCAGTGGACAGCAAGAGCTGAGGCTCTGGAGCATGGCCATCCTGGTTATGCAGTTGCAGAGGCTGGCCAGTTTCCGTCTCCTCCCCGGGATCCACGGGGACGGCGCGAAGTTGGATGAGCATCGACGAGGGTGATCATTTGTTGCGTCGTCTCGCTGCAGCATGCCCGTGTCGTCGTCGTCCGTAAGTCTTGCGGTATGTTGTAGTCTCTGCAGGCCTCTAGGGTAGTCATAGCAGAGTGTCATTGACACTGCATGCCTGCTGGCGTCGATGTAAGGGTCCACGGGCTGGATATAAGCGTGGTGACGGAATTCTAGTGGATAAGAGTGGTTGGAGAAGATGTGCGGTGCACGGCGCATCGCATTGTGCATGGCAGCTCTGAGAAAAGTATTGGGGCACGCTGGGAGGATAGTTGGTGGGTCGGTTGGTTGGGTAGAGGACACGAAGTGGGGGGCTTATATATGTGCAGGGGCTTACAGCAACGCCACGGGAGGCATTCCATGATATTCGCTTGAGAAATGACAGAAGAACGACTTGCTTGTTGCAGTTTTGAGCGTTGGCGTGACATCTGATCGCAATCCGACATGCATCGCAACGCAATAGCCTTGCAAGAGAAAACGCAAACAAGGACCAGAGGCATGGGATGGGTGTAACCGGTGAACTGCTTGGGTAAATGATAGAGACGATCTTGGAGATGAAAGACGCAGCAGCCGCGGCATTATTCTGGCACGATTGCACTAAAATTTTACGGCATCATGATGGCGAGAACGAAGCAACCTCGCCACAATCAGCCTAGAATCAAGGGCATGGAAGTACAACAGCATCCGCGATGCGTTTAAGCCGCGAATATGTAGTACTCCCGGGCCGGAGATGAGGTAGAATTGGCAGAGTTCACGCCTGCGATATAGAATGTATGGGGTATAAGTGTCGTGTGAGATGCAGTCAACAGTGAGACACGCCACCTCAAGAATAAAGTTGAAACATCGGTTGTACATAATGGTCTATGAGCGGGCAGTAATACCCCCAGTGACCCACGGACCCACAATGATAACACTCACAGCATTCTCACACGTGTCAATTAAGCGTCATGACGACATTCCTGGTAGAGGTATTGTGCCACCGTGATGGAGACTCCGTGCCACTTTTTTGAGAGCTTGCTTCACGGTTTGACAGAAAGCAGGTAAATAAAAAACTAAGCACAGAAAACAGGCACACGCAAGGCGACGTTAAACATGAGTGACTGGATGCCCGGAGAGCAAGAAACGATTTCCTAAACGCATAACCATGAGTACGGTTACTGTAGATTCTGCGGCAGAAGTTGTAGCGTTATTGTAATATGATAATCAGAGATGTGAATCCATACCAGAGTATCCAAGAATAGCTAGCCAATCCCCGAGCGCACAACTTAACATACCGAGAACCAGCTCTGCAGTTCGAGTCGACATCAGGTGTACAATAAGCAAACGCTGCTGGTTTCTATGGACATCTTCGGCGTGTATTCGAAATTTTTCATGAGATCACCGGCCGTAATTGTTGTGCTGAGGAGCCAAACAAGGGGAATCGGCAAGTTTGCGACTGAGACAAGCCTTTGAGTTAGTCCCTATGTTGAGGCAGGGCTTCAACTCTGCCAGACATGGCGAGTGCCACATGCTCGACTCACCGGGGGGCACTGTGGCACCACAATTCAGTCAAGCGTTCTGACTACGCAGTGCGCACCAAACAAACTTCTCGGTCCATGGCTGTGCATGGTTCCAGAGCCGGAGCAATTTCGACTGCGGTTTCTCGGAGCATGCTTGAGCTAACGCATATACAGCTCCGGTGGGTGAAGACCGCATCACTGTTTTTCACCCTCAATTTCTAGATAAAAATGTGTGAGAACCACTATGTTATGCATTATGAATGGTGGTCAAACCAAAGGTTATGCATGCCAGTTCAGACGTCTGAGTTATCTCTGAACCGTGACAGAACAAGCGCCAGTGCCTTGACTGCGCCTGCCATTTCGGGAGAAGATGACGTCAGCCGCCTTGTGAGCCACTTCGCCACGGACTTGGAGAGCACGGTACAAAGCCAGCCATGGCGTGGCGCACACTCGCCACCTAATCTCTCCCACCACCATGTCCTCCTCCTTCGCAGAAACCGTCGGCCGGAATCTCTTCGCGCAACATATCGCGCAGTATACCCCCGCCGACCCGTACTACGAGAAGTACATAGACAAGCACGGGAAGGAGCGCAGGCGGAAGGTGCGCTGTCATTTCGTTTATTCGCGTATTTTCGAGGGACCGAAATTGGGTACGCCTATGTTGTGCAGAGAGAGTTGCCCCCGGGACTGTCATCGCACGATGAGAAGATCTTGCGCACTGTAAAGAGGCGGGCGCATCACCTCGACAAGGGCTTCAATATCTGCGGGATGCGTTTCGGATGGACGTTCGTCATCGGTGAGCGTACTGACACGAACGTGTACATCTTGGATACTTACGCGTCTGCGTAGGCATCATACCCGGAGCGGGCGACATCGCCGACGCCACGCTGAACTACGTCCTCGTTGTGCGGCAAGCGCGGCAAGCAGAGTACGTCGCCACGCCACTCTTGCAGTGGTACTGCTCACTTTTCGTCTTAGCATACCCAACTGGCTCCTCCGCCGCATGCTTCTCAACAACGCCGTCTCTGCTGCTATCGGCTTCGTGCCAGTCGTGGGCGACATCGTGCTCGCGGTGTTTAAGGCAAACTCGCGCAACGCAGCACTCCTAGAGGAGTACCTCCGCATACGCGGCGAGGAGGCGCTTAAGTTTGAGCAGCAGCGCGCTGAGGCGCACGCAGCGGCTAAGGGGCTCGCTGAGCTCCCCCCGGCGAAGATGAAAAGCAGCCGCTGGTTCGGCTGGGGGAAGGGAAGAAGCCAGGAGCAGGTCAGTGGCACGACCCCCAACGCTGGCACACCGTCGTCGACGACGGAGAGGGGACGATTCGTGGAGGACGTGCCTGCGCCAGAGACGCCTCGATATCTAGAAGACACGGACAATGCTGCACGGCTCTGTTGATTACTTAAATACACGCCCTGAAACTTCTGCTACTGGTGCGTTTAGTGCTTTGTCTCAGACTCTGAAACATACCTTACAACACTCATTCACGCAATTTCCTCTTGGACCTCGTATTCATACTGATCTCATTAATATTTGGGATATGGAATACCATACACGATTATGCCATTGAATAACAAGAGACGCGCTGGTATTTTTTTATTGGTGCCTGCACAAAAGCAAGCAGATGGTATTCAGTTATTCATCGTCCCGCGATGAATCACTATACGCCCTAATCAATCTCTCAAGAAATAATCCGCAATATCCTCCTCCTCCTCCTCAGGCGTGCCCTGGCCCTCAAACTGCACAGGCGTCATTGGCGTCAACAATCCCTTGGGTAGATGGTAATACGCGTCTGCGTCGTCCAGCGACCGCGCATGTCGGTGAGGGCGCAGGCTGCCCGTGCCAATGAGTGGGGCACCGGGCGTCCGCGGGAAATCGCGCGAAAGGCGGCTGCGCGAGCGGGGAGGTACGATCGGGTCCGTGTCGGCGCCCCACGCGGTAGAGCCCTGTGCGCGCGGGTTGAGTCTGATCCCGAGCCCGAAACGCAGGCCGGGCGGGAAAGCCGGGCGAGCGGTAGAGTATATTATGGGTGAGGGGAGGGGACTCCCGGAGAGCGGGGAGAACGCGGGCGAAATTGTATCGGTGGGCGGGTATGGCGAGTGCGACGAGGGTGAGAAAGAGGTGGGCGAATATGCGGGTGAGGAGGCGGGCACTGGTGAGGGCTCGTCCTCCTCCGCTGTGGGTGCTGCGGGGCTCTGCGGGAGGAGGAACCCGAGCCCGGCGGCGGCGCGCTGAGTGCGCGCGAAGACGGCGTCAGGGCGCCCGCGTCCGAGTTGCGCGTACGCGCTCCGGCGGGCCTGTGCGCGCACCTGTGCGTGTGAGAGTGCCGCTTCGAGTTCATGTTTGTTTAAACGGCGCGGGGATGCGGAGGGTAAAGGGCTCGGGTGTGGACTCGTGGGGAGCGAAGGCGAGAGCAGGTTTGAGAGTGTGCGGGTGAGGCTCGGGCCAGCCGAGCGGGCGAGGGAAGCAGTCGAAGCCATGGTGTGCAAATACGAGTATGAGTGTGAGTGAATGGGTATAAGTGTGCGTCTGGCTTTGATAACTGAAGAAACGAATAAACTCATTGCCCTTTTATGTATTTTTGAGTCTCCAGTGAGGATGTGTAGACGGTGCATCCGCGGGGCGCATCCGTGCGCCCTTCCCGACATCCGACGGTTGGCGCGGATGTGGAGACGACACCGACTTCCGACTTCCGACTCCCGAACGGTCTGCCATCCGCGCGCGTGTCGGTGCTAACTCACCCGTGCACATCGTGCACAGACGGTAATGCGCCCAATACTTGAGTACGACTCACCTTGAACTGCATGCGCCACTTACTCGCAGCAAAATTTTGGATACATCAGCTCTGTAACTTACACTGGCAGACCAGCATTGAAATATCGGCAGACGTGACATTGCGATTCTGACCGAAAATGGCGCAGCTTGGTCATGGTTAGAACAGCAACTTGAAGCTTCGGGACTCACATGCAGCATCGCAAACATGTCTTGTATCCCGCTATATTGAATTTGAACCCAGGCGCTGTCAGACGGCATCCTGTGCTCGGTCAACTACTGTACTCAAACGACCTTACTGGGCCGCCGGGCTTGTGGTACAGTATTTGTGTGGCGACGCAGCACGGCGTTTACTTTATTTCCTTTCTTAGACGCTTACTCAACGCTGTTCGCGTCCACATGCTTGTATTCTTTCTCCTTCGATTCTGTTCCTTTTCCACCCCGACTCATATTCTCGGCTTAGTCTAGAGACTTCTAGTATTAGGGTCTCCAGACGTATAAAAGACCCGCTCCTCGTAGAGTAGAGGTCAGCGTATCATAAATCGAATATCAGCCTTTAAAGCTGTGACCCGTGTGTGCGCTCTTCGTGTGACGTGACCTTTCCTATTCGGAACGAGGAGCGGGTCTTTTATACGTCTGGAGACCCTAATACTAGAAGTCTCTAGACTAAGCCGAGAATATGAGTCGGGGTGGAAAAGGAACAGAATCGAAGGAGAAAGAATACAAGCATGTGGACGCGAACAGCGTTGAGTAAGCGTCTAAGAAAGGAAATAAAGTAAACGCCGTTCCGCGTCGCCACATACGCCCTCCGGGCATCGTCGTCGATGTCCTACGTTTTCATAGCGGCTTCGGGGTCGATGAACCCGTCTTCATCGACAAACTCCTGGCCCACAACACGCTCCGGTCGAGCAGCTCCGTCGTTATTCCACTTTTGACAAGAGTCTTCGCCGCGATGGGCATCGCGACAAGCCTGTTCCTGGGGGGTATGATCAGTTCTGTACCCTCTGGAATCGCGACGCCGCTTGCGCGTACAAGTTTTCGACTTACAATGTCATTACCCGTGCTGTCACCGTGATGGGTGCGCCTATCGACGTCAATTATCTTGCGCCCCTTCCCGCCTCTCCTCCTCAGGCCTCTTCCGCTCTTACGCACCTCACGCCTGACGGGATTTCCGAAGAGGAGTTCGCCCGGACGGTCTCTGGGCTCGCATGGCGACAGATTCGGCGGGAGCAGCTCTTCATCGCCAACAAGCGCAAGGAACGCGCGGATACGCGCGTTGAGAAGGCGTCCAAGAAGCCCCGCCTCTTCGGGGCACCGGGCGAGGATGGTGCTGACAGAGATGATGATAGCGGCAAGGGAATACCGCATGCGAAGAAGACGAAGGGAAAGAAGAAGCAGGTCGCCATAGTAGAAGGTACGCCGGTTGCAAGTGGAAGTGCCGCTAACGCGACGATGCAGCCGGGGCCGGAGCGTGTTGTGGGCCAGGAGTTTGTCGATGAAGACGGGTTCATCGACCCCGAAGCCGCTATGAAAACGTAGGACATCGACGACGATGCCCGGAGGGCGTATGTGGCGATGCGGAACGGTGTTTACTTTATTTCCTTTCTTAGACACTTACTCAACGCTGTTGGCGTCCACATGCTTGTATTCTTTCTCCTTCGATTCTGTTCCTTTTCCACCCCGACTCATATTCTCGGCTTAGTCTAGAGACTTCTAGTATTAGGGTCTCCAGACGTATAAAAGACCCGCTCCTCGTAGAGTAGAGGTCAGCGTATCATAAATCGAATATCAGCCTTTAAAGCTGTGACCCGTGTGTGCGCTCTTCGTGTGACGTGACCTTTCCTATTCGGTTAGCCAACGTCACAATTTGGGCTTCAAGATGTCACAGTCACACGTGGACAAGCCACGAGCGCCAAATACCAAATTTGGGTCCCGGTGGGCGCTTCGGGCGCTTTCGTGAAACTGAAGTGACTATATCAGTTCGTCCCTCCCACCTCTCATAGGACTGATTTTGTAGTCTGCCTTTGGGAGACTAGTGAAGGACATGTCCCGCGTCCTGTGTCATACCATCCTTTGAATTGTGAACTAAGTCCAGTTGGCATGTCACAGGTTACAAGATGTGAACCTAAGGTCGTTGGAGTGCACCGAGGGGTTTCTTTCTTGGCCTATCAACTTGCAAACGGCTCGTTTACAGCACCCGGACATGCCTCCAAGTCGCTGCGCTCGGCGGTGCAGGTGAACCGGTACAGCAAATTTACAGTAAAGCTTCGCTGAACGTCATCAGATGAGCTCAAGGCTATTATCGGAGGTATCAGGCCAACATGGCTGCCCACCGCAATAGTAGCCAACCCTTACAGTCGTTGCGCAGCCCGGGGCCGTGGGCTGTTTGTTCCATCTAACGTGGTGTGTCTGGATCCTCAGCCACCGGAACACAACGGTTGTCAACGTCGGAATTTCGTCGCCTGGAAGATGGCAATTGCGTCCACCAATCCAGTATTACCTTCTGCCAGTGCTCGCGCGAAAACAACACGCTCCTTCCGTGCAATTTCTCTACAGCTGCTCGTAGTGCGGGTGCACAGCTTGTCGCTTGGCGGCTACTAGCGTTAAGGAATTGGACGATCTTCTCCCTCCTTCGCGACGTGCGCATAGCTGCGAGTACGCAACGGTGAGCGGTACTTTGGCGTGTGTGTCGCCTCATCACTATTTCATAGTTGTTAATACGACGGTTTTTTCAGAGGCTTTAAGCCGGGTGCAGTCGATAAGTGTACCGACGGCCTATGAGATGATTTCTCTGAAAGAGGTAGCACAGAAGTTTCGCTGTTGAATCCCGCATTGTACTGATGATGGACAGGTACCGGAAGACGAGAAGACACTGTCGGCCTTGTCAGGTTTCCGTAAGCCTCTATCGAGGCAAGAGGAACTGCATCTGAATTCACCGTTATTCTGTTACGTGATGACTTACGGGTTGCAGACATCAGAGGTACGTTTCGCGCATCGCGTCAGACTGCGAGCTGACCCGTTATCTAGGTCCTGAAGAATTATTAAAGTCTTGTAAGTAAGGTTCGCGGAGGGCAATCCAATTACAGTATCCGATATACCAGTTCAAAGTCTACGAATCCAATTGTGGCTACTACTGCGCAAGAACTCTCATAGAACGAAGCAGGTCGCCGCGAAGTTAGTATGACAACGCATTTCTCGTCCTGAGCAGCCTGAGGGTCCGTCATTTCGACTGGCCTTTTGAGGACTGATATACCCAGCGCATCACTAACATGCCGCACCTAGGTACCGATGCTACCTTTTCATGAAGATCGTCCATCCAGACCCTGGCAGACGTTCGGATGGAGTTAGGATAAGATGAACTGTCCGAAAGCGGTAGTAACACATTTATAGGCGGCCATCGGCAGCTACCAGAGAGCTTCGCGATCCAGGTTTTGGGTAGGGATCATTCAGTAAGAGCTTTGCGAAGCTGGGAAAAGTACGCGCTTAGCCCATGGGAGCGCGTAGTTCAACGAGTCGCATCATCGTTCCAATGCCGCTCATGGACCATCGTTTCTCTACGAAGTCTTTTTTCTTTTTCTGTGTGTTCTTTCCCCTCCATGCACGCATGTGGGACTGCCATTTACAAACAGCTGTACATCTCCGCGTGCTTAATATGTCACCAGGTGTGCTCAATACGCTGGGACAGTACTTGTCAGGTACAAGGAACGAATGTCTTCCTTGTCCAGAAGCTGATCCATCAGCCTAACTGTCAGGGTGCTTCCACCGCCGCCGTGACAGAGGGTTATCTGGGCAGGTCGCCAGTCCATAGCTGGCAGCTCCGCTATTAACATGATGACCTAGCATGACACGCCCAGATGATGGGAGGGGGTTGTCCGCACTGTAATGCCTTTCATGGGGGGTATAAATACGTCGCTGAATCTTGTCCCAATGTCCAGTGCCATCTCTCCACAGGACTGGTGTTCTGTCTGGGTTCTGCCTTTTGTTGTGTCGAACCACTCTCCCGCCTTCGAGTTCTCAAAGTAAGTTTCATAGCGCGACTTCCAATTATTCACCTCAAGCTGACGGGTCTGTGTAACGTTCTCGCATAGACCATGACTAGCGGTGCCACTGCTCAGAATGCGTTCATCGTCACTCCTCGCGAGAACGACCCGTACAGCTACCAAGCTGGCTTTGGAAACCGTTTTGCCTCAGAGGCCATGTTCGCCTAGTTATGTCATCTCTCGTCATTGTCGCTGATATGAGTGCCCTCAGTCCGGGTACTCTGCCTCTCGCCCAGAACAGCCCGAAGAAAGTCAAGTACGATCTGTACACCGAGTGTGTAAGTAGTGCCTGCCGTCCGTGCGTCTGAAACAATGTTGAGAATGTCTATAGATCAATGGCACTTCCTTTGTCGCTCCGCGCTCCCAGAATCAGTTCACGTATGTCACAGGCGTACTCTGAAGACTAAGTCGTGCTGACACTTGGCCCTATAGGTGGATGTATCGCATGCGCCCGTCTGTAGCCCACAATGGCTTCCGCAGGCTCCCGGACAATCCGGATGTAAGGCTTACAGTCCGTAACTCATTTTCCTGAGCACTAACGCTTGCGGCCCTAGCTCGAGGCGAACTTCCACCCGTCCAATCCTCGTGTGCACTTCAGCCCCACCCAGCTTGCCTGGAGTCCTCTGGACATCCCGCCCGCTAACCAGAAAGTCGACTTTGTCGCCGGGTTGAAGACGCTCGCCGGCAGCGGAGACCCGACGACTCGCGAGGGCCTTGCGACGCACGTCTATGCTGCGAACATGTCCATGGAGAAGACGGCCTTCTGCAACGCCGATGGCGACATGTTGATCTTGCCGCAGCTGGGCAGGTTGGATATACAGACTGAATTCGGAAAGTGGGCGATGATTATGGTCATTTGTGTTGACTTCGCTGAGTAGGCTAGCTAGGCTTATGGTTCGCCCCGGAGAACTTGTCGTTGTCCAGCGTGGGATCAAATGGAAGGTCAGTATGGGCTTATAGATCTCGGACGTTGCGCTGAAGGACCGTTCCCAAGGTTGCCTTACCTGACGGTCATGCACGTGGCTGTGAGCTAGTATGAATGTTGCGAGGTGATGCGTACTGACAGGCGTTGTAGATGTTCAAGAAATCTTCGGTTCTCACTACGAGCTTCCGGAATTGGGCCCTATAGGTGCAAATGGCCTTGCCAACCCTCGTGACTTCGAAAGTCCGGTTGCCAGTTTCGATATCGACCAATCTCCGTGGGCCAGTAAGCATTTGAAGGATCTCGTTTGCGTTTGTCTTGCTGACATACTTGATTCTCAGTCATTTATAAGTAGGTGGAAGCGCTCTGTGTAGGAGCAGCAGTAATTGATATTACAAACACAGGGTCGGCGGACAACTCTTTGTGTGTAACCAGGACCACACGCCGTTCGACGTGGTCGCCTGGCATGGGAAGTGGGTCCTTCACGCATCTGAAACCTGATATCACCACTCAGATGGCCGTGCCTCCAGCTATATTCCGTACAAGTACGACCTCGACAAGTTCGCAGCCATGGGCAGCATCCTCAAGGATCACGCCGACCCGTCCATCTATTGTGTTCTCACTGCAAAGTCGAAGACGCCCTCGGCCCCTTTGGTCGACTTCGCGATCATCAGCCCGCGCTGGGACGTGACCAAAAACACCTTCCGCCCCGCGGTTAGTAACGCTTCTTGGACTCATCGATGCCTATGCTGATGTGATGTGTTTCTAGCATTACCATCGCAACTGCGCAACGGAGATGCTGGGTATGATCCATGGTTCCTATCGAGCGCGCAATGAGGCGTTGGTTACCGGATCATTTAGCCACGAGTCGGGATTTTGCCCTCACGGTGGTCTGTCCACCTTCCAAACATTGCAACTTCAGCGTGGCTGATTATGTGCACAGTGTCCTATGAAGAGTTCAAGGCGGGCAGAGAGGCCCCGGAGACCCCCCAGGTAGTCCACGCTGACACTCTCAGTGAATACACGCCGATACTTCGTGGTGTATGCCTCGGACTCACACCTCTTGCACCTTTCAGTGATCGTGTTCGAGTCGTGCCTGCAGACTACTCTGACAGACTTCGCGATGAACCGGTCTGGCAAGCTACACGGTGCGACTCCCCCTACTTTCCCCCCTCTTCTATGTCTTCCGTATGGCTGATGGTGGTGCGCAGAACATGACCCTGCGATGTGGAAGGACATGAAGGCCCAGTTCCTCGATCACGTCTCTGAGATCAATGCCGACCTTCAGGCTGCCGGTCTTCCCAAGCTCGGGGCGAAGTTGTGAGTGATGTATCTGCTGAGTCGTCTCCATCGGAATATCCAGATAGTTGCGGAAGAATTGTATTACGTATCTCTTCGAGTCTCCGAGCTTTCATAGCTCGAGTCAATCTGTTCCGAAGGTCCAAATTAGGAGTGTTGGAAAGAACATGCTGAAGAAGTCGCTTCCAGCTTTCAACCGGCAGGACGTCTATGATGAGCTAGAGAGATCTGTTCCACGACATGCCAACTGCCCGTTCACCGTGCGCTTGACTTCACTTGCAGATGCATCGCAGGGTGTGACTCAGGCTTGTTAACCAGCCTCTGATAGATGGAAGAATGAATCATTAGACCCACCATCGGTGGCCGATAGTTTGTTTGACAGCGTGATATCGCTTGCAAGTGCCTTGGCTTACGTGCGAGAGCGGCTCGGAGCGTGCATAGCTTAGTTGGATCATAGAGACATTATCAATCCCGATTTCGGGATAATGTTCAATACTTGAAAACGGACTGTCGATGATTGGTGTAGTGTAGTCGTATACCCAAGCATAACGTGGAAAAATCTACAAATTTTCGGTGTGTGGGCTGGCGTCCAGGTGAGCGCGACCAGAATGCTAGTGACGCGCATATTCTCAACATTGAATCTCAATCACGAAGATGTCCCTAAACAGATGTAACGTCTGAAAATGTGAGCTCATCGTTGGCTTTGACCTCCTTGCAGTACTGCCTGCCCCTCAACAAGGGGCAACGACTACTACAGTTGCCAACTTCGGACCATGGTGTCAGAGGTGCCGTGCCGTCTTCGCGCCCATGGTCACGGTGACTGTGCTACGTCCGCCCACGAAACTTCGCGTCTTACGGCTCGCACAACCATGTGGCGACGGTCCTGCTAGTCTCATCTACAAATTTTGCATGCAAGCAAGAAATGGCTCCCATGAAAATGGGCAATAGATACTCTGCGGATGTACAGCATGGTCCACCGTACACGACTCGGAAGTCAAGGCTCACAACTCAAAGTAGACTGGCTGTCGACGTTCGGGAAGAGACTACCGCAGTGCAAGCCTTTCGGTATCGAGCTGTGAGAGTGATGCACGATAAAGCAGAGCGCCTGCGCTGGGTATGCACCTACACTAATTCAGGTGCGTTACCAGCGCAGGCACCCGTTAGTACATGCAGGGGACGTCTTGTCCTTGGCTATGCTCCGATACGCAGGGCAGATTGTATCGGAGCCCGGTTGCACAGTTCAGGTTTGACGATCTCGACGTGATCGATATGTGTCGTAGCAACGTTGGCTGGGGCGTCGAAAATCCTTGCGACGGATGTTATGGTGAGTCGTACAGCGTTCGATAAGTAGGCTGCAGATGGAATTAATTGATTGGAGCTTGCAGAATGCACGTTATGACGTTTCTAGATTAGGTCATCACAAATACATCGTATTTCGGAATGTCTGACAAACTTGCAGCAACATCCCGCCGGAGCGAGACGTCCGCAGAGGTGTATTCTCTGCTTCCAGAATTCACGAATTCATAAGTCGCAGAGCCTCAAGTTCAAGTCTCCGCGCCTGGTTTAGAGGCCAAGTTTGAAGGACGCTGCAAACGTTGTCCCATTTTCCAATCTATCTTCAATTCTCTCGATTCCATGTTCTACAGGTCTATTATCGCGTCGTTCATTATCTCGTCCCGCTTGAAATTCATTCCTTGACACATCCTTTGTCCCATTGCAGCATGCATTTTGTGGCGGCGTCTTCCGTATGCTGTCTGCAAGCTCAACGCGGACAACGCTAGGCGCAGAAGAACGGGTAGCCGAGGAGCGGCAAGAGCGGACAAAGAATGAGCGACGCAGCTGGACGACAATATGCAGTGGCGTCCCACGCCACATGAACAAAGCACCTTTGTCTTGCTTCACTACATTCTCCATTCAACATCCGCGAAACATGGCAACAGCAATTGCGGTGGAACAAACAAGAGGAAGGATGCTGTGCCTGGATCCGGGAGGTATATAAAGAGGTGAATGTTGCGCCTTAGCTCCCCAGTTGCATTCCACCTTCACGTGCTCTCGATTAATCTCAACCTCAACATCGACGTCTTCCAGACACAATTCCTATACTCCACTGACAACCGCGTGAACGACGTCCGACGATGCCCGTCACTCGTACACAATATTCGACCGAACGCCACGACCCCTTGGCATCTACACCCACCAGCAGGAAGCATATGCATAGGAGCAATACCAGTGCGCTCCCTACGAACAGGACCAATACAAACAGGACAAACAGAGCTGTACGTATCCCCACATCTTGACACAACTAGGCTCACACATGCGACAGACACATGGACGAAGTCGCCCACAACAGCACGATACACCAATGGTAGTTCCGTCAGCTCATCCAGAAGGCCAGCTGTGTACGTGGCCCCATACACACGCATCTACTGGGGCATCCGCTTCTGCGGCGACACAGCACTTGCAGGTACCCCCGCCGTCCGTGCGCTCGGTATATAACACCGAACCCCGGGCGAGCGGCGCACCTCATAGCGAGCCCGCTGGAGGCATGAGCAGCACACGAGGGACTGCTCATCCCAACACCGTGCCCCGGGTCGATAGACAGAACACGGGGAGCCGGCAGAGACGAAGCGAACCAAACGCACAAGGCCCACGCACGGCCCCTTCTATGGCGGCAACAGGGACTCGTTTGCCCCCAGGGATCCGCGTATACCGCGTATACGTGATCAAGAGGGTCTGCACGCGCCAGGAGTGGCTCGGTCGGCCTTGGCGGGAGGATCAAACTGTGGGCACAGAGCGTTGATTCCAGCCTCTCAGCTTGTAGAGGAGAAGCAGCTCTACAGCAGAAGGTCTGCTAGGCGGCTACAGTACGTATCCTCAACATCTTTGTTCGCTCGGCACTCATCCTCTTGGCAGACGCGAAGCAGAGGGCAAGTGTGCTCCGCAGTCACTGGTTTCAGAGGTAGGCAAGCGACTGCACACTCGGAGCAGCTTTGAGAGAGATGGGGTGAGTACATTGGAAGCTGAACATAGTGCCAGACACTCATGGATTCAGGGCTATTTCAGATTGTTGAAGAATGCTGCTTGCATCAGTGGCCGAACCTTCGCTACTCCCGCACAAGAACGACAACATGCCGTGCGTATATTCTAGCAAGTTGGTTTATATAACTGGGTGCTGATACAATTTACGGACATGCGTTATAGGCATTCACTTTTCCAGGTTTCTCGCGTAGTGGTCATACATCGTGGCCCAATGGAACCACGAAGACGAAGAGCAGTCGAACGGCCGACGAGCGCGAGCTGGTACGACGAGCGGTATCACTCGCACACTGGCTCGCGCGGGCGGCGCGGGCACTCTCACATATCCGCGCCCCGCCCTCGTCGCCCCACGCCTCGCCTACTCCACCTTGCGCAGATGGACTGCGACACAACCCAGTGCGAACGGCCCATCGGGTCGCGCGGTGAAAAACCCACCGAGGACAGTTGTGGTCACGAAGAAGCGGCCTGCGGTCATCAGAGTTGTGTCGCATGGCGCTGGACAGCAAGAGGGTGACCGCTACCCTCCGCCGGGCGCGGTCCCCGCCGATGCTCCTTGCCGGTCCACGCACCTGTTCTTCGCGAGTTTCTTGCGACGTGGATGTAACTGCATGGGACGAGGTGAAGTAGGAGTTGCATGCGAGGTGTACCCTTGGGAGCCATTGGGGCCAGGGATATGACGTGTACGCGAAGATGAATACAGCCCGCCAGTGGTCGATCGCCTGAAGACTGGCGCACAGATCTTGCCAATTTTCCGGGCCAATGCTCGGTCATTTTATCATCCAAGTTTCCTCGCGCATGGGAAGAAGTCCAGGAAACTATGCCGTCGGGATGTGGCGGCGAACCCCGCAATGATGCTGAAGAATTCACCTATCGTCCTTTCACATTCCCTTCTAACCCCCATAACAACGGAGATGGGTTCATGTATTCTTCTGGGGAGAATTTCATTCCTCCTTCCGACGTCCGTGATGCTGTTACTGGACCCTATCAGATGTACGTTGCGATATATTCAGTCCTCTACGTCCTGGTTTTAACAATAGTGTTTGCGAAGTTATGATAGGAGAATTCAACCGATGCTGCCGAACCCTACTGGTATCGTGATGCCTGCATCTGCACAAGGGTGGAATATCAGTACGGTGCGCAATGACACATGCACAATGGGTACTATCCCCCTCTGATGTTCATGCCACTCATCAGCAGGCCATTCACCATCCTCAGTATGATCTTCCAGTGCTTCCCGCCCAACAGCCAGTCACCCGCCCGTCTATGATGTCGTTGGACATGGCCCATGTAAATCCTGCAGACACGCTTCTCACGGTTCTCCCCCACAGTAGCATCGCTCCTCAGCCGCATGTCGCACCCCAGATTAACGTACCCAAGCGCTGTAAATGGGAAAATTGCGGTGCAACCCTGCTCGATCCTAGCAATGCTGGTATCAAGAAACATCTACGTCAATTCCACCCCGTTGCTGACTCGATGATTGCGTGCTGCTTGTGGTGCACAGGCAGCACCGTCTGCGAGCACACTATGCAGCTGGTCAGAGGTCATTTAGATCTTTGGTTCGAGTGTAGTGAGAAGATGCCACCCCTCCGAGGACACGTCACGCGCGAAATGTGGACATGAGTCGGAGCCCTTAACCGACATCCAACGGCGCGGCACTGGGCGCAGATCATGCCTCTCCGTTCTTCCTGCGACTCCTAGCGTGTGTGCGACAGATCGGCGCTCGCGGCTAGTAACCGCGGACAACAGGTGCTCGACAGAGGAAGAACGTGTTGCTGAACAAGTGAGGCGTGCCTTATTCGCTGAGTGTGGCTCGCGGGATATCATACTGAGTACGTTTCTCCTAACGCACGTTCTATGTAGCCGAGGCACTCATGATGATGTTTATTATAGACATGTCATCTTATACGGGTTCATGCATTCCAAGATCGACATCGACCCACTCGATGAGTGCCATGATGCGTTCGATTGTCTTCGCTTTTTGTCTATCCTGGATGACTCCAAGCACCAACATGTCAACTACTGCATCGTCTGCAAGCCCGTTACTGGACTTCCTAACTCATACTGAGGCGTCACTCCGGTCCGCATGTCCTCTCACTTTTCGCATAAATTATCTGACGAGGCCTTCCTTAGCACTGCTGCTCGATACATGTGGCTCCGAGTTTCCGCATGGATCAGGATGCGCCCAATCTCGATCAGCTCGTGGAAAGGATCAGGGATGCAATATGAGTTGGTACGCTCCGTATTATCTTCACTGCACTGTTCAGCGTTGTGATTGGGTCTTCATTGCAGTACTGTACTCTGTACTTAACAGCGGAGTTGAGCGAATGTGTGCGCTTGCGGTCGGGTTGGACTGCTGGAGAGAGATTCATCGTCGTGCTCAGCGTATGCGATGGCGGCGGATCTTCGGCGGTGAATGATGGATTGTTGTTGTAGTGTATAACTGGTCTGTTTGTGTACGGGCCTTTCGTTCGTAGGATCCCGTCTTCCTGATCAGATGTGGATATAAAATACTTAATTCTTGGTGCAGTGAGCGGCGCTCCATCAGGAATCGGGATTTTCTCCGTGGGCTCTATCTGTCTCCATCTGGCTCCATATGGCACGATAAGGAGCATCCGGTCTCCATCTGGCACGTGATGGCTGCAACGGAGAACTCTCAAATCCCTGATGTCGGAAGGATCACACGTGGTATAATTACTGTATTCATGGTTGTGAGGTGAGGACGAGGGTTTCAAAGTTTGAACTGGCAGGTGTTCGGCAGTCTGGAAGCTGGCGATGGGTCGGTCGTCGCGGGGGAGTGAGTTGTTATGTCCTTCATCGATGCTTCATCTCAGCAGCGACTCGAATTCGAATTCGAATTCCCGGGGATGGATCGCTGTCACTTGTACTGTACGAACAGCCCTCCGCGGTCCGTCTGCCCTCGACCACATACGGTGCCAGCCGGCGACAGAAAAGACACTACCCTCGCGACGTGCGCGTACCTGCGCGTACGGGTCACTCGACGAGGCAAATATAGCGCTTTGTATAGCGCCCAATAAATTTAAATCAGATGAGGAAGTGACGGGTGCCTTGGTTGCGCCGGCGTCTCGGTCTAGCTCATGCCATCAGAAATATTATTTATTTCGCGCGAGCTGCAAATGTGCCTCGCTCTGCGCTCTGCGGGGTGAATTCGTGCGAGAATTCGAAGACGAAAGCCCTGGAAGGAAGGATACTTCCCACAGAGGAGATCGAGGGGCTCGAGTCGGGACCGAGAGGAGAGAACGTTGAACGGACATTTCATTATCACCATGGAGATCCAGCGTCCGCGTGCAGCAGAATCGACACCATCACCCCCCGCCAGCCTTTTCAGCTCGCCCGTCCTCTGTTCTCTCCACCTCTCTCCCCTCCTTCGCCCTCACCTGCCCGCCCCGGGCACTCACACTCCTTCCCTTCTCTCCTTTGCCCCCGCCCACGGCACCTGCAGACATGTTCTCCGCGTACCCCGTCCTCCTCGCCCTCGCGAGCCTTACCCCGCTCGCGTCCGCGCATGCTGGTACGTGGCGAGCGAACTCGATGCTGGCTTATTTTGACGCGTCGCCCGCAGCTTTCTTTCACCCCAGTATGTGGGGATTCAACGTCACCGCACAGACTTTCTCCTACGACAACCGTCCCGTGGTCCCTCTCATGAACATGCCCTTCGATGAGTGGTGGTTCGTGAGTACCTGTCTCGATAAATTTGGGAGCCCTAGTGCATTGGAGGGATACCTGTTGTCCCATAACGATCGACCGGACACCCGTAAACCCATCGCTTCAGCACCGCCGTCTATGCACGCCTGCAGACACTAATGGGTCGGGAGATATCGGTCATTTGTCCGCGAATTCCACCCCCATCTCTCGTCTCTCATAACACTGTCATCGATGCGCAACTACTGACGCGCCGTCCCCAAGCATGGATACAAATCCTGTCCGCCCAACCCAGGCGACACCTTTGAGCTCCCCGCAGGCCAGGCAGCCAACGCTGAGACCGCATGCGACAAGGGCCTTACCTCCTGGTGGGCCTCCTCCGAAGGGTACGCCTTCCACTTTACCCAGTCCCACTTCTCATATTCTCCTTTCGATCTTTCGTACTCTCCCTCTTGTTTTTCCCCGCCTCGTATCACCCTGACCAATTCTCGCGTTCCCTCTCCCTTTTCTCATTTGCCTCTTCCTCCCGTATCTCGCATTCCCCCAATTCCTGGTCTCCGTCTCTGTGCATCCGCTAACTAAGCCCCACCTGGCGCACAGAGGCAACAGTGGATTCCCGACAGACAGCCCCTGCCTGGGGCAACCCACCACCGAGTACCACACGCTCGGGATCGACGACCTCGGCGGGTGCGCGCTCTCGATCGCATACAACTCGGATGCGGACGCGGTGCAGCCCACGGATTTTACGATCTTCAGCGTGAACCAGACGTGCGTGTGGTACCTGAACACAGCGTTCGAGGTCCCCGCGGGCATGCCGCCCTGCCCCGACGGCGGGTGTATCTGCCAGTGGCACTGGATACATACTGTGAGTCTGCGCCCCACCCTCGACTTGCAGAGAGAGAGCGCTGATGGCGGTGCCATTTTGGTGTGACAGCCCGATGCCGGTTCGGAACAGAGTGCGCGATCTGCGTTTGTGGTGGTACGCTACGCGACGCTGACCGCCGACTTGTCTTCCAGTGTACTTGATCCCCTTCCGGTGCGAGGTCACAGGCTCCACGAGCAACACCGCCATCGGGACACAGATGCTGCCCAGACGGTGCGCTAACCGTCTCCGTCGTATGATTACGCTAAGTCGTGTTCTTCAGGTGCGGCGCGGACCCGGCTAACGGCCGCCCCGACGCGACCCCGGGCAACTGCACGGTCGGGCCCAAGTACCCGATGTATTGGGACCAGGCGGAAGGGAATAACGTGCGTGTCTCTACCTTCTGTTCTGTAACGCTCCATTTTTTACGTTCCCTCCTACACTTTCCACCCGACCTTTCTGCACTTTTGTCCCCGATCGCTTTTGAAACCACTGACGCACCGTCTCCACCCCGCGCAGATGTTCGAAGGTATCTACTCCCCGCCGCTCTATAAAGACCTCTACGGCTTCACCGACGGCGCGCAGGACGACATCTTCCAGAACGCGTATATCTCTTCCCTCGGACCCGGCTCTGGCTCCGGCTCTGGTGGAGCTGCCTCCACCCCCGCTGCCGCGCCGACGTCCACGCCTGCCGCGTCGCCCACGTCCACGCCTGCCGCGTCGCCTACGACCACGCCTGCCGCATCGCCCACGTCCACTCCCGCGGCAGCGCCGCCGATCTCTGACACCCCCGCCCCCTCGCCCGACCCGTCCTCGACACCCGCTCCGTCCCCCGTTAACTCTCCCGACTCCTCACCCTCAGTGGCGCCGTCGTCCTCACCAGTCGTTCCACCGGCAGCCGTCGTCCAGTCCAGCTCTGAGCCCGCGCCCGTGGAGACCCCGGACGTCGCGTCCAGCCCGAGCGTCACTTCCAGCCCCCCGAGTAGCACGCCGACGGTGTCGCTCGCACCGTCGAGCACGCAAAAGTGGTATGTCACGCGTCGTCGTTCTTGACTCTCTTTTTTCCCGATCCATAGGCTGACGCGTGTTTTTGCGCATATAGCCGGGCGCGCCCGTCTGGCGCGTCGTCCAAGAAGCGCCGCTCTGCGCTCCGACAGCATAAGCGCCACCACGTGCGCGACATTTCCTTCCACTGAGCACGCAGGCGTGCCCGCGATACCCTACCCGTTTGCACTCGCTGCGCGGCCGCTGCGGGCTTGACGCGCTGCTGTGCGGGCGTGTCTCGTCGTGTCTTTTTTCGCGCTCCTACTCGCTCGCCCACATCGTTATTCTGTCCTGTTCGTTTCTTTTCGTTGCTCGGTCTCGTTCTGTTTGTCCTGTGCCATCTGTGATGTGCCCCGTGGGCGTGTGCGCACGGTATACCCCCACCCACCCATACGCCTCCTTCGTCTACTCTCCTGCCCCCCCGCGTCGTTCCCCACCCTTCTCCTTCGTCGCGTTTGATTGATTACCGCGTGTCCGAGTCTGTCGCTTTCGGTCGCTGTTTGCGGGGGAGTATGTAGTAGTATGTAGTGCTGGCTTGCTACTGGCATTACTCTTCCTCCTTGCAATTGCGTTTGCTTTTGCGGTAGGCTGTATCATGTATTGTCAGCGCTGGTTCTGTTTTCGCGTTATAGCGGGTCTTCGTGCGATGGTGTCGGTGTGCGTAAGCAAGAAATATTCGTAAGTCAGAGTTGTGAAAGACGAGTAACATGGCCTCGGATATATGGACGACAGAAACAACGCACCTGATTAGGAAGCTCGATTACCTCATTCGGAAAAAGAAGACCTACGTCATTCCCTGTCAATCTGTTACTTCGTTCTCTGTCCCAGTGCCAGATGGATATATAAGAGACCAGACCGCAGAAAATGAGGCACCTCTTCTTTCTCTTTCCCCCACCATGCTCGCACCACTTGGCCCCTCGCCGCCTCCAGCGACCGCTGGAATCAGCTTGAACGACTGCAAAACCACTGTCAAAGTCAGAAATCGCGCCTTCATGGGCCATCCCTCCGCCTTCAAGTCCATCACAATCGAAGTGACGAGTCCGGATCGCAAGAAGGTGGCCTCGATTTTTGCCTATCAGATCAACCGCGCAGTGTGCGACGACGGTGACTTCTTGTGTATCATGGACGCCGATAGTGACGAGCTGGCCACGCTCTCGCGTGTCTTGTTCGATAAGTACGGCGAAGTGAGGCCTTGGCTCGTGGAGGACGAACTTTTCAAAGGGACGGGATGCTGGGGACGGGAACTGAGCAGGGGCAAGCTCGTCTACGTCCAAACAGTCTATGTCAGCGATGAGTCGGTCAGTAACGCGCATACAGCCACTGCTATGAGCTTATGAGTTCGTACTGAATATGTCTTCCGTAGATGCGAGGTCAAGGGCTTGGCTCTTTCGCGTTGCAATCTCTCCTGAATTCAGAACACGTTACGGAGAATGACTTTGTTATCTCTTGGCCAACTCCCGTTCCACCCCGCTACGACGAAGTGAGGAGCAACGAGCAGTATGAGGCTGAAATGCACCGAGCTGTGTCGTTCTACCAGAGGGTAGGCGTCATTTGTGTGTTTGTTGATGTAGAACAATAGCTCTAATTGCTGCGCTTCTATGAAGAACGGTTTCAGGAGAATAGGCCTGACCCAATTCCTCGTGTACTCACCCAGACTCGATCATCCATCTCACAACATTTCCCCTTCGAACGACGCCAAATTCCTGCGAACCCGTGTGGAGTTGTCTGCCAAAGAAGACCTTCTAGCACATACATTGAGCTTGGCCTGGGCTACGCTTGAGGTTTCGTGGAAGAACAAGAATCGTGACATCCAGGAATATACAGCGAACTACCCGCTCCATGACCAGATTTGCCGAATCAGTGACGATGGAATCGAGCAGATCATCCGTGCCGCGTTCTTGGAGGATCAAACGTCCATCACACAGAAGGACAACAAAGGATTCACGCCCCTGCATCGCGCTGCCGAATCTCTGAACATCATAGCGACGAAGATCCTTCTCGAGCTCGGAGTACAGGAAGATCTATTGAGACGCGACAACACAGACTTGAAGACACCAATGATGCTGTGCGCGGATCAGCTTAGAGTGTTAAAAGAGCTGCAGGAGATTAAGCAGGGTCGATGGGTTGGTCACGGAAGAAGTGGTTTACAGGTCGAGGCGATGCTCAAGAGGGCCATGGGAAATTTTGCAGGCACCGACGTAGAGTAATCCAGCAGTACAAGTGGGGATGCACTTGCGGAAGATGCGCGGGTGGTTGGCTCTCTCCGAGAGTCCGTCAAGGGCTTCGCGGTACGTATGTATGGTCTTCAGAATCATAAGGCGCTCACCGTGCTGGATAGAGTGCGCGGACTATCTCTATGACACTATGCCATCAATGCAAGGTATGATGTTCGAGAACGGACAGGCGATTTCAGAACATGACATAGAGCTCGACCTGGCGCTGCCATATATCCCTCCGCGTCTGCGCCCAGGCATTTTCAAGACCTTCTTTCTACTCTGGGTATCGTATCCTGTTCGGCGCTATCTCCCAGGTCATATGCGACATACAAGACAAGAGCCAGCCCATTGCAGAGGACATCCAGACGAACATTCAATTGAAGGTGGAAGGAGATCTCCCGTGGATCTATCACAACGAGTACGAGTACTTCGAGAAGAGATCGGTGGAATTCTACTTCAACAAGGGCGGTCAGATCGACTGGACTGTGTCCTTGACCAGTTGCCAAGTCATTTCGAGATGGAAGCCATAGACGAGGCGGAGGATGCCTTGTCTGGGAGGTCATACGGAGATCAGGACGAATGGTTGATGAATAAGAAGGCCCTTCCGGTATGTGCGAACGATCGGGAGTTCGAGATGGTGAGGCACCTCATGGGAGGACCCTGGATAATCCCCCCAAAGGTCGTCGCCAAAACCCCCCCAATTTACAAAAATCTGTCCAGCCCATTTTTGGCCGGTTTAGGGAGTTTTTTGTCCGGAAATAGCGACATCCTCGCTCTGGAGACGTCCATTTTAGGCAATTTGTGGCTATTTTTAGCCTTTTTCGGCCTTTTCCGGCAATTTTCCGGCGATTTTTGCCCCAGAACAGTTCCATGTCCGGATAGTACGACGGCTACATGGTCCTTAGGGGTCCATTTGTCCGGACATGACGACGGCGTGAGGTCGATTTTCGCAAAAATCTGTCCGGATTTGGCGACGACCTTTGTGGGGATTATCCAGGGTCCTCTCATGGGTCTTGGTCGGATGGGCCCGTACCCTACGACCTCGACTGGCAGAGCCGGACCTGGGGGATTTGGATTTGGGAACATGTTTGATGACGACGAAACAGATGAAGACGAAGATGAGGATGAGGATACGGACGAGGACGATATCGAGGAAGATGATGCAGAGATGGACAACGGCGAGGACTGGAATGAAGAAGACGACGAATGAAGCATGCGTTGAGCAATTGGCCGTTTCTTGTCCTGCGAGGAGAGTTTTTCCATGCATTTTTCCCACTCATTCACGGTGCTTTTCTGCATGGCTGTAACCTTCAAGGCTTCGGTGTGGCATCATATGTCGAGACGAGCACGCCCACTTTTCTCGGTCATCGACGATTTGTCATGCAATCTGAACATAACGAATATCGACAAACCTTACGCGTGAGCAGAAACTTTTCCTAAAGAATATTTGTACAGCTCATCTTAGACATACAGTACATTGTACAAAAGTGAAGGTCTGGTGCGTTATGGACTCCCCGTAGCTCCCCGTGGCCTCTGTTTGTTAATCACTTTCCGTCTTCTGGATATCCGCTCCCCGAGCTCCAACCTCCTGCAAAAGACTACTGTAATCCACGAAGTCAGTCCCGCTCTCCCTGCAGACACTGCCACATCTGTCCTGCACAACTCTGAGGTGTTCGTTAGCCTTGCGCACACCTTCCTTGGCTACGCGTAGTCGTTTTTTGTATAGGCCCATCTGGATCTGGCACCTTTGCAGCGCGAGCGTTGCAGCATGCTGATGTGCCATCGCCTTAATGCTGTCCTTGTGGGCCTGTACGAGCTCGCGGACATGCTCAGGATCGCCCTCCTGAACCTCGATCTTCAAATACCGAAATCAGAACATATCTGTGACAGGTGCGCATTGACATACCTCCGAGGGATGTTGGTTTGCCTGGTGTGGGAGCGCAGCAGCTCGAGAAGCAGCTGATGGCCCATTGATTGGCGCAGTCGGCTGCTGACTGGGAGTTGCCAAGTTTAGTCCATAGATGGGTACACTGGATGGCAGCGAAGTAAGATAGGCCTCACTCATATCCAACCACTCGCGTCGGGCGTCTAATGTCACGCTTACACCAAAATGGCGGGCGAAAGTGCTTGCTCGTCTAATTCCTCTTTCCACAAAGCCTTTATCAGAAATGTGTTCCCTGGGGATTGTTAATGAATACCTTCTTGAATATTCCCAGGGAGCACATTTTTTAATTTCGCCCTCGTAGGAGAGAAATTAGGCTGGCAACAACCCAAAGTGAACGGCGACCAAACAGAGCCAACATCCAGCAGGTAAATATTTGGCTGATAAGTGGCCCTTACCACACCATCCATTACCATATCGGGTATCAGACTTTGACTTATTGCTCCCAAATCAATAGCATCACTCTCGGGCAACTGTCGGGTCACAACCATGTCACGGCGCTTAGAGTGGTTGGGCATGAGTGAGGTCTATCTTAAATGTCATCAGCAGAGCATTGGATGGAACAGTTCTGTGAACGAACGTCTGAGGGTTGGCATGGGTCATATGAGCATAGTAGGATGTGGGTTGGTTTGTGAGGTTCGACATGATTTGGGGGCAGCTATAGGAAAGAGGTGTTGCGTGCGGGGGGCGGGAGCAGGATGGGCTAGCAGAAATGCTGCCATCTGGTTATATATGTAAGTCTGTTCAAGAGAGCACGGTGGACTTTGATCTGATCGTCATCGTAGACTCTGTGAGTCTCTGGTACTCTCTTGAAGCTCTAGTACTCTCTTGACGCTCTGGTACTCTCTTGAAGCTCTGTTCCCGTGTGAAATTAGTTCCCGTGTGAATTCGAAGGACGGCCGTCTACTACGCGGTACGTTGGCGCTCTGCGCAGTTCTGACTATCGGTGCTCGTTCTGACCTGTGACCTCTTCTTGTTGCGGCAAGAGCTTTCCTGTCCAATGGCTCTACACTGATTGCGAGCCGTCTGCATAAACATAGTCTACCCCAAGAACATTTCCTAGAGCACCTTAGGAAGCAGTTTCACCAGATCTATCATTGCAGAGCGTGCGTCCTCGCCATCGCCGTCGCGCCATTCTACGTGTCGTAATACATGATTCTGTATCGTCTCGCCTCAATGCCGTCATGCCATGACCACCTCCACGTCCTCCTGCATGCTCTTTTTCTCCACGTCCCCCAACACGCTCTTCCTCTCCACCTCGCTCTCGCCCTCGTCGTCGTCCTCGTGCAGGATCGCCGCGTCCACATACGTCTCCTCCGCCGGGAACAGCACCGACGCGACGTAGTACACCGCTGACGCCGTCGTGAACTGCAACACACCATCAGCCGCATCCGGACCAACGAGGGATCAGGGCACTTACGCCAAAGATCCACGCAAAGTCGAAGATCTTCGTCGCGCCCCCGACGGGCACCTTGGTGTTGATTGAGTGGATCAGCCCGGGCAAGTTCGGCGGCACGGAGCACACGATCGCCAATACCGCGCGCCAGTTCTGCGGGTGCAAACGCCGGGAGAGATGAGGGACGCGTCACGTTAGTGATCTGAACCGGGGACGCACAAAGCCAAAGGTGTAGCGGTACCGCCCGTGCGGGCGGTACATGGACGGCACGTCGACGCGACCCTTATGGAGGAGCCAGTACTGCCGGGTGCCGAGTCAGAATGAGACTGCCTGAGGAAGGATGTACGCACGTCTGTGACCATGATCCCGGCGAAGGGCCCGAGAAAGACCGTGTATCCGTTCATGAATGATAGGAACCCAGACGCGCTAACATCGCCACCCCATCAGTTTCCGCACCCCCTCCTTTGCCAAACACACGCGGACGCGAACGCACCTCGCGAGGATCTCCCACGGGCATAGCGCCCACCCGCCGAGGATCGCGCAGAGCACCTGCCCGCGGCGGATGTTAATGTACCGTGGGAGTAGTACGGTCATGTCGTTCGCGGCCGACAGGGAGTTCGCAGAGATGTTCGTACCGATCGTCGCGAGCACGAACGAAGCGGACGCGAAGAATGCCCCAGCGCGGTTGTCCCAGTGGTCGATGAGCAGAAGCGGGTCCCAGAGCACCTGCCCGTACAGCAGGATGCCCGCGCTCGTCACCGCCATCCCGATGAACCCGACGAAGGTGAACGCGATTGGGATGATGATTAGTTGCACATATTGCCTGCCGGGAACTGGAATTGAGCGGCGGTCGGGAGTGGGAGTAAGGGTGCTTACGCTCGCTCGTCCTTGGCATATCTCTGAGCAAGCGCGGGGATCAGAATCAGGAGAGGCAAGTCCTATTGGCGTTAGGACTCACAGTGAAATCAGGGATGTTCACTGCCAGAGTGGAGTAAATGCCGAGTGCACTATTTAGTGCGCTAAGCCATGCCCAGGAAAGGTCGCTCCCAGAAAGTGTCGACTTCTGCGAGAACAGCCCCTCACTCGCAGGCACTTTCACGAACGCCCAGATGAGTATCGCGATCCACGCGGGGAGCACGATGATCGCCCGGGCGACGAAGACCCAGCGGATCTTTTGTGGAGAGAGGAGCATGAATGGGAACTAGTGGAGTCTGTCATTCTGTGCAGCGCGAGCGATGCAGAGAGCATACTTGGAAGAGCCAGTAGAGGAAGTAGCACATGATCCCTGCCAGAAGGTGAGAATGCACTGTCTTTATAACAGAGGGAAAACACTCACCAGACGTCGTGATGTTCGCGCTCTTCGGAAGATGGTTCGGGAGGTGCGCAAGCGAGGGCCAGATCGCCTTCAACATCTCCACCTACCATTAGTACCCGCCAGCCAGCCAGAGAAACAGTCCGACCGACCTGATATACGCACTGTGAGCCTGTGTATGTCTGGATGCCGAACCAGAAGAGCGAGAGCACGACACGGCTGATGACACTGAAGTAGCTGAACCAGAATCCGAACGACGAGCGGTTGAGCACAGGGAAGCTGACGTGCAGGCGCGCGCCGATCGTCCCGTTCAGCACCATTACGCTCGCGATGATGCAGTGCCCTACCGCGATCGCGGGGAGTGCCTGTCGCCTGCTCGGGCGTGCATCAATGGCTCTATCACAGCACTCGAGTGGGGGCAAGGGGGCGGCGCACCATGAGAGGCCGAGCGTGAGCATACTCGAGGCGAGCTCCCACACTGCGACGTTGGTCGCGTCGGAGATCCAGTACGCGATGTAGTTGAGCGTCGTCCACGTCCGCTGTGCGGCCGGGACAGGTTCAAGACGGTGAACACAGGGAGATAGCGATCATGCTCACGAGGTGCGGTGGGACGGGGTCCATGTCCTTGTTCGACCAGCGCGCGTTGGGCGCGAACGTCGACGGTTCCGGCTCGAGGACCCATCCTGACAGGTGCAGGTACTTCATCGTGCTCGGCAGCAGAGAACGAGAAGCGAAAGAGGAAGAAGAGGTAGAACGCGGCTGCGAGAGCGCTCCCTACGCCCATGCCTGCGAACATTTTATCTATCTCACTTTCTTCTGCCAGTGCAGAAATTTGATGACGATAAGCTTCAGCTTCAGGGCCCTGCTCTGAATTGGCGCGATAAGGCGGCGCCAAAAATCGAGGCGTGAAATTGTTTGCCGAACCTGCGAGTGCGGATTAGGCAGGTGTCGTGGTTTGTGCGGTGCGCCGCGCGACCCCACGGGCCACAAGCAGGCACACCCCGCAAGATCTCTGTGGTACATGTCCGGCAGAAGACATATGTACGTCGAACTCAATCAGATGCATACGCATCCTATCCATACATCCTGCAAGTCACAGTATGCGGCGACGTCTTGCCGAAGACTCAGCATGTTATCAGCACGAAACGGAAGCACAGATATGATAAGAGACAATCTATGCAGATACCAAGAGATACCAGGTTTCGCATGTTTTAGTAAGACAGTAATCTTTCTTTCTCACAGATACCGTCTTTCTATCCCTCGATTATAACCCAAGCAGTCAACCTAGTAAAGAAAATATACGCGCACGCGCGGCAGGAACAATCTACAGCGATGCGCCGCCGCACGTCTTAATCGTCTGCCCGGTGATGTACTCTGCCTCTTCGGATGCCAAAAACGATACTAGCTTCGCGACGTCCTCGGGCTCCTGGATGCGCCCCAGCTTCACGGACTCCTTCACACGCCTCGCCTTGGCCTCGCCGAGTGAGATGTTTTCCTGCAACACGGGGCATCATAGCATAGCACAAGAAAAGGGGAGGCAATGTTAGGGAACGTGATCAAGAAGGGCAAGGAGAACCACTGACTATCCTGGCGAGCTCGCGGTCAATGTGGTCCCACATGGGCGTGTCGACAATCCCGGGGGCATACGCTGGTCAGGTCGAGGTGAGGGAAGCCTATAAGTGACGCGACGCGCCTGCTCACCGTTCACTCTGATGCCGTACTCGGCCCACTCCTTCGCTGACGCTTCGGTGAAGCCGCGTACGGCGAATTTGGTCGCGCCGTACGGCCCGAGGTTCTCTGCGACGCTCAGATGAGGAGCGAGAAAGGCGGATGTGAGAGAGACGTGCCTGCGGTACGGTACGAGGCGATGGAGCCAGCGCCAATGATGCGCCCGCCGAAGCCTTGCTTCACCATTTGCTTGGCAGCGAAGATGTGGGTGTTCATGAGCCCGAGCAAGTTAATCCGCACTTCGTTCTCGATGAATCTACGATGCGCAGGTATCAGCGAGGACGGCAAATACAGCAGTTCATGCGTACTCGGGCGTGCACTCCAGGAGCGGCTTCACCTGCGTGACGCCCGCGTTTGCGACGCTGACGAAGAGCGTAGGACCCAGCTTCTCGATCGTCTCTGCGATCGCAGCCTCGATCTGCGTTGGGACGCGTACGTCTGCGCTCGCATGAGCACAAACGTTCGTCCTCGGACGAACACGCATCGCACTCGCCTGCATACACACTGACGGCCTTTCTGCCGTAGGCCTCGATCTCCTTGATGACCGCGTCGACCTTCTCCTTCGCGGGCGGGATGTCCGCGATGGAGATGTCGTACCCGTCCCGGGCCAGGCGGAGCGCGATCGCGCGCCCGATGCCCTGCCCGCCGCCGGTGACGAACGCGGTGCGCCCGAGGGACGGCTTCACGGGGGACAACTCTTGTGACATAGCACCAAGTTGCTGCCGTAACGCGACTGTACGAATCTTTTAAAGGTGAGGGAAACAGAAATCGTGGAAACGATGAGTGCCATCCTCACGGACACGCTATAAGCTTCGAGGGCAAGGCTAGTTAGCCCATGCGGGGCGACACCGGGCCGTCGGAGGTATCACGAGGGCGTGCTGCAAGAACCACCGGGGTGATGTGCGTGAAGACGGTGCTTCTGACTCGCCTGGCGAATTGAGGGAGCATGCACGATATCGATTTGATATGGCACAGTCAGGGGAGAGCGTGTAGCCTTGGATTCCGACATGAGCCTGGACATCAGTGGTCCAGTTCTCGAGATGAAAAGCTGAAATGTGGGTGACGAAGTGTAATGAGTGAACGACAGGGGACGGCAGCCAGCATACTGATCTGACGCAGTATCCGACTATCCGTTCAACATCGTACTGAATTGGCACAGGATCGTCCAGAAACATCTCATTTCCGGTCATCCACGTCAAATTATTTGTGTTGTACTGCATAACATAATACTATCATGAAGCTCTACTTTGAGCATGTTCTGCGAAAATGTGAAGAGCTGTGGGAGTTTTCCCGAAGGAAATGGGGCATGCATCGCAGCATGGTATCACTGAATATACACACTTGCCGCAGGAGCAATTTTTGGTCACCTGGCAAAAATTACAAGAGAATATGCAAACAAATGCTTTGAATACAAAAATCTGATAGTTTATTGCACCACCATTAAGAGATACAATCTTAACACTGTTAAGGCGGAATGGCCGAGCGGTTAAGGCGCTAGAATCAGGATCTAGTTCGAAAGAGCGTGGGTTCGAGTCCCACTTCCGTCATTCTGTGTTATAGACAAGTTTTTTCATGGCTGTGATCTTGAGCAGCATGTGTATGTTCACTCAGTTATTACTGCATGCAGAGGGTTGTACACTACAACCCCAATGCCGATTCTTTTAGCAAGTACTATAGCTGTAAGGGTTGAGACAAACTGCAAATCTCTTTGCAATTTAATTGTATTTGTTTACCTTTTCAAGGACATACTTCTAGAAGTTAAAAAAGTAAATGCCTTAGACATAAAAGAACTCAGCCACAAAGGTTTCTCTGTAGCTGAGAATGTAATAGCTTCAATGCAGGCCAGAGTGAAGGGTTCATCTGAGATAGCTGCTGTGTACCTGCAGATGTTTGAGGTGATTCTACATGTGTAAGACACTACAGGGAAGGAGAAGAGCAGGGAGATGAGGATAATTTAAGGCATGATACATCAAATGGGGCTGACCATAAATACACAAGGCCCATTGTGTCTGTAATCACAAGCATGTGTATTCATTTGTATAGGGCATGTGTGTTCAGAGACACATACAGTGAAAGACAAGGTTCCAGAAGTTGTATCACTGGGTGAACTGTGAACCAGAAAGGACTCACTCATTCAGCAACATGGTCATGTTCTCCCTCATACCATGAAAGACAATGTCCTACAAGTTACACCACTCAGCGAACTGTGAACTAAGTAGTTCATCAGGAAAACCCCACTTTTCCTTAAAAGGACACTTAAATAACTTAAATGGACTTATGGTCCTTATTTAAGGACATAAGGACAAAAAGGGCCTAAGGCATATTCCCTGAGTGTCTGAAATTCGACTTATTTGAACACTTATGGCCTTAAATAAGGGTTCTCAGACCCAAAAGTCTAAATAAGTCCATAAGAGAAAGTTGGGTTTTCCTGATGTCCTCTATAAGCAGTCTATATCCTCAGGCTCACCAGACTGCAGTAGACTCAATATATAGCCAAAACTAAGCTAAGACTGAGTGTATACAGCTAGATGGTGAGTGTAGGAGATTAAAAGCAACTTGCTTAGGTAATCAGTAAGCAATCCATAATGAGTAATGGTTGTCAGAACCAACCCATTACATCCTCACTCATCCAGCAATGTGGTCTTCCTCTAAGCCAATCTTGTCCTGCCACATCACACTCCAAACATATTGGCCAAGAGCACCCACCCATCGCACCAACATTGGGAGTTGCAGGAAGAATGGAGAGGGATACTGTGGCTGCTTTCAGCACAGCACCATTAGATGTCACTTATGGGCTCCAACTCATATCTGCAGTGTGCCTTGGCAGGGTGACATTTTCTCATCACTCAGTGCCCCCTACACAGAGTGTCACATCAAATGTTGATGGAGAACATATTGTTGGTCACAAGGAAGGGTGCAAGAACATCGGAGTGCTGGGTTATGCATGCCAGACAGTATCACTTCTTGTGAACATAGGCGAGGACACCTGGACGACGAAGTGAGGATACAATGATCGGGAAGATGGGCAATATCTGTACACCACGCCTTCAGGTTGTCAACCGCTGGCGGGCCATATCTTCGCACTGTATCCTTGCCTGGATTCCGTGCCCCCAGGGCTCTCACATCTCACAAGCTCCTCATCCTTCACTTGACTGCAGGCCATTTCTTTGCGACTGTGCATGTCCTTTTCGCTGCGCGACCCGATGGGCCGTTCACACAGGGTTGTGTCGCGGCCTATCGGCACAAAGTAGATGGGGACTATATGCGGAACGATGCGGGCGGGGTGCAAATGTGTCGCGCACGCGGTGCCTTGCTGAGCCGTGCGTGTGAAGGACACCACATCCATCCCTGGAGCGGATGAGCACCCATGCACACAGAAGGAGGGAGGATACACACCGTTAGCCCGCCAATGATCTAGGAATACCCGCTCACGTTTTGCGCCCTTCTGCTGCCGCTGTATGTGCTCCCGCGCATTTCCGCACTTAGGCTGCTCTTCGCCTTTGCGAGCGATGAATGACCGCCATGCCTACAGTACGCACGTCGGTGTTTTAATGTCCTTCCCGTCGTTCCTAGAGTAGAGAGACGGGCCGGCGCACGCTCTCCCACTGCTCTGCATCTGCCGAGATGATGAGCGCGGAGTAAACAAGCTGTGCTGGGGATACGTACTTGTGGCCACACTGGGAGGCCATCTTTCGCAAGTGAAAAGATTTCCTTTTTCCTTCTACACGCTGGGCGGCTGCACTGCACCTAGACTTTGGTCGTCCCTCCAAGGCCGACCCAACCACTCTTGCCGTGTGCAGACCCTCTTGATCATATATACACGGTATACGCGCATCCCCGGGGGCAAACGTGTCACTGTTGCCGCCGCAGAAGGGCCTTGAGCGTTTGGTCCGCTTCGTGTCTGCTGGCTCGCCGTGTTCTGTCTAACGACCCGGGGCATGATATTGGGACGAGCAGTGGTCACTCCCATGCTACCCATGCCTCCAGGGGGACCTGTGTTGCTATGAGGCGCGCCGCTCACTCGGGGCTCAGTATTATATACCGAGCGCACGGACAGTGGAGGTTCTTGCAAGTGTTGGATGGCAGTAGATGCGGAAGTAGATGCATGCAAATGCAGCCGCGTACGCGGCTGGCCATCTGGATGAGTTGGCGGATCTACCACTCGTGCGTTGAGTGGCTGTGGGCCACCTAACGTATGTGTCTTTGGTCGCATGTGAGAGCTCAGTTGTGTCAGAAGGTGAGGATACGCACCGTCCTGTTTGTCCTGTTTGTCCTGTTTGTATTGGCCCCGTTCATAGGGTGTGCATAGGTATTGCTCCTATGCATATACTTCTTGCTGGTGGATGTAGATGCCAAGGGGTCGTGGCGTTCGGTCGAATGTTGTGTACGAGTGACGGGCATTGTTGGATACAGTTGGTGAGGTTGTCAGTGGAGTATAGGAATGTGTCTGGACGACGTTGATGTTGAGCTTGAGATCAATCGAGAGCACGTGCAGTGGAGCAAAAGCATAAAACTCACCTCTTTATATACCTCCCGTACTTCTGCACAACTTTTCTTTGTTCCGGCGCGATTGGTGTTGCGGCTGGGGGAGTTTCGTTGAACATAAAAAACAGTGGCGGATAAGACAAGGGTGCTTTGTTCGCACCGCCACTGTCGGAGTGGCGTGGGACGCCACACGACGAGATGATAATCAGGCAGCTGTATATTGTCACTCGGCTGCTTTCGCTCGCTCTTTGACCGCTTTTTCGGCTGCTGCACCTAGCATTGTCCGCGTCAAGCATGCAAACAGCATACGGGAGACGCCGAAACAAAATGCATGCTGGAATGGCACAGAGAACGAGCGAAGGAAGAATCCTCAAGCGGATAATAGACGATGCGATGGTAGACCTGTACACCAATGAGCTAGGGAATAGAAGATGAGACAGTCTTTGCGGCGCTCCGTGAACCGCCAAAAACACGAGCTGGAATCCTTCCGATTTCGACATGTTTTTAATCAGGATACAAATGAGACATACGATAGGGAAGCTTCAGCTGCAGTTTCTTCCGACGTCTCACTATCCGCGATGTCGTATCCTATAACCCGACAAAACGAGGTACCATGATAAGTATAATGGACACTGCGAGTTCTTAGTGAGTTCACGTCGTCTGTTGTAAACTCCGAGACTCACCGCATTCTCCTTGGCCAAAAACTCCCGTACTGGCAGCCAGCGTTGGTCCATCACGCATATCAACAGGTTATCTAACTCATCAAACTGAGACTGTAAATCATGACTTGAACTGTGCACACTGCGTGTAGCAGTTGTTGAATAGTCAACTATAGTACGACTAATCCGCGGCCTGCGTGCATTGAGACTGTCTGCGTTGGTTACACACCTATTCCAGCTGCATTACAGGAACTATTGAACAACCAGTGCAGACTTGCCGCATGCCCCTCAGCCACTTTCGAGGACGAATACCAAAGGACTTGCGTCGTGCCTATCTCTGCAGGATAGATTTCTAGCCAGTGTAGGCGCGAGCTTCAATTCCGAGGCGGACGGTCGTCGAAATTTCCAACAGATCCGTCTGGCATCTGAAGTCATTCATTTCGTATGTGAGCCAGTCAAGAACTGATTCGTGGTTGCCTGCGGATTTGGAGAGAGCACTAAATTAGACGATCCTGGTGTATCTCGCTGGATAGGCAGTGAGTGAACGCAGCAAGAACGCAGTGCGTAATTGCGGTCGGCATATTCGGTCTCCGCAGAGAAGGAGAGACCCCGAGTCCGAAGTTGGCAACTGTAGTTGTTCGGGTCGCGTGCAAGTCTGCGTCACCGACATGGCACTGCAAAAAGGCACTCTCGCAAGTGACGCGTTTGACCCCCTAGTTGTTAATGCTGAGGGGTTTTCCATGAGCTGTGAAAACCCCAGATTTTCTTGTTGAATGTTCACGAGCAGATCCCCAAGTCGCGCTCACCGCCCGCCTTCGCGTCTACACACGTCGAAAATATGCATACGACTACACTACCCTAACAAACTCTTTTATAGCGCCGAATCTGGATGGACAACGTTTCTATCGACCCAATTCATTCTGGCTCCAAATTGCTCCCGTTCTGCACTGTCTGTAAGCCGAGACATCGACATATTGGATCACTCCGTCAAGTAAATTAGCCTCAACACGTAGTGCGACTTGATTGTCCAAAGGTAGCCTGGCACTATGAGATCTTGTCCCAGCCATGGTAACGATGCGACCTTAGTTCTTAGTCGCTACTTCAAGGGTGATAAACTGTGTCCCCTCGAAATTTTGAGAGCAGCTGTAGAGAAATCGCATCGAAGGATGGTGGTGTGGGTACTGCTACATTGGTGCTCGACTCTATTGCGAGTTGGCGCTGGAAGAACCTGCAGGTCGGTCACACGGTGCAAGCCAGAGTGAAAGCGCATCCATCGTGTCGTGGGACAGATCTCGCCAGCCCATCAGAGATTCTCTGCCAATTCGAATTTGAACGCATCTTCGTAGTTGCAGAATTTTCCCAACGCGCACAATCAGCAGATTAATTCGAGCAGCTATGAAACCTCACTCTGAGACTCGAAGAGCTACATGATGTGATTCTTTGGCAAGAACCATTCCTTCTCAATCTAATGTTGAAGGCGCCTCCGCAAATCCTCCATCACTCACAACTTCCCCCGGAGCTTGGGAAGACCAGCCGTCTGAAGGTCAGCATTGATCTCGTCGACGTGATCGAGGAACTGGGCCTTCAGATCTTTCCACATTTCCGGGTCATGCTCTGCTCGACACCGTCAACCAGCCGGAAGGTATAGAAAGCACAAAGGGTAAAGAAAAAGACGCACTGTGCAAGTTGCCGGACCTATTCATGGCGTAGTCCGTCACAGTAGTTTGCATGCACGACTCGAACATGATCACTGAAAGGGGCAAGCGGGGTGAGTACGGTGTATGTACCATCGACGGCGCTGATAGGCACTGACTGAGAGTATCAGCGTAAACTATCTGTGGGGTATCCGGGGCTTCTGTGCCCGCCTTGAACTCTTTATAGGACACTAAGGCATGCGGTCAGTCATGAGAAAGTGTAAAATTCGACAGGAAAACAGACGGCCGTGAGGGCAGAATCCCGACTCGTAGCTGAGTGAACCGGCAACCAACGCCTCGCTGCGTCCCCCATAGGAACCGTGGATTATACCCAGCATTTCCGTTGCACAGTTACGGTGGAAAAACTAACAACGATAACGGATTACTGTCAGTGGAAACACCGAGGAGAGGCATCACGAACCGGGGGACGGAACGTGTTCCTGGTCGCGTCCCAGCGCGGGCTGAAGATCACAAAGTCGATCAACGGGGCCGCGGGCGTCTTCGACTTTGCAGTGAGAACACAATAGATGGACGGGTCCGCGTGATCCTTGAGGATGCTGCCCATGGCTGCGAACTTGTCGAGGTCATATTTGTACGGAATATAGCTGGAGGCACGGCCATCTGAGTGGCGATATCAGGTTTCAGATGCGTGAAGGACCCACTTCCCATGCCAGGCGACCACGTCGAACGGCGTGTGGTCCTGGTTACACACAAAGAGTTGTCCGCCGACCCTGTGTTTGTAATATCCATTACTGCTGCTCCTGCACGGAGTGCTTCCACCTACTTGTAAATGACTGAGAATCAAGTATGTCAGCAAGATAAGTGCAAACGAGATCCTTCAGATGCTTACTTTCCCACGGAGACCGGTCGATATCGAAACTGGCAACCGGACTCTCGAAATCGCGAGGGTTAGCAAGTCCATTTGCACCAACAGGACCCAACTCCGGAAGTTCGTAATGAGAGCCAAAAATCTCTTGGACGTCTGCAGCATCCGTCAATATGCATCGCCGTGAAACTTTGAGAACAGCTCACAGCCACGCGAATGACCATCAGGCAAGGAAATCTTTGGGATGATCCTTCAGCATGAAATCCAGGATCAATAAGTCCATACTGACTTTAAACTTGAGGCCACGTTGAACGACAACAAGTTCTCCGGGGCGCACCATAAGCCTAGCCAACCAACTCAGCGAAGTCAAAGAAATGACCACGAAGATCACCCACTTTCCGAACTCAGTCTGGATATCCAGTCTACCCAGCTGCGGCAAAATCATCATGTCGCCATCTGCATTGCAGAAGGCCGTCTTCTCCATGGACGTGTTGGCAGCAAAAACGTGAGTCGCGAGGCCCTCACGACTAGTCGGGTCCCCGTTTCCAGCAAGCGTCTTCAATCCGGCAACGAAGTCGACTTTCTGGTTAGCGGGTGGGATGTCGAGAGCGCTCCAAGCGAGCTGGGTGGGGCTAAAATGTACACGAGGGTTGGACGGGTGGAAGTTCGCCTCGAGCTGCGGGAGTGACAGTTAGCGCAAAGGAAAACAGCTTACGGGGTAAGACTTACGTCCGGGTTGTCCGGGAGTTTGGTGAAGCCATTGTGGGCTACGGATGGGCGCATGCGATAAGTCCACCTATAGGATCAAGTGTCAGCGTAACACGGTCTCCACAGAATGCGTCTGTGTCATACGTGAACTGGTTCTGGGCGCGCGGCGCGACGAAGGAAGTGCCATTTATCTGGAGACATGCTCGGCGTTGCTTCAGGTGCATGCACGGCAGGCACTACTTACAGACTCGGTGTACAGGTCGTATTTGACTTTCTTCGGGTTATTCTGCGCGACGGGCAGAGCACCCGGACTGACGGCACGCATATCAGCGATACTGGCAAGAGATGACGTAGCTAGACGAACATGGCCTCCGAGGCGAAACGATTTCCGAAGCCAGCCTGGTACCTGTATGGGTCGTTTTCGCGAGGAGCGACGATAAACGTGTTCTGAGCGGTGGCACCGGTAGTCATGGTCTGCACGGACTCGTAAGCTTAATATGAACGGCTAGTGACCTAACGCGTTTTTTGCTTACAATGAAAAATCAAAGGCGGGAGGGTGGTTGAACACAACGCAATGCAGAAAGCCTGCCCAGCGAAGAGGTGGCACGGGTTATTGGGACAGGAGTCGGTCAAGTATTTATATCCTTCGTGAAAGGCGTCAGCATCAACAGTTCAGACAAAACTTGAACCCAAAGCACCTCGCATCATCTGAGCAGTGTCATGCTAGGTCATCATGTCGGTAGTAGAGCTGCTAAGGGCTGGCTGCCCCATCCAGATGACCTTCTATCAGGGCGGCAGCAATTCCATTATGAAACCTGTTCGAGCGTAGGGGGCACACCTGGTGACATTTAGTGTACGAAGGTTTACACGTGCCAACACCACTTTTGGACAGTTCATCTCATCCCTGGCGGCGGTCCTCATAAAGGGGTAGCTTCAGTACCTAGGAGTTAGTGATACCCGGGTATATCAGTCCACGAAAGGACGAACCGAACGAAGTTTAAATGGTGGACCAAGAACCCTGCTCGGAATGAGAAAGGCGCTGTCATACCAGGCAAACTCCGCGGCTCTTCTAGATTCAAGATTCGCGGATACGGTCTTTGCGCATCAGTTCGCGCTCATATTCGCAACGACTCTGAGCTGTTATGTCGAAAACCGGATTGTCAGGACTTCATGTGATAACTCTTCAAGAGCCAGGTGCCTCGCATTCTGGCGTGATGCGCGAAACATACCTCTAATATCTGGAACCGATATCAGATGAATGATGTTAAAGTGTAATAATACCTTTCGCTTCGACAGGGGCTTACGGAGACTTGACAAGGCTGACACATTTTCTCGTCTTCCGATCCGTCTCCGGTACCAGAATAACAGAGGGTTCATCGGCGACACATCAGTGCTACCTCTTTCAGAGAAATCATCTCATCGGTCATCGGCAAAGACATGGGGCCGTCACCGACGGCACCCTGCTTGGACGCATCTTCGAGGAGAAACGTCAAACTAAATTCAAAAATAGTGGTGGAGCTGCATACAATCGAACACGCCGTTCCTCTCTTTCTGCGCTCTCTCGGGTCATCACAGAGTCTGATCCTACCTGTATGTATCAAGCAAGTAGAGCTTCAAACAGTGAGGCACACGAAGGTTAATATTACAGCATTGTCCTTGGCATATCCGGGTTTTATGGTTTATATAAGATAAGGTGCCACGAAGTTTGGATAAAGTTCAGCAGAGGGACCGAATATTTTGTGCCTGATCATAACGCTATAGTGGAAAGTTGTAGTCAGCGAGTTCGAGGAGGAGAGAATGACCTCGCACTAGTTTCCGTCGGAGAGTACACATACTGGACCGTCCCAAGACCGTAGTCTGCTTGAATTAGCGGGGGTCACTGGCACACCGTAGTACACGCTTTCGGGAATTGCCGTTCGCTTCGACGCGTCCTGACGCGTCCCATTGGCTGGTCACAAATCCGACACTCAGCTGTGGCGCGCTCGTTATTGAGCTGGGGTGGGTCTTCCGCAGTGAATATCTCTTGAACTTGCTCAGAACACTTTCTATCTGCATCTCGCGATTTTTTCATGGTAGTTAAAGCGAACGTGGGCGATGAATGAGCAAAATGCTTTCCGGGCTCGGCATCTTCCGGACGAAATCGTGTACTACGGCTCAGGCCTCCACCCACGGGAGACTAAGTACCAAGACCGTACGGTTCAAGTTACTTATCCGCGAACGCGTGACCACGTTGTGACGTGACAAGCGCGTCGAGCGTGACGAGTACCATATGCACGACTACATGGACCCATGTTCTGGTCCAATTTTCCATAAGGGTGCACGTCGTCGGAGCGTGCAGGCTACTCGCGCGAACATGCGTCGACGGAGCCAACGACGAGGACAAGCCAGTGCCTAGTGGAGCGCCGGTACCCGGACCGCTGTGTCAGCGGGAGATCGAGACTGACGTCCGAGTCTCCCAGGCTCAAATACGTCGCCCCTCCGTCTCCTCTTCACAAAATCCTGATTCTCTACTTTTACCTGTTCCTCTAACACCACTACCATGCCAGGATCAGAGAGCAAGTTCCCAGTCGACCTCCACAAGCTCAAGAAGTGCGTACTCTGCATGTGATGTCATTGTTTACACTGATCTTGCCGATGCAGGCTGCAGCTTGACCCCTCGCAGCCCAAGCTGACGGCAGAGCAGAAGTCAGCACTGGAACATAATGTCCAGCTAATGCGTGATGCAATTGTGCTCTTCACCGCGACCGGTGCTGCTAGAGGCGTCAGCGGACACACTGGTGCGTACCACGACTCCTGTCTGCTGTGATAGCAAGAGCGCCGACGAAGGACGAATCGACGATAGGAGGAGCCTATGACACGGTTCCAGAAGTAAACCTGCTGCTGTCGTTGTTCAACTACTCGGACAAGTACGTGCCCATCCTGTTCGACGAGGCTGGTGAGTGTTGTGGAGCCCCTTGGTGAGGGGCCTCAAAATCTGACATCACGAGTGCGCAGGTCACCGCGTGGCTACGCAATACTTGTTAGCAGCAATAGAGGGCGCGATCCCGGCAGAACATCTGCTGCACTACCGTGAGGCGAACTCGAAGCTCCCGGGTCACCCTGAACTGGGGCTAACCCCTGGAATCAAGTTCTCCTCCGGCCGACTCGGGCACATGTGGCCGATGGTGAACGGTATCGCGCTTGCGAACCGCAGCAAGACCGTATTTTTACTCGGCTCGGACGGCTCGCAGCAGGTGAGTCGCCCGCGCGAAGATTATAACATTCGCGCTGAGCCCCGCCGCAGGAGGGCAACGACGCCGAGGCTGCGCGTCTGGCGGTAGCGCAGAGCCTGAACGTGAAGCTGATCATAGACGATAACGATGTCACCATTGCAGGCCATCCGTCGCAGTATTTGAAGGGCTATGACGTCAGCAAGACGCTGGCTGGGCACGGTCTCAAAGTGGTCACCGTCCAGGGCGAGAATTTAGATGCACTTTGGGCGGGTTTATGCGAGGTTATCACACACGACGGCCCCGCTGCAGGTGAGCTTACTGCATCGGTATCAGTCACTATTTCCTGACAAAATGCACCAGTCGTCTGCAAGCGTCTCATGGCTCCGGGTGTAAGTGTGGGTGCTATTAGCGGAGAAACATGCCTTATGACGTGCCCAGGTTCCCGACATAGAGGGCAGCATTCACGGTCACGATGCGATCCCGGTGAAGTCTGCCGTGAATTACCTGACGTCGCGCGGGTACCCCGAGTCTATGGCGACAGACATCTTGTACAACATCAAGCCTGCGTCAGTGCCGTCCTTGTTTATCGGCAGCACGAAGGAGGTTGGCGCGAATCGCGTCGTGTTCGGTGAGGCCGTCAACTCCGTTCTCGACAAGTTGAGCAAGGAAGAGGCCGCGGCCAAGGTCATGGTTATTGACAGTGAGTATGAGCTCCCTGTAGGTTGCGGAAGGCTAATTTTGTCGCAGGCGATCTCGAGGGTTCGACCGGTTTGAAGGCTATCCACCAGAAGCACCCTGAGGTGTTCGTTTCCTCTGGCATCATGGAGCGTGGCAACTTCAGCGCTGCAGCCGGTTTCGGATTTGATGCCAACAAGTTTGGTGTCTTCTCCACATTCTCCGCGTTCTTGGAGATGGTCGTATCCGAGATCACCATGGCTCGCCTGAATTCCTGCAATGTGCTCTGTCACTTCTCGCATTCCGGCGGTAAGTTGTTTTGTGGGATTATCTTATCTTATGGCTGACATCGTGTTCTTCCAGTTGACGAGGTCCGTTTCTCTCTCCCGATGCTCTGCTGTGCCGTCGTACTGATTTATTTCTCTGCACAGATGGCGGATAACACCTGTCATTTCGGCGTGAACTCACTCTTTGCGGACAATGGCCTAGCAGATACGCACTCTTGGCTGTACTTCCCCGCCGACCCCGCACAGATGATAGCAATCGTGCAGCGCGTATTCTTCGAGCGCGGCCTGCGGTTCGTATTCTCGACGCGCGCCAAGGTGCCGTACATCCTCAAGGAGGACGGCTCGCGCTTCTTCGACGGGAACTACAAGTTTGAACCCGGCAAGGATGAGGTGATCGTCGAGGGCAAGGCGGGTTACGTCGTCTCGTTCGGCGATACGCTCTACCGGTCGTGGGACGCCGTCCTCCGCTGCAGACAGGAGGGCCTGGACGTTGGCTTAGTCAACAAGCCCACTCTTAACATCGTTGATGAGAAGGTATGGGATATCATTTGTTCCTTGGAAATGCTGTTGACTGATGAGAGTTTGTGTGCTCGTAGACGATCAGGAAGATTGGATCGAGCCCCTTCGTGCTCGTCGTCGAGTCGCTCAGCCAAAAGACCGGTGTAAGTTTTTCTTTATCGTGCCGTTGAGAGACTTTGTGATAGACGAATGCATCGCAGCTCGGCTCTAAATTCGGCACATGGCTGCTCGAGCGCCGGCTCACACCTCGTTATGGCTACATAGGCACCACCAAGGAGGGTAAGTATCTTCGAGCAGGGTCCGCTGTTCAGTTCGCTCGCTTACTCGCTTGCAGGTTGTGGTGGCTTGTCAGAGCAGATTCCCTTCCAGGGTCTGGACCCTCAATGTACGTACACCCCATTTCTGTATGGATTGTCTAGTTGATGCTGAGAATAACTCGTCTAGCAATCATCCTGAAGATTCGGCAGCTGTCCCAGTAGACAGTTTTTTGGACGGACAGACGTGTAAGATGACTGAGCGTGGAAAGAAGAAATCAGTATGTAAAGATAGTTGACGATGTGTATTTACATATTACTAGATTGATCAACGAAATGAAATTCCTTGTGCCACGATTGGTGGCGAGTGTGGCGCTGCTGCTTGAAGTCAAACTCTGCTCGAGGGAACGTGGATCGATCGTCAAAATCGGAATTTTCGAACCAAACGGTACTCGACATGCGAGTCAACTACCGTGACAGTGGTCATAACATTGGCTAAGGAAGTGTTCAAAAACAAGAGCAATTCGCTGGGTTCAAATTTCAGTCGGGAACATTGCAGTGAGCGGTAGAGACATACATTCGATTTTCATGCATACAGCGGAAGGGGGTGTACAATTCCTGTATGATCTATAGCACCGAGACAGGCGAGCAACCGACACCGACAACACCTTGCCAGAGGACGTCAGCCACACCAGAACACAAGGGAGGGGGCGTGCACAACTTCACTCACCGAAGTAGTTGTCCGTACAGCAAACCGGAATGTTCTCCCTGCAGGACGGCCGGGCTAGCTTGCGGCAGCCTTACCAACTGCTCCTACCGCCGACGTTGACGCCTCCGCCACCACAGCCTGTGCCCAGGACACCCGCGGGCAGGACCGCCTGGTCCAAGTTCAGCGCAGTCATGACCACGTTGGCTTCGTAGGAGTCGAGCTGGTATGTTGTCGTGCAGCAGTCGATCGAGCCGCCCGCCGTTGCACTGCGTCGCCGACGCGCCGGGGAGCGACGCGGAGAAGACGAATGCCAGGCAGAGCAGAGAAAGGACGCGAGTGGCCATGGTTGAGATGTGGGAGGCGTTTGATGGTGAGTGGGAGGCGAGAAGTGGGTGGTTATATGGTACTTTCCTAGTAAACGGGACATTCTGGGTTCGGAGCGAGGCATACAGATGTCACTACAGTAATGTGCGTCGATTGGTGGGAGACATCAATATGTTGGTGTACGCGCTAACATACGGCGTCGGATCATATAGCCCGCATTATTGCATGCAGATTCTACTGTGTTACCAGGATTAACCAAGATATACAGCTTCTCGTTGATTTCTAACGCACCACGATTGTTGTGGAATCTATCGGCTTACATCATGTCATTGTCGCCGCCAAAGTAGCCAGACAGAACCCTTACGCTTCGCCACAACGGAAGGTGAGATACGTGGGGAAAATGAGGAATTGGAGAGCTGTCTGCGACTTAGAATCAGGATGCCTATCAGTCATAGACATTGAGAATCGGTCAAGTACGCACCTGCTCTCGAATCTCAATGCATGCAGTCCGTGAGGTTGTCATGCCGAATAAAAGACAGCACACCTGTGATACAATACAGATATTGCATGAAAAGATTGACACTGACATGCAAACCATGCAATTCGTACATAATGCTGTGTCTGTACAAGTAATGTGAGATATGAAGCTAATGGAGGGGTGAATGAGGAAAAGACGAGACGTGAAGCCTGTAATGAGAGCAGAGCGTCCGAAGGTTCCGCCACACGATCAAAGTACGCACACTACCAGTCTGGCCAATATTTGTGTGTCCCGGACGTACACACGGCCGGCCAATCCACTCTAGGTGCTATCCCATCGTACGCGCGTACCTCGATTGACTCCACTTGCTCCCGAATACGTAACACTTTGTCGTGAAATTCACTAGTACCGTGCCATTCATCATGAATATCCGGATCCTGCTCGATGATGACTCTGCGGAGCGGATATCCAACATCTGCTCGAGCTGCCGCAAAATCGACAACGTTACTGAGCATTTCCCCTGAACTGCCTATGAAGACATGCAAGGTCTTGAGGGCTGGGCAGTGCATTGCAGGCCTTTCGGGAGATGGAGATAGTCTCGCGAGGATAGTACCCAACATGTTCTGATTTTCAGGCGCATACCCGCATACGAGTGTCGAGAGCAACGGCAACCTCTCGATCAATGATGCTATATCGGTGAAGACGTGCAGGTACCTGCGTGGACGAACATGTAGCTCGTGGATATCTGCGAAGGGAAATAAACGCCACACGGATGAATCCCAGCGCGTATCGTCTCGATACAAGACAAAGTGGATCTGGATGCCGCTAGAAGCGCTGGCGATGGATACAGTAAGGATTGGGTCTGCAAAGTAAGACTCGGAATCCTCCAGAAGCATGATATGAGGCTCGTGAGGGAGCGGCAGATGTGGGAGAATTTGCGCGAGGCGTGAAGCACTGTGCGGTGCAGGTCCAAATATTCGGATTGCTACATCTCCCGGCATTTCAATGTGTCTCGCGAACCAGACAAGCAATTCCGTGGGTGTGTTGCCCAAGGCGAATCTCCGAAGTCGTGTGAGAGGAACAGTAGGAAGAGCCTCATCATCACTGCGAATCTGTGCGGCTATCTCCGCCAAAATGAGTTCCTCCAACACAGGGCAGTCGACCAAGAATGCCTGCAGATCCGAAAGTGTCCATGCTACATCTGGAAAACCCAGAAGATGGGCGGCACCGCCCCTGCGTAGTGAAGGAGCACGGAGGCATAGATGTGTAAGCGATGGAAAGTGATTCCTCGGAAGGTAACTGGCGGAATGCAATGATAGCACCTTCAAATGCGGAGTGTTGTCCTGGAAGAGAGCAGTTTGTGCAGATCTGCCAGAAGTAGATGGCATCTGGGCGGGTACAAGACCCCCATCTCGAGTGACGAGTTGTGGAGTTCGGACGTGAAGAGTCAGATGTTCCAGTGAAGGCGCAGGAAAAGCGGTGAGGTAAGACCAGGCATCCGTAGTTGAATGTATATGGAGTTCTTTGATCCGCGCGCCATCTGAGTCAAGCATCCTCTGCACGTACTCGTCCATAGTGTCCCCATAGAGGTAGACTTTCAGCGGCGCACGAACAGAGCGAGTGAGGTATGAAGCTGGCTTCTTGAAGGAGCTCAAAATCGTAGATTATATGTCCCCAGAGCGCGTGTGCGCTCAAGCAGATTTCCCGCCAATGGTGGCATATGCGCGTGAGGTTGATGAGCCCCTGGGTGGACCTGAGAGTAGCAGATGGCCAGATAAACATGTCTGACCCATAGCGCACATCATCTAAGGTGTGCTGAAAAATATAGACCAAAAGTTCAGGGGCGAAACGATTAATAGGGCAGAACGAATTCCTTGAACGGCGGATAAGTGGAAGCACTGCAACAAGAACGTCTTCGACCGAGCGCAGCTATTACAGGTGTCAATATAGATATCTTCCAACCATACCACAGAGGGAGACTTACTTCGTCTAGCCTGGAGCAGAGAGGAACAACCGTTTGAACACAAAAAGGATAAATAGGATGGTTGGTGGACGCACCCCATTCGCTGGCCCTCTCCATGAAAATCTGCGACGAATTTCTCGGCGCTGCGCAAGGCAGTCATTGTGTGCTACGAATTGATTTTATTTTCAAGGCCAGTTTGCACGGAGGGTGCGGCAATGGAAAGGATCTGAGTCCGAGGAGTGAACTGTTAAAATTCAAGAAGCGATCATGCAGGGGTCTTTCGGACCGCTCTACCCGCTGAGTCCTGACTTGAATTCCATTTTGGCTTCAGTTCAAATCCGAAATCCGACAAGCCAAGATAACAGACTACTCTACCTTGACTGTACCAAAATGACTGTTGTGCCGGTGTCTTTACGTAAAGGACAGCGTCTTTGCATGAGGTTCCAGAGAGGATCTACCGACTCAGTGTCCCTGGCGCATTGTTGCGGTGCAAGGCCAGGGATAATCAACAATCGGATTGTAGGAAAATTGGCTGGTAGTACTAGTGCATGTATACAGGATGAAAGTCTTTTCTTGTGTCCGTGTTCTAGAAGTTATTGTAATGATGGTATCTTGTGGTGAGGAAACTTCAACGGCTCGTCATCACGCTCACTACATCAGGAAAAGTCAACTCTTGGTTAGCTCCCTTATTGCCTTGATTAAGGAGGTCTGCTTCCTTATTTGGCCAATTAAGGTGAATAAGGAAGAATAACGATGGGGATTTCCTTAATTTTCCCTTAATCAAGGGAATAACCCAGGTAAGCAAGAGTTGACTTTTGCTGATGTAGTGTACACGATCAACCTAGTCGACCCGAAAACAAATAAGTATTCAGTCATTTGCATCGACTTCTTCATGCCATTTTAATCAGTTGCGATCAATAAAGAAGTATTTGCTTCGGAAAATATTGCACTGGGCAAAAGGCGAGGGGCAAGGCCACGGGCGCTTGATGAGATGACGAGGAGTAGTGCCGGATATAGGAATGTCCTTTACATCTCGGGGAATGGTGGTTCAACGATAGGCTCATAGATACAACCTCTAGTTACCTGCAGGAAGACAGTCGTTCCTTTTGTAATAGTTCAACGAGTTAATTGCTCCTGTACAGAGCTGCAGGTGACCTTGACTTACCAAAGACCTCACGAGGAAAATTTGTAACAAGTGGATCAGTGTCAATTACAGACGCTGTTGAGATCGTCGCTAATCCTACATTTATCAATTACATGGTATCGTGGTATGGCTACAGCTACGACATGTGCACAGCACGGCGGTCGTCAGTCAAACATTTGGGTATACACCGACAAACCATGGGTCTTCAAAATATATGCCACAGACTACTTCTATCGTGCAGCCGCTTGTGGCGGCTTCTAAGGAAGCGGGACCGCGGGGCATCGTTGTCGAGCGACCGCCGACGGAAGCTCCGTCGCGTGAACTGCTGCTTACTACATGAACCGTGTACAATTAGCCGGCAGTTCAGAGATCGTGTAAGAGGTAACGTACCACATGTTCGCGGTTGCGCTGATCGCGGGAGCGCTGGACGAGGTGGCGGCAAAGAGAGCATTGTCGTGATCGAGCTCAAACATCGCTGCTCCTGATTCTGTAGGGGTTGCGGCGGTTGTATTCTGCGCAGACACTGATGAAGATGATACAGGTGTAGAGGCCGATGCTGATGCAGGCGCGGACACTGGTGCAAACGCTGAGGAGGAGGCTGAAGCAGAGGCTGAGGCTGAGGCAGAAGCAGAGAAGGCTGGTTTGGTGAGGAAAATAGTGGTTACAGCGGGAGGAACGCTAGATGGAGCTGATGTGGAAGACAATGCGGAAGAAAGTATTGGAGATGAAGATGTCGCTGACGCCGATGGAACAGCTGACGATTGAGCAGCCGACAACGGTATAGCGGACGACAGCGCAGGCGGTAGCAAAATGACTGATGACAGCGCCGATGAAGGCAATCGCGATGACGATGCTGACTGGAACGAAGAGACTGCTTGCGAGGAGCTCGCTTGCTCTGAATTAGAGATGTTGGAGGAAGACGCTGAAACTGAAGGAGAAGCAGGAGCCGTGACAGTGACTACGAGGGTGCTAATCACTGTCGCTGTCGACACGGACACCGATAAGGATGAAGATGCGGCTAGAGTGCCTGACACGGCACTATTGCCAGAACTCGCAGGAGCCACACTGTTGCTGCTTCCCGATGCAGACACGAAGGATGCAGAATTAGACGGGAACGTGAACGCGGACGAGGATACGGATACGGCCGCCGACGATGATGCGGATGCAGGCAGGGAGGAAGATGCAGAAGCTGCGGAAGATAAAGATGCAGACGGCGATGCAAGGGAAGAAGCTGCTATCGGAGCAGCAGCAGCGCCTGCGACAAAGGGCACCGGAGATGGGACGATCGTTGAATTAGGGCTCGGTGCGGGAACGCCGTTCGGGTATGAGTTCTGGAAAATGTCGTCCTGCGCACCATCGCGGAAATTGTACAGGTCATCGTAGTACGGCGGAGCATACTGGCCCTCGAACATCTACAACAAGACAGGCATTTCAGCAACGGGGCGTACGAAAGAACTGATCTACAGACGTTGTTCCGTTCCGCCTGGAACCAGTAGAAGGGTGCCTTGGCACCGTAGGTACAGTTCCCTAGACTTGCATTCGGTTTGCCGTTGTCTGGATCAGCGCCGCATCTCCGGGGAAGCTGGGGGTTGGCGAGTGCGACGCTTGAGGTCGATCCAGTCACATTGCATCTGAAGCCATTCATATAGTCTAGAAATCGAATGAGCCATATACCGCGACGAATATGAATTGAACATACTCTGTTCGCTACCGCTATCAACCTTAACTGAATCGATGAGTAGCTGCACGCGTCGAGAAGAGATAAGTCACTCGCAGAATGAACCCAGAAGAAAGAGCAGATGCATCCTCCATCTGGACAGGGTGGCATCGCAGCAGGCACCTGGAAATCCGTGAAACGGTTCCAGACGCAAGTCTGGTTCACGCTGAAGACGACAAAATCCTCCGGCTGCACCTCCGACACGTTGGACTTGTACGCGATCGCCAGCGAGCAGCCTTTCAAGTCGTCCGGCCCAGTCGTGTGGTACTCTGAAGGCGGCGAGCCGGGGCACGGATCATTTCCGCTCTGAATGTTCCCGCCAGGTGCAGACGCAAACCATGTCGTGGCACCCTTGTCGCACGCGATTTCTGCAGTAGCTGGCTGGCCCGCAGGAAGCTCGAAAAAGTCGCCGGGATTCGGAGGGTAGTCCAAATGACCGTGGAACCACCATTGCTCAAAATTGTAATTCATGAGAGGTGTAACCGGACGGTTGTCATAGGAAAATGTCTGCTGCGTGACGTTGAAGCCCCACATGCTTGAGTGCCAAATAGCTGGGAGAAATTAGGAGAGATATGGGGAAGGAACCTGAGAACTCACAAGCATGACCAGATGCCAGAGGAACAGTAGCTGAAAATGCGGTCAGAAGTATTACAGAAAGCATCGCTCGTAGTGTATGATACTGTCGTGTCGGAGGAAGTGCTAAAAGTCCCGAGAATACCCTCGAGCACCAGTCTCGAGTTTGTCCGTGAGCAGGCCAAGCCAAAAACGAGTGTGAAAGTTTTACGAAGGATGCACGGAAGTACTTCAGAGAGCCTCTAGCATTCCTTATAGTTGAACACAAACGCCCATCGAATTCGTTATTGTTCGGCATTGTTATAGTGTTCGGTTAGCGACCGACAATGCCGTGTGTGACGTCCATGTGAGGCCTCCAATAGTCGATTTGTTCTGAATTATAATACATGGAAGGTGCTGTATACGCCCTGCTGGGATGCCATGACCGTCGTAGAAGTGACGTGACTTCTTGCATCATCGAGAGCACCGACAAAGATGTGGTATTACCAGATTCGGCCAGACAATAGTGCTTATGTCAGCGCTACCGATCCTCGCCACCGTAATGAACGTCAGCTTTACCTGATGGTCTTTATTGTCCATCGTTGACGTTGCGATGTTATATGTGCTGTGTCTGTAATGTGTCCAGCAGAAGCAGCGGACCCAGACTCTACCAGCCTATGTGGCCGGGGCGGCAGTGATTCCCGTTACACTAGAGATGTTGATGTACATGTGGATTTTGAATCGTGTTCGCATGTGGTGAGTTGATTTTTGTTGGATATGCATTGACCTTGTTCCTGCTCACCCCTTGTCTCTCCTTATGTAGTGGTAGGTGTCCTGGCGATGCTGGAACCTACTGGTCGTAAGTAGCAGAGCGCATTGCTCGTAGCCACTCTGACAATACGTCGTGGTGAAGCAATGCATCGGTGTTGATTGTACATCACGACGCTTGTGCCTCCACCGCAAAGATTTAATCCCCAGTTCAAACCCCATACTTTCCGTGCCTTCGTTGACCTTCTAATGCTGTACGCAAAGTCTTGTGCCCCCCAAGGCTAGGAGATCACTGCAACAGCTGCAGCTAATCCAGCTTACTCGAAGGCATGCCAGTGAAAGGTCTAGCAGATCTCCACGGCTTGTCACATCGCCATGCCTTATGCCATTTCTTACGCTCTTGTGGTGTGTGGGCGTGATAAGTATCATGATCATCCGGGATAGCACTGATGATCTCCGCGCATGAAGTTGATCACTGAGGCACTTGTTCTAGGTTTCATCGTGCCCATGTATTCAGATGTACAGTGTACAGGTCACGGTGCGGAAGGGCTCCGTTGCGCCGGCCAGTTGAACGTCAGCCCAGAGCGCCATTGGCCGTTGTATCATCAGACCTCATGCATCACCCTTGCCCTCCGCGTACCCACTCGAGAAATGACTCATTATGACAATATTAATGTCATGGCAAAGGTCATCCGGCTTTATGTACACTCCAGATGCGACATGATAATGTATGTGTTCATGCTTCATTTTTGTTCCTGCGCTCTAAAATATGTCTGGCTAGTCGTAGATGTTTCAGCCCCGGTATTGTTCGCTGTGGTCGTTGGGATGTCCCAGTTTCTTCTGTATTGCTGTCGTTCCATGGGTCCATACCTTATTGCCATTTGCAGTAAAGTTGGCGGTCGCGCGGATTTCGCGCGTTTCGCGCGGTTTGCACTGTAAATGAAGATGTTCCCATATCTCGACAACTAGCCACCGGAACCTGCAACATATATATATTTTCTGAATCTCCTAGGTCAGGGCTGTTGAGCCCCGTGGTTTTTACAACGATCCGAGCAGGTTGAGTTGCGGCTCTCTGAGCTTGCCTCATTTTTTGCGGATGTACCTCTACCTCTGTCAGTATACACCAGAAAAGAATAGCTATTGAATTTCTCACATCCCACTGAGTACCTGTAGTGAGCCCAGGTAAAAAATCGTGCACTTGCAAAGCTGAGACCGAGCGCGGCGCTGTCGCTCTCATTGCACATGCCTCTTGGTCTTTCATTTCACCTGTACCTGGCATTACTGTTCCAGACGCCTTCGGATGGATGGCGAAAGTCAAAGCACGTTCAGATGATCTTCGAGAAGTTCTGCTACACATGGTCCAAAGGCTCGACCTTGCCTCAATTCTTGAATACACCGGATGCAAGAGATGACCACTTGAGCACCTGCTCTCTGATTACAAGCACGGGAGATCTGTCACTCATGCACGACTTGGCAGGCAAGCGGTGAGACCAGTTTTCGAGCGGGACATGGACTGTACAGATGCAACTTGGGGACTGGAATGAATTTTCACGTGTGACAAGAGTACTTGATGGTGCCGCACTCGGCCTCAGTTTTGCAAGTGCACGATTTTTTACCTGGGCTCACTACAGGTACTCAGTAGGATGTGAGAAATTCAATAGCTATTTTTTCTGGTGTATACTGACAGAGGTAGAGGTACATCCACAAAAAATGAGGCAAGCTCAGAGAGCCGCAACTCAACCTGCTCGGATCGTTGTAAAAACCACGGGGCTCAACAGCCCTGACCTAGGAGATTCAGAAAATATATATATGTTGCAGGTTCCGGTGGCTAGTTGTCGAGATATGGGAACATCTTCATTTACAGTGCAAACCGCGCGAAACGCGCGAAATCCGCGCGACCGCCAACTTTACTGCAAATGGCAATAAACACCGTCAGTGCAATAGATTCCTTGATGGAGATGAGTATGCCCTCGATTGCTATATTTCGTCCTGTACGGTCAGCTCGCCAACCATAGGAATTGTTTCCCCCTTGCTATGCTGAGATATGTGTTCAGCTACAGACAGAGTGTGGATAGAACGATCGGTCGGCTCAGGGTTTGATGCCTTAGGCTGTGTTCGGCACCCAGATACTGGCCAGCATCTCCAGATACCGGTATCTGGAGCCACTCTTTCCAGCCGTGCGTGACATCAGCCGAACCCACATCGTAGCGGCGCTCGCGCCATTCCCCGACTCCGATGGGGTGCTCACGGTTTTTGTAAGAGTGAGGGTGTATGATTGGTGATTATGTAGTACAAGTACAGGCATTTATTACGGTAGTTACAGCAATGGAAAACTACACGAGCGAGGCATCGTCATCATCGCTGTCATCTGAGTGGTGTTGGTCAGGCTTGGAATTCGGTCGGAAGACTCCGAGGAGGGGCATGGGCTGAACAACACTTGAATTCACTGACAGTAATGGACAAGACAGATGATGTAGATCAGGTAATGAAGCCAGTGGGATAGTTGCAGTACTGTTACATATAGTCATATGATATAAGATACTGATGGTATGGCTGTCTTTTAAAAATCCAAATGGAAGAACCATCTGAGCATCAAGATGGTGTTGATCGGGTAATGAAATCAGTAAAATAGGTATAGTGTCGTGGTGACGATAATACAATATTTCGTTGATTCAATTGAATGGACCATTTGATGTATACACGAGGATGTGTGACCAGCGTCCGTCAAGTGTAAGGAGTGCTGTAAGGTCATTGGTATGCATTCTGTTTTCATATTGTGGGACACCGTCATTCTGTTGGTCATCGTATATCCATCCTGAGTTGTCAGAGTGGAGGAGACATGCTGTAAAGTGACTAGATCCAAAGTATATTACAGCTGCCAATGAGTAGGTGGTCTGCATATTGAATTCCAGATGAAATATGGGAGTGACAACTGTATGTTCCTGTGAAGGATATTCAAAGTATAAGATGGGCGGTGGTGTAATGTTGCTTATATTATGATGAACTTCACTGTCGCATTGACATAGTAATCTTCTTGCATGCAGAATGGATGATGTCATGGTCTTACTTAACCAAGTTTGTATAGTTTGAGTTTCAGCAGAGGACTGCATGCCGGTGAACACAATAACAGATGGAATTTGTAGCGTGAGTGGGCATGTTTGATAACAGGCAAGACATTGTATGGTCGTGACTATATTGTTAGTGGTGTTTTCCAATGCACATTCAATTATGCTTGCTGCAGAGGCAAACAGTGGACCATATCTTGGATATTCCATAGGTGATCATCTACTAAGAAACTCTCAGAGAAAATCACGTTGCATGTTAAACTGCTTGGCACTGGAGTCTGGGCTCAAATTCTCAAAACAACTGACCAACAGACTAGCAATAGCCAACTGATTCTTTCACATTGCACGTGAAGAAGAGGTCAGTTGAGAGTAGCTGTGATAAAGTGACATAAATGTGGCATCATATGCACATGAGTAGTCTGTGGATGACCATTGGCAACCGTGCTTGTACATGTATGGTGATGAGTCAGAAGGTGGCATTGACATTGATGGCAAAATCCCTGATTCTTCCATTTGTGAGGCTTTCCGTTTGGTTCCTTTTGACTGTGAGCTACTGTCACTAAAGTTGACATGAAATGACTTTGTGGAGATGTCATCTTCACTTTCAGGATTTGGCAAAGGTACGAGGGATCCTGTTTTAAAGCCATAGTGAATTAGAGTATTTTGCTCAAGCACTTTAAATTTCTGTGTCTCATGGTATAGGTCAGCAGAAACAGGCTTGTTTAGCTGTTCCAACTTTACTGGCTCTGAGATGAATAAGCCATTTCGTGTGCGTGCTCTCGATGCAGCAACATAGGCTGCAAAGCCGCCCTCAGTCATGTTGTTGAGTACTTTAGGCAGTGTTTTGCCTTGCGATGTGTGGCCGGTGACTGCAAATGTAGGTTGTATGATGAGTTGCAGTCGGGTAACTTGGTACCTTTGTGTATCTCCATTGGCATCTCTAAGTGTAGTTGTAAACCACCATGTTGTTGGAGCAATAGGCACATAGCCTGAAGGCAAGTCAGGCAGATGTACCTTGCTTGTAGAAAACTCAACTATAACACAATCTGCATATGTGTATCCGACAGGACAGTGTTTAATCGAGATGTGCCTAACTATGCCTTGAGCACCATTGGTGATTCCAAGTTCTGTGGAGATGTTTCAACTGCATAGTACCACAGGCATGCCTACATATAATGAAATGAATGCTGGGAGGGCACCTTCAGAAGTAAGTGGTGTTACATTGAGTCACAGAAGTGCATCACGAGTGGATTTCTCAGGTACCTGACCATCAATC